TATAACATGGCCAACGGTCGTCCGGAAGTTTCTGATCTTCTGAATGGCGTAAACAGAAGTCGTGTTAGTGTCGTGAGCCTTTCTAATTCATTCGATGATACGCTACATCCCATGGCAAGCTTTGAACAAGTTGAACGGGATATGATGAGAAGAGATGTGGAATATTCCCATTCTGATCGTTTGTCGTCTTTGGAAAGATTGGAAATATTATCTTCAAGAAGTATTACGGGGGATGATAGTTCATTTTCTATATTTGGTGGTTTCCTATCAGATGAACGAAATAACCGAAGATTGCAAACAGTTCTTAGCAATCTTTCTTTAAACGCATGTGGTTATGGAGACGGTATTTACCCTAGAAGAATAATTCCAGACCCAGTCAATTTCCTCGGTCTCAATCGCGCAAATAGAAAAGATTCGACAAACAGTGATCGAAAAGTCGGTAGCGTGATTCGTTCGAGGTGGTTCACTAGTTCGGTTGGGAACGGAGTGAATGAGGATGTGCCTGATGTTGATGTGGCACCTGTTGGCTTAACCAAGTCCTTCTGTGTGACTGCGTTTACCATTCTTCGAGAGCTTTTTCGTATAAAAGAAAATGCCTCTTCTGCAGAAAAGTCTTCAGAGCATGTGAAAGGAGAAGGTTCTCATTCTGAAGCAGCAATTGATAATCAAGAAAATAGTGCAGCAATGGAGGGTTTGGAAGAGAATATTGGATCTATGGAAGAATCAAATGAAGGGGAAAATATTATTCTTTCGACAGATGATAATAATTATAACTCTTTGGTTTCTTCTCTGTCGGATCCAAATAGGCCCAATGAGATGGAAGGAGTCGTTACTGAGACAAGGGAAGAACACTCGCAAGGTTTGGAAGAAGATGGCACTTCTCAACTATCGACTCGAAGGGAATTATCTACGACACCTCAGCTTCCAGGTGGTTTGACGGTTGATGCACCTGCGAATGAAGATCCTGCCATTATTGAAGCAGCTATTAGGAATACGGGCATTGACCCAACCTTTCTTGCAGCGCTTCCGGAAGATGAACGTGCAGAAATTTTAGCCTCACATATTGCACAGTTGGCTACTAGAAATACAGCGAGTGAAGCTCAAACTATGGATGAAAATGTCTCCTCACTGAATGAAGAATTTCTGGCAGCATTGCCTCCCGAGATTCGACGAGAAGTAGTGGAACAAGAAGCAGAATATCGACGCCGAAGAGAGAGAGAACAAGAATTAGGTGCAGAGTCATCGGCGGAAGGAAACTACAATGGAAGCGATCTTGATAATGCTTCATTTTTAGCCACTTTGTCTCCTGCACTTAGAGAAGACATACTTGCTACTGCAGATGAGACCTTCCTTTCTACATTACCACCTTCGATGGTTGCAGAAGCCCGTATGATTCGTGAAAGGTCCTTTCGTCGTGGAAGACATATGTCTTCTTTAGAAGAACTTACGTCCGGTGGCATCTCTGGTTCAAGACAGTCTTCATCTTCTAATAGGAACCGTTATGGAGAACATCGAGAGGGTTTATTAATTGCCCTTGCAAAAGGTGATTCTAATGTAGAGGATCCTAGAGAAGGATATCCTGTTTTTTCTGTGGATGCACTATATGCATTGGTCAATCTGTTTTTAAGGTCGAGCTCAGAAATGAAACAAAAACTATTTTACGTTATTGTTAGCTCATGTTCGCATCGAGATATTCGTCAAAGACTTTCAAAGATTCTGTTGTGTATTTTGTCGCCTTCTCTAATAGTGCAAGATGGAAATGAGAATCCTGAACAATATTTGGCTCCGGATATTCGACAATCGATGCAGTCGGACCCGGTGTATTATACAAAGATTGTATTGGACTTATTAACGGGATTGGTTAGTAGAGATGATAGAATGGCTTCCTGTTTTCTTCAATGTTGTGGAAAGGAAGCTTCTTCTCAACCCGTCTTTGTAGCGTTGGTGAATCTTTTGACCAGCCCTTTCTTTCAGGAAAATATCACTTTAGCTCAAAACTTGGTATCTTTACTGAATACCGTTATCTATCATGCTCCGTTTTTGTTGGGTTCGAAGAAAGTGGAACAAACCCCTTTGACTGAAAATGACTCTGCTTCGGAAGACTCTGATCGATCCTCTCCAAGTAGAACATCGGAGCAACCAAGTCATGAAACTACCAATGTGTCACAGAGCAATCCTAGTAATGATAAGATGACTGACACAGTTACAGATTACTTATCAAGTCTGGACTTTTGTGTGAGTCCACAAGTCATGTCTCAGTTAATACAATTGTTTCCTCCCGACACATTTACAGAAAAGATGTTTCATCGAGTCTTTGTTCTGATCGAAGTATTATGTAAGTGGTCCAAAACCAATCAAATGAATGCATTGGATACCCTGTCATTAGCAACTTGTGACTTGGGAAAAATGGTTACCAATCGGTTGAGGCAAATAGTAAACAACATAGAAAAGCGAATGGAAGATGACAAGAAAATAGATGATATTTTGGAAGAGTTTGCAGATTCTAGAAGCACTGAGGAACTACAACTCGTTCGAATTGTCCGTAGTTTTTCTAGTCTAATCCGTCAACTTAAAGAGGAAAAGGAGACAGCTAAGAGAGCTGAAGAAGCAAAAGTACATTTGCTGAGGGAATTGAAGCCATTGTGGGATGCATTGAGTGATATGCTCAAATATTTGGAAGCATCTTTTTCGGATGGAAGATCGCAAACAAAGCTAGCAGCGAAACAGCAGAAGAACAATCTGTTAGAAGTTGTAAAGACTTTGAGAGAAAACCGTTCAGGACGTCACAATTTGCAACCTTCTTTAGCTCGTATTTGGCCAGTGATGGAAACCTTTCTCATTGCACATGATGATGTTAAGGAAGACAAAGGAGAGCCAACTCCATCTGCAGATTTGTATGATGGAAAGAAGCGTTCAGCTGAAGAAGTGGAATTGATGAAGTTTCTGGAGCAACATCAGGAATCATTCAATGGAATTCTTCGAACGAAGCCCATGTTACTTGAAAGAAACTTTCGAGCAGCGCTCCAATTTCCGCAGTTTATTGACTTTGATAATAAGAAAGCCTACTTTCGTAGTCTGTTGAAGAAGAAGTATTCTTCCAATCGGTCTTCCATTCGTATTCATGTGAGACGTGAACAAGTGTTCGAAGATAGTTATCATCAATTAAGGCTTCGAACACCGGAAGAAATGAGAGGTCAACTTCACGTTCAGTTTGTGGGTGAAGAGGGTATCGATGCAGGCGGTGTGACAAGAGAATGGTATACTATTCTGGCGAGGAAGATATTCGACCTCAATTATGCGTTGTTTATCAAGTCGGCTGGAAAGAGTTCCACTTTTCAACCCAACCCTTTGTCTTATGTGAACGAAGATCATTTGGGTTTCTTCAAATTTGTTGGAAGAATCATTGGAAAAGCAATATTTGATGGTCAAATATTGGATGCTTACTTTACTCGTTCATTTTATAAACATATGTTGGGTATCAAACCTAACTATCATGACCTCGAAGCATTGGATCCCGATTACTACAAATCATTACAGTGGATATTGGAAAATGATATTACTGGACTACTGGACCTCACAATGAGTGCTGAAATTGACGAATTTGGCACCACAAAAGTGGTTGACTTAATACCCAATGGAAGATACATCCCAGTAACTGAAGAAAACAAAGTGGAATATGTGAAACTGGTGACTGATCTGAGAATGACGAGATCCATACAACATCAAATCAATTCCTTTTTGGAAGGATTTCATGAACTGATTGCACAGGAAGATATTCGAGTGTTTAATGAAATAGAACTTGAATTGTTGATGAGTGGCTTACCCGATATCGACATTGCAGACTTGAAAGCAAATATTGAATATTCAGGGTATACTGCATCTAGTCCACAAATACAATGGTTCTGGCAAGCTGTATCGGAAATGAGTAAAGAAGACCATGCAAGACTTATTATGTTCATAACTGGAACAAGTAAAGTTCCTTTGGAAGGCTTCGGAGCTTTACAAGGAATGGATGGTCCACAAAGATTACAAATTCATCGAGTACCTGGAGACTCTCTTCGATTACCTTCGAGTCATACTTGTTTTAATCATTTGGACTTGCCAGAATATGATAGCTATGAAAAGTTAAAGGAACGTCTGTTGACTGCCATACGTGAAGGTGGTGAAGGTTTTGGTTTTGGATAAAACCAACATTTGCAACTAGTTGCGACATTTTACTAGATATTCAATATGTTTGCAAGTAATTTTTAACTGCGGTTGGTAGTTGTGTGGTACTTGTTTCACTATCTTCTTGTGTTGTCAATCGCGTTTCAAGTGTACCACTCGTATCACCATATCGCTTTTTCAAGTCTTCCAAATAAAAACTGGACTCGAGACTTTTCTTCGTTTGGTTGTTGACTTGTTGTTTCCTTTCACTCGGTTCAGACTCCAACGAACGTCGTCCAACAGATAGTTCCTTAGACTTTGTCTCCTTATCTATTGGTTCCTTTGCCTGTTGAAAATCTTCCCTTTTTCTTTTTTTTAAAGTTTGCGAATCTTCCGGAAACATCTCGTTCAACTGCTTCTCTACTTCTCTCTGTACAATAACCGGAATTCTTGGCAACACCACGTCAAAAAACTTTGGTTTGGACAACAACTCTCTCACAAACTTTCCAATACTAGTCGGTTGCGAGTTGTATTTCAACACAACAGGTTCCTCATCCTGTAAGTAAGGTTCAAACCAGGACCAAAGTTCTCTCGGGTCTACTCCAAACCTTACATACAGAAACCCCAACGCCCTTATATAAGGCGAGTCTTTATGTCTCAACAACACGCGAATCTGTTTCACCGACAGTTTCAAAGTAAACAATTTATACAACAAACAAAACGCTGAAGAAGGGGTACCTACACCTTTCCCTGCCACCCAAGGCTCCAAATAGGACACTTGGTTGTAAATTTCGTCCACTTTACGAAGCTCAGTATATCTAGAGAAACGGTTCTTTTTCTTCTTACCTACTTGGTTGAACGTTTTCAACTCATAAAGTGACCGAAAATAGGGTGAACGCAAGACATTGGATATCACTTTTTCTGGAAAACTAGACAACGTAAAAAAACACAGTAAGGAGAACCATCGAATACAGTGGTAACGAGCAACTTACTTGAACGTTTTCTTATTCCCATAAATTTCCAAACGACCACTCATATCCTCTCTTATTCTTTTTTTATTTTCGGAAGGGGGTGGGTGGGGAAATGACAAACCAAAAAAAACCAATTTCCATTCCTTTTTTATTGTTCTCCAGTCGACGCTCACTATTAATAAGTCACTCCTTTGATATCGTACTTCTTTAAACGTTCTGGATCCACTTTCTTCAGAATTTCTCGATGTGCACGTAGTCTTATCGCATTGATGCGGATAAAACCTCCAGCATCCGTCGGATTGTAACTCTCTACTTCCTCCATACTTGCCAACTTATCGCTGTACAACGATGTCGGCGACTCTCTGGCAATCGCCATACAATTGCCTTTGTAACACAATACATCCACCCAACCATCCACCAACTCTTGGGCTTTGTTCATCGCAGCCAACAGGAAATCCATTTCTGGTGAAAACCAAAACCCGTAATACAATATTTCTGAAAACTTGGGAGATAACATATCCCGCATCCGTAACACTTCGCGATCCATTGCAATCCCTTCAATATCCAAATGTGCACAACGTAAGATGGTAGCCCCGGGGGTTTCATAAATGCCTCTACTTTTGATACCTACAAACCGATTCTCAACAATATCCACACGTCCTATACCATGACGACATGCGACTCGATTCAGGTACAAAAATAGTTGCAACGGATCTTCCTCCTTTTCACCTGTTTCCCTGTTCTCCACAGCTATCGGAGTGCCATCACGAAAATGAATGCGGACGGTTTCCGGTTCCGATACCCAATCCACCCAACGTCCCGTCTTCTTATACATCGATTCTTTACCAGGCGTCCGAGGATCCTCCAAATCACCGCTTTCATAACTGATATGCATCAGGTTCTCGTCCATCGAATACGGAGGTTTCTCACCAGAGGGCATGGTGATGCCTTTCTGACGAGCATAATTGAGTAGATCAGTGCGACCACTAAATCGTTGAAAAAAGCGAGGATCCCTCCAAGGAGCAATGACTTGGATCGACGGATTCAAAGCATAATAGGTTAATTCAAAACGAACTTGATCATTTCCCTTTCCAGTAGCACCATGAGCAACAAAAAGGGCTCCTTCTTTCTCCGCAATCTCCACCTGTCGCTTTGCAATACACGGCCGAGCTAACGAGGTGCCCAATAGATACCGACTTTCATAAATAGCATTCGCTTTGATTGCAGGAAATATGTAGTCCGTCACAAAAACACGCTTCAGATCTTCTACATATACCCTTTCAGCTCCTAAACTTAACGCTCGCTCCTTGGCAACGTTGAAATCTTCTTCTTGACCGACATCTGCTATGAAGCATATCACTGAGTATCCTTCTTCTTGAAGCCACTTTAAAATAACAGACGTATCTAAACCACCCGAATACGCTAAAACAACCTTTCCTTTTGACATGATAAAAAACAATACGACAAGAACTCCCAAAGTGTCAAAATTATCAACCGACAATTTAACGGTGAATTCAGGTAGAAAGCAAAAAATATCAAGAAAGACGGAACGAAGAACTTACAGTGGCTACAAAAACTGAATAATAATAATTCTCATGTTTCTACAAAGTTTGATTTTTATTTTTGCTCCTATTCACAATCTTTTTAATTTATTTTTTCAAAAAATAATTATCAGAAGCAGAAGCAATCCGTTACTTCATATACATTTGACTCCAAAGAAATTAACATGAATCAGTGCACAATTAAACTTTTGTAGCTAAATTTGCAATAACCGCTTGCAGTGTCCTCATCTGACCTTAACTTTGGCAAATCTAAATTAAATCGAGACTGCAATAATTTTTCAAGCCTACACGATATTTAGTTTAAATGAAGTCTTTCAATGTGGAAAATAATTAAATTAAATTGATTCAATTTTTCTATGAAATTATCGTGACTTTCTATTAAGCAAATGTTTCAAAACCAAGAAAAACCAAATTTTAGGTCGTAGTTTTTTATATTTGTAATTTTTTCTGCATATACTTCTTAGCGATTAACATTGAGTAATTCCTTTTATGGGTTCAGTCCCTTTCGTTGTATAGAGAAACGCTAACGATTTTTTTTGAAGATTTTTTTACGTCTTTTGCTTGGTTCCCTATAGACTTTTGTGTCTTGCATTGTTAAATTTGTTTTTTTCATTTTGCATCTTCTTTGGAGTGGGGACTGTATTTATGTTGCGTCTCTTTATTGCGGTCTAACTACGGTTCTCTGCTCCTTAGTTACGATGCATCTTGTTCATTTTGGTTTTGGTTAATTTTTATTATTGTTTTAGAAGGAGATTCAATACTTGTATTGTCCTTTAATTGAAATGAGTGAGTGCTGAAACATTTTATTATTTTGAAACAGCATTTGAATGAGTAGGTGTTTTGAAGCCTAAGATTGTTTAGCGTAGCAGGTGCATTCTAAAGTATTTTCTTGCTCTGAGATAGACGTAGCAATATATCCACATTGAATAAAGAGGTGGAATGGAAAACGTTTTGAATTTTCATAGAAACACAAGAATTTTGTGAAACTTACTAATTTCATTTACTGTTTAGCTTTGGTGTCGTTGAAATCGTTCTTCAAAATCTAGCAAAGCCAATACCACTTAATCATGAAGGGTCCTATTGGTGTAATTAGATTCTTATGACGCTAATGAGCAACCTCTGTTTCCTGTCGTCTGGGTTATCAGCAAAATCACGTGTATTTCCCAAGTTATGTCAACAGTGTTCACTAGAGAAAGGTCGCAGTGTTATTTTGTTTCGATCATCTCGAGGAACGTTCACTGGGATACGTCTGCTGAATCCCCCTAGTCGTCGCTCATTCTTTGAACGGACTGGTTCTAGAACCAGTTCTCTAGTACTCCTTTCGAGTCATCTAGACCATTCATCTTTTACAGCCTTCCAAAATGTGCTACCCCCGGATCTCTCTTTTCTTTTGGGTAATCGTTTTGCAACACAGTTGCAAACTCTAGTGGCGGAGGCAACGGACCAGGTTACGTCTGCTACTACTGAAGTAGCGAAAAATCCAGGCCTCTTTGATTCTTTTGTTAACGCTATCCAAACTTCGGTGACAATGTTCCACGGTTATCTAGAAGGTTTGTTGTCGTTTATTTTTTGTATTCTCAAGTTTTGATATTTTGAAATAGGTGCAGGGTTACCTTATGCGTGGGGCTTTTCCATCATTTTATTCACTATACTTGTGAAACTAGTTACTTTTCCGTTGAACTACAAACAGATGGAATCCACTTTGTCGATGCAAGCGTTGCAGCCAAAAGTAAAGGAGTTGCAAGCCCTGTATAAGGACAATCCACAGTTGTTGAATATGGAAACAGCCAAGCTGTACAAGGAGTCGAATATCAATCCTTTGGCAGGTTGTCTTCCTGTTTTGGTTCAAATACCAGTGTGGATAGCGTTGTATAGGGCCCTGTTAAATCTGGCTAGCACGGATCAAATTCATGTAAGCAATTTTCGTGACGGTCGTTAAAGCTGATTTTTCATGTTACATTGTACGATAGGAAGGTTTCTTTTTTGTTCCTAGTTTAGATGGTCCAGTGAGTCGAGTAGGGCAAGGACTGGATACTTGGTTATTTCCTTTCCGAGATGGTGCACCTCCGATCGGATGGCACGATGCCATTTGTTATTTGATACTGCCTACAATATTGGTAGTTTCGCAGTTTATATCTCAAAGTATTTTGAGCCCTTCTTCTTCCAGTAAGAGTGGTCAAGAAGATGACCCACAGAATCGAGCAAATGGAATCTTGAAGTTTTTGCCGTTTCTCGTGGGTTGGTTTTCGTTGAATGTTTCTAGTGGGCTGACCCTTTACTGGGTTACCAACAATATTGTATCTACTCTACAAACACTGTTGATCCGCAGCAAGTATACACCAGCCGGCCAAAAATACGCTGAAGTGTTGTCACAAGGAAAGACAAAGAATGAAAAAAGGCAGGAGACGGGTAAGTCATCGAAAGTGGTGGGTTTTGGTAGCAGTAATGCAGGTGGTCAGAATCCAACTCAGAAAAAGAACAAAGTCCCTTCCTCAATATCTAGTAATGGTGTTGGTAAGGATACTTATGTCGATGAGAATACAGATAGTTCAACCAAAATGAGTTCTAAAAAAATCAAATGATAATTTCGATCATCTGTTTGAGTTGCTTCTATAAAGACCACTTTTGGACCTAAGGATTAAAAAAAGATTCTTTGGAAAAAGGAGTTGTGAAGTTGGATTAAGAAAAGATTGGCTCACCATAAGATTGACACAAAAAACATATATGCACGGTAGCAGTAGTTTGGTTGGTACAAGTTACATAGCAGTTCCAAGTAGTTGCAAGTCATACAATAGGTATTTTATGGCTTTCATTTCTCTTGACGACTCCTAACAGATAGTTAGACAAAGGCTGTACAATCGAAGAGTAATATCACAATTAGTGACAAGGAAGCAACCAGCCTTTAGAATTTTTGTAGGACCAAAACGGCTTTTGAACTTGATTAGAATGGCACAAACTTCGAACCACTCGTCTACAGGAGAAGGAACGACCAAAAGTGAACAACCTAATGGTTTGAAAGTTGTTCGATTGTTACACTGGACAGACGTACATTTTCATGTTTTGCAATTGGTTTGTGTTTTGGATTCACTTGTCTAGTTACTGAGCGTTGACTTGTTTGAATAGCCAACTCTTTTACCTACGTGGAAACAGTTGTTGGGTTTGGCGCATCTCTATATGAGAGGAAGAAGACAAGTAAGAGTTTTTTGTGTTTGCCTGTATGCAGTTGTGGATAATGGTAGGATTTCCGTGCGGCTGAGCTGATTCCGACGTTTGTAAAACAAATAGACAGTCTAGAACCTGACATATGTATATTTTCTGGTATTTCTTTGTCTCTTTGAGAGTTGTTCAGAATAACACTTTGGTAGGAGACTTGACAGCTTTGAGTCTTCCTGCCGAATTTGAAATAGCCAAGTCGATATTGTCTCCCATGTTGGAGAAGTATCCTAATATCATGATTGCAGGTAATCACGATCGGTATATTAAGGAAAGTGAATACTTGATGGAACAATATTTTGGAGAATATATGAAAGGAGGAGATGTTTGGGAAAATGGGGAATGGAAAGTGACAAAAGGTAAGATAAGAAGTTGTACAAATGAGTTGTGAACTTTGTGTGATGTGAAAATAGAAACTCCTTGGCCTAAAGTCTATGATGGAGGATTTGGTTTGAAAATTATTGCAATGGATCAAGTTGGTTGTTTCTTAACCTATATTGAATGATTAGAATCCATATTGTTTAGGCAAGACCTAGCAAATGGTCCTTTGGGGAGAATTCTTCAGAACAGTTGAAAAGGCTGGAAATGTTACTGGAACGATGGGATTCTTCTCATTGTATAGTAGTTGGACATTATCCAGTATTGAATATAGATGGGAGTATATCGAATACTTTTGGTCGCAGTTTAAAGGATGTGCATGAATTGTATCAAGTTTTTTGTAGACAGCCTCCTTTGGCTTATTTGTGTGGACATGATCATGAACATTATATGCAAAGTATGCTAATGGGTGATCGTTGGGTACGCTTTATTTGTTGCGGTAGTACAAGTTATTTGGGAAAAAAGTCACAGAAGAAGGCTGGATTTTATGAAGTGGAGATTGGAATTCCCGTTGACCATCATGAATTCCAATTGTTATCCGTTATTAGACATGTAAGTGAAGAGATACGTATGATGAAAAACAAAGATATATACAAAAGGGAATGTATTAGGAATGGAATAGTTATCGTCAACAATTTGAGCGTTTAGATGAACCTTCCGTATTGTATCGTCCCAACCCACATTGGGTAGAGAGTAGTCGATGATAGTAATAGAATTCTGAGATTGTCCCAAAAGGTAATTGCACACGATGGATAAGTTCAATACGTTACGAATAAAACTCATTCCAAAATATCACTCACAACTATCCTCTCATTTTCAATGGAATATAAAAACTGCCTTATCACATTATATACACGTTCTGGTTGTTCTTCTTGGGGAACATGTCCACAATGTGGAATAGTGACAAGTCTTGCTTGAGGAATATTAGCTGCCAACTGTAAAGAACGCTCCAAAGGTATAATACGATCTTCCTTTCCATGAATAAGGAGTATGGGAATATTACTTTTTGACAACTGATCAACGATATCTTGTTCTTCCAAAGATGATGAACTGTAAAAAGGCGTTTTGTTTCTATTGGCAAATACAAATTTGATAAAACCTCGTTGCCAATCTTTGACTAGGGTTGGAAGACGATACTGTTCGATGACTTTGTCCGTCAACTTTTCTATCGAATACCAAGCCATTGCAAGACCTCTTTTCCAAAACATTTCTTGAGATACCAATAAAGAAAGTGAAAAATACATCACCGGTTGAATCACCAAAGCTGCTAACCGAACAAATATCCTTATCAACCCATTTCGAAAGATTCGAATCAAGGTTACAACCAACAACCCTACCCAATGAAGACTCTTCCATACAACAACATGTACGGAATCCATCCGTCCAGTCGATGACTCAACTGACCCACTATCATTGCTTTTCGATGATGGAGGATTGATCGGAATAGCTGCTGCAATTAGAATCAATGCTTTCACACGCTGTGGATATTTCAAAGATGCCAATGCTGCTGTAAGACCCCCCATGCTGTGTCCAACAATGACGTGATTCGATATACCCAACTGAGATAATCTATCCATAAAAAAATGAACGAGATAAACAGCAAAATGCTGAGAATAGTATTCCATATTTCTCGGTCTCGATGAGAAACCAAATGCAGGACGATCAAACCCAATTAGAGCACAATCCAACTGCTTCCCATAAGCACCCCATAAGGCATGATAAGTATATAACCAAGAACCGAATCCATGAAGAAGAACTAATCCCCAAGTCACGTCTTTGTTGATAGGAATATATTGCTTGAAATGAATAACTGTGTCCTTCACTTGAATCAAATGACTTGCGGAGTCTACTAATAATTCGGGTGATTGTAATGATTGACAATAAGATATATTTGCAGCGAATAGCCAAAATACTCCAAAAGCAAAACAAGCCAATAACAAAGAATGGAATAACCGAGTAGTACGAAGTCTCTTTGATAACAACTCATAGACAAAGAAGAATACTGCACTGGTTAGCAACAAAACAAGTAAGAAACCTTTCTTGGATGGCTGAAAACAAGGAAAACGATGGTTCTCACTTTGTTTCAAAGGGGGATTCAACATCTGCAAGTTCTTGCTCACTGCCTTTTTGCTTCTCGTTTGGAATATAAAGGAACCTAAACGAAACTTCACAGCCTTCTGATATCTACTACTACACAAACACTTGCCACCATACTGCACAATGTTTGGAAATAACTTGGTCATCCAACCATGGAAAACAAACATTTCTCAAAAGGATCAAATTATATTTTATTGTTGCATACGACACAACGTTGTCCATTCCTTCACAGTTCTCTAACCAGACACAACTATTCTTTGTTACATGTCGTCATCTTCATCAGGCAAGGCTACATTCTGAGCTTGTTGTAACTCTGCCTCCATTTGAGCTTTGTAGGTATCGTCAATATGAACTTCTGCTGGAGCAAGTGCTGGTGCTTCTACAAATACCAAATTGGGATCACCAACCAACTTACGAGCAAGCCATAGGAACGGTTTCTCAAAGTTATAGTTGCTCTTTGCAGATATATCGTAGTACTGAAGATTCTTCTTTCTGTGAAAAGTAATCTGCTTCGCTTTCACTTTTCGATCCTTAACGTCTACCTTGTTCCCAACTAGTACGATGGGGATATTTTCACAGACTCGAACCAAATCTCGATGCCAGTTGGCCACGTTCTTATAGGTGATTCTAGAAGTAACGTCAAACATAATGATTGCTCCTTGCCCTTGAATACTAGACAAAGTTCGACTTTGAGCAACTCAAGAAGCTTAAAGAAGAACACTTACTAATAGCCATCCCTCAAACCGCCAAACTTTTCTTGACCGGCTGTATCCCAAACGTTGAAAACGATGGGGCCTCTATTGGTATGAAATTTAAGAGGATGCACTTCAACACCGACTGTAGCAATATATTTCTTTTCGAATTCTCCGGAGAGATGTCGCTTCACAAAAGTTGTTTTACCCACACCGCCATCTCCTACTAGGATGATTTTAAAAGTGGGAACGTTTGTTCCATCTGTTTGAGCCCCTGTTTGAAAATGAGAAGCCTTATTTTCAAAGGATGAGAATAAACCTGGAGAAAATACAAGTTATGCTTTACCATTCGACTAACCAAAGTGTACAAGTCGGCGTACGAGACCCAATAACAACAAATAAACGGCGAGTTTCAATTCTCCCAATTGAAAGACTTGTGTATTTGAAATGTTGACTTGCGAGGGTATGTGAAACCTTCATTAATAGTGCCATCTGACAACTGAGGTACATAATACATACACCAGTATTGTTTATATAATTATTCACAACACTTGGATATTTGCACAATGACTTGTTTCGAATCCTAAAGGGAGGATAGAATACGGTCAATAAGGGATGTTTCCACTGCTTTGGGTTCCTGTGGCAAAGTTTTGGTCCATTTCTCCAAGTTTTCCACTTTGTCTTGTTCCTCTTCTCTATCAAAGTTCAGTAACAGATTGCTCGATACTTTGCTAAACAACGAGGCTTGCTGCAAGGACTCAAAACTTTCGGATATATGAAAAAAACTCTCTGACAACCTTGACAATAATAAACTTCGAAGAGAAGGAGCTTGATATACTGTTCCTTGTATAATGTAGAATACTTGCAGCGTCTTCGTTTCCTCTCTATTGTATCTGTATACCTTCTCGACGACGAAAAAGACTGGCTCTTGTTGGTTCGTTACCATATATTCTGTTCCAACCAAATTGTAGAGAACTTCAGGGTCGAGTTTCTGCATTCGAATCTGCTCATTGTTGCAAGAAGGGTCATAAAAAGGAGAACCTGAAAAATAGTCTAAAACTGTCTCTTGGGTCAATGGAAAGTTTGCCAAAAACCAATTATCTCTCCAAGAAAGATGAGCCAAGTCTTCAACTAAACTAGCTCTATTCCCTTGCATCGTGGAACTTTCTTCTTTCTCTTTCTGTCTTATGGTTGTAAGGAATCACGAATAATTCCCCTCCAACTCATCCAATCAATCGTTGAAAGAAACCAAACTTTATTTAAAATTGAAATTTCATGGAAGAATGAGCTCGTAAAACACTTCCACGCATACTCCTTGCTGCAGCTTCTTCGGGATCTTCTTGTTCCTCCATCAAAACAGAGTTACGTGCCATGCGTCTGGTTCTTCTATTTCTCCATTTCTCAATATCGAGTGAGTCATTGCCATGCATTTCAGACGAAGTTTCTTCAATTTTCTTTCGGGGAATCCTTTGATGATACTGTTGATTAGAAGTTTCCAATCGTTGTTTCCATTCAGTTGATGTCTCTACGGTCTTTTTGAGATGATGAGGCTCAATAGATTGAGCGCTTAATTCTATTCTTGGAGTTGCATTTTCTTTCATTGAAGAATTCTTTTTCATTTGGTCAGATTCCTTCCATTTACTCTCCTCTTCTTTTGGTTGGATATCTTTCTTGTGCATTGTTTCCAAAGAAGAAGGAATATTGCTTTGGAAGATGCTTTGTCGCTGCTTTACAAGTCCGCTCCAACTTACGTTCTCACGTTGCGGTTCGTGTTCCATTTTAAGCGAGTTGTTTTGAAGCAACTGACTCATTCGTTGTTGTACAAGACTGCCAGATGCCCATGGAGCTGCCAATGAGGAAGTTTCTTCTGCCTTTGGATAGTGTGGATGACGATATTGTTCTACAAGTTGTTTCGTTTCTTGAGATGCATTCTTTGAATCCTTTTCTTTCAGATCATCATGAGTTGAATATTGTTGTAGGTTGGAGCCACGGTTAACTTCACGAAGAACTGGAATATCTTTCGTAGAATGTGCAGCTCTTGGTTTTGAAGTAGATCTTCTGGTCGTGGTTGATTTCAATCTATGCAAGTCATCGTTGACTGGAATAGCTTTAGAAAGATGGTATTGTTTCGTGTGAATGGATTGTTCATATGAATTAGTCCTTTTCTTAGAAGATGGAACATGATTGGTTGTTTTCTTATTGGCAGGTCTTGAATAGCTTTGGTTTCTCCTAGGAGCTCTTTTCGATGGATAAGAACCCTCTTCAATAGAAAGACAAGCACCCATTTAAAAGAGAAAAGGGTACAATGAGTGAAACTCCATCATTTCAAATTTGAATGTCCCAGCCAAAGGCGGGAAATATTCCCTCCTTGTGATGGGAATTTCTCCTTATCAAAAGGCAATTGGATATATTTTCATGACCGTGACAAAAATGGATATTTTGTCGCAAAACAAACATATGACAAATTATTTAAGTATGTATATTTACGTTCTCAGAACAACATAAAGGGCTTTCAAAAAGTCACTTAAAAGGCAATCCTCATCGCCATTCTGACACTCATCTTTTGATACTGCGAGGTATCAACTACAATTCTTCCCGATTTGGTCTTAATAAGCACAGGTTCATCGTCATCTTCATCTTCTTCACTGTCGCTTTCATCGTCGTCGCCTGCTTGTAACTCTTCAATGCGTCGTCTTACAAAGTCAGGGTCAATTACAATCTCATAGGAACCATAACCAGAGCCTTCTTCATTATATTCATCGTCACCAACATTATTCTTTTCGTAATTTTCATCACATTCTTTACGGGATTCTTCTTGCTCTGCATTATCACTTTCCAAAACATCTGGCTGCGGTTCTTTTGTACTATCGTCTTCCATTTCATGCATTGCCTTGCGCACTTATATCAGTTTAATTAAAAAACTAAAAGAAAAACTTACTTGTTCAGCGTAATTACTTTCGTTCTTTTTTAGCTTGTCTACTTCAGGTGACATCGAAAGTCTACCCTTTCTCATACGATTGGTGAAAACTCCAACTTGTTCACTATCATCCATCTTTCTTTGTTGAAACTCATCGATTAAAGGTTTCACTTCACGGCCTTCAATATCTTTCTCCGTAGCTTGGCACTTCAATGCATCCAATCTTTGCTGTGAAAGTAGGTCTTTCAGTGCTCTCCGAACTTCCTTCCCAAGAATGCGACGACATAAGGCCTGTTCCAACATGACATCCCCTTCTTCTTCCTTCTCATCGCTCTGATTGATTTGAGTCTCTTCTGCATTATTATTTCTAGTGGAAATATCTGCTTGACGATTCTTCTTTGATAATTTCTGAAGATTCGGTTTACCAGCTGTTCCAAACAAAGCCCGAAGTTCAGCAACTGATGAAAATCTTTGACTATCGGCTTCTGCCTTTTCTGAGCCACTTCTTGGAGAAAAAGTTTCGTCTTTTCTTTGTTCTTGAAACTTGATATAAAAGAGCACTTTTGACTGAACATTGGAACCACTTTTGGAGTCACTACTATCGGCATTCTTATAGCTTTCATTGGATGATGATTTGGGAACGCCAGAAAATGTAAACACCGCTGCTCCTCCAAACAGTTTGCTGGTTTCCATTACATAACCTTTTTGTGCCAAGGCCTTTGAAAGTTGACTTCCTGCTATGTTCGGACCACTTGAACTACCACTGCTACTAGCTTCAAACTTCTCCTTCAACTTTGTAAGCGTAGAATGAACTGGTTTCTCTGTTTCTGATTTCTGTTTGGTTTCCAATCTCGATGCCAACTGCTGAACTTGTGACCGATCAACTTGCCTGTCTCCAGACAATTCTTGGATCCTTTTGGATACCTTAGAGTCCTTTGCTGGTTCGAGGCTCTTCTGTTCAAACGTTTTTCTTATATCATTCACTATGATACTTTTATCAAGAACTGAATCTACTTGGCCTTTGGACTCGAACACCCGAATACTTGACGCTATATCCTTGCTACTCTTTCCATCTTGAAAAAGAAACCACGAAATTCAACTTGACCGTAAAAGACGATGGAGAAACCTACCTCCCGATGAAGGTTGCTGAGACCGAACGCGTTCAATCTAGCTTTGACAGTTTCTACGGTACCGCATGTTTTGCTGGTCTCTTGATGCTCTGTTGTTTTGTTCAGTGCTGCCAAGCGTTGACGGACAGTAAGAGTATCACTATTGTTGTGGGTAGTACAGTCAGGTTCGTCAGTTTTGGCATTGTTGGGTTTCATAAAGACACCTGAGAGATGCTGAAGTGCAAACGAATAAAGGATAAACTATGCTTACTTTTCTTGGCTTCGAAACTTTGTTGGACAACATTGTCTTGAAAGTCCTCCTGTTCCTGACATTGACCTTTGTGGCTTGAGTCATCTACACCTAGTGCTCGAATACGTTGTAACACCAGGGACTCTGTAAAGGCTGGGTTGGACATATCAATGCTAGTTGGCAATCGTTACAAACAACATATATATATATATATATATATGTGTGTGTGTGTGTGTGTGTTTTAATAGTAGAATAGTACACAATATCGTGTTTGCGCGTTGACGTGTGTTTTTAAGACAACCTTTCAACAACAATGCTACACAGAAAAGACACGTCAGTCAAAGGGAATGCCCATTTCCCAACCTCATTTTGGAGATTTCCTTGTTCTAGAGAGAAAGAGAAAGAGAGACGTGATATCCTATGGTGAAAAAGACACGCAATGATTTTGAAGGATCATGGTTGCTGCTTGTAACCCAAAAAAAACTTTCCAGACTGATCAATCTAGTATGGTTTCTATCAAGTGTCGAGAGAGAATGTTGTTGAAATCGGACACACACACACATGGAAAGGAGAATGCCATTTGATCCATTTTAAATTGAGTGCAACTTCTTTTTTTCTTTTTGGAGAGAGAGAGAGAGAGAGAGACCGAGGGCTTTGGTGATGAGCAGTCTTTGAGTTGTTTGTAAGATAAAGTATTTGACACAAAATATTATGGCGGAAACCAACTTTGTCGAGTCCGGAATGGAACACGCCAAGAGAGCTATAACTGCTGATAGGGAGGCTTTGGAAACTGACTCATTTGAAAAGTATGAAGAAGCATATCGTGGTTATTTAAGAGCCATCGAATACTTTTTGACGGCTTTGAAATATGAGAAGAATTCTAAAACGAAGCACATTATTCGTGCTAAAGTGGAAGAGTACATGGATAGAGCCGAGGAAATAAAGAAAGTTTTGCATGAACCACGAGAGAGAGTAGTGGACTCCAACGGAAGAACAGGAAACGGGGCAACAGTTGGTGCAACAACAGAAAGGAGACGTTCCTCTTCACAAGGGAATGGAAACAACAATGAAGCTTCTCAGGAAGAAGAAAAACGGCTCCGAAGTGCCATTGAGAGTGCTATCGTAAGAGAAAAACCAAACGTGAGATGGGACGATGTAGCTGGGCTTGATAGCGCAAAAGATGCATTGAAGGAAGCAGTTATTCTTCCGTTAAGGTTCCCTCAGTTGTTTACGGGTAAAAGGAAGCCTTGGAGAGGCATATTGTTGTATGGCCCACCTGGTACTGGAAAATCTTATCTAGCAAAGGCTGTTGCTACAGAAGCTGATGCACACTTTTTTAGTGTATCTTCCGCCGACTTGGTTAGCAAGTGGATGGGTGAAAGTGAACGTTTAGTACGTCAATTATTTTCGTTGGCAAGGGAGAACCAGCCTTCTATTATCTTTATAGACGAAATAGACTCATTGTGCAGTTCCAGAAACGATTCTGAGAGTGAAAGTGCTAGAAGGATAAAAACAGAATTTCTTGTTCAAATGCAAGGTGTAAGTAATGACTCAGATGGTGTTCTCGTTTTAGGTGCAACCAATATTCCTTTCTCGCTAGATAGTGCTATACGGAGAAGATTTGAACGACGTATATATATTCCTCTACCAAATGTTCAAGCACGTGAAAGAATGTTTCAAATACATATTGGAAATACCCCTCATGAGTTGAAATCTGAAGATTTTCATGAGTTGGCACTGTTAACGGAAGGATATTCAGGATCGGATATTGCTGTATTGGTTCGTGATGCTATTATGCAACCAGTTCGTACATGTCAGAATGCGCAAACTTTTAAGAAAGTCAAGAAACCGAAGAGTGATACCAATCAATCTTTGAAGGTATACTATACACCCTGCAGTCCAGGTGACCCAGAAGCGGAAGCTTTGACTCTGATGGATATCAAGGCCGATGATCTTTTAGTGCCGAATGTTTCCAAATATGATTTTGATAAAGTTATTGCGAATACGAGACCGAGTGTGAGTCAAGAAGATATTGCACTACATATCAAGTTTACGAAAGAGTTTGGACAAGAAGGAAACTAATATGCTTAGATAATATACCCATCCATAAAATTTTCATGATTTCTACTTTGGAATGATATATTTTTAAATAGTCGCTGAAATGACGAATGAACTGTGGCGACGAATCGAGTCGTCCTCTCTTTTCTATTATTCTTGAGCAAAAGGTTCCCATTTCTATTTCTATGTAACGTTTATCCCATCATTCCTCCACCTTTTGAATTTTCAATCATTTCTTATTGATTGTTGTTGTTGTTGACATCATGTCTCATCCCAAGTGTTTCTTTGATATCTCTATCGGTGGACAACCTGCTGGAAGAGTTGTATTTGAAGTGAGTAGTGTATCTATTTCCTGCTTCTTCTATTCAATTTTCTAGTTGTTTTCGGATGTCGTTCCTAAAACTGCCGAAAATTTCCGTGCCCTGTGCACCGGTGAAAAGGGGTTTGGATACAAAGGTTCCAAGTTTCACAGGTTTGTCAACTCGATCTCATAATGTAGATCTCACGCACCTGTATCTAGAATCATACCTCAGTTTATGTGCCAAGGTGGAGATTTCACTCGCGGTGATGGAACGGGAGGCAAGAGCATCTACGGTTCCAAGTTTGAGGATGAAAACTTCAAGTTGAAACATGGAGAACCATTTTTATTATCGATGGCCAACGCTGGACCGAATACCAATGGAAGTCAGTTCTTTATTACAGTAGTGAAGACGCCTTGGTTGGATGGCAAACATGTGGTATTTGGAAAGGTCGTAGAGGGAACGGATATCGTGAAGAATATGGAAGCTGTAGGTACACAGAGTGGAGCGCCCAAGAAGGAAGTGAAGGTCACCGATTGTGGTCAATTGTAGTGGTTAAAGCGTATGTTTGCGATGCCTTTGTAAGGCAAATTGTGTTTTTGTTTTCGTGATAAAACGATTGTTGTGTTTTATGAAAGTGAGCTCATTCGATGGAACCATCACTTTTCACTTGCAAGTGAAATATACGACGATGCAGACTACGAGTGTTCTTAGATATCCAAGAAAAGCTAACCAGTTTAAGATATGGAAATATTTTGGTTTCACTCGTTGTTGTTTCTTTTTGGGTTTTCTATGGAAACATGACTTGTGAAATGGAAATCATCACATTGAATAGTGGTAGTGGGCGTTGAAGACATTATTCTGTTGTGTGAAAGCACTCACAAGCGACTTTATGAACCAAGACAATCAAAGTTCATCTAGTGAAAGCGATCGAGTTGACAATAGAGATTGTCCATGTTTGCAAGGAGGAGTTTGCAGTTGTGAAGGTTCTTGTGCTTGTCGCATTGTACAAAGCAAGTTTCAACCTTGGAAGGATACAGCAAAGAGAATAAGAGATGTCGTCATATTTCCTCTCATATCAGGTCTTATGCTTGGTTTAGGAACTGTCGTTGGAAGACGATTAGGAGAAGCCTGGTTCTATCCTAGGGAAACTTATGCCACCAAGTGAGCAACAGATTCGCTTCCTTTTTGGGGTTGGAAGGAACAGGGTCCAATCTTGTAGACACCAAGATAAGGTTGGAAACGGAGAGATTCTCAAAGCGATGTTTTCAAGAATGGATAAATTAGAATATTGTGAAACATGATGGTAATCTTTCTTTTGTTCTTTTCAACCTTTGCAAAAGGTAGTTTTTCCAAGTAATCATTTTGGTCTTCATTTTCGATACAAAACAAATGAGATCCACAAAACTAACCCTATCAAAACTAATATAAGTATGGAGCCCAACCTACTCTTCTCATTCATTCGAGAACGACGTTGTTCATATCGACACCATTCTTCAACACCAGCTTGAATCGACTTTCTTGGAATATATCCAAATGCCTTGTTTGCCTTTTCACTTGTAAAAGTATGAATCATGGTGGACTTTTTCAACTCCATGGGCATCAAAATAGGCTTCTTATTCAACCATTTTGCTATCCATTGAGTGCATACAGCAAAAGGATATACCCATTTTCTTGGTATATACAAAGTAAATAGTGGAGGTGAAATACCTGAAGCCAATAAGGCAGGAATATAAAAAGTTTGTAAACACTGGGGATCGTTTTCGGAAATAAAAAAGGCATTTCCGCTAGTCGTTTTAAGAACATTTGGATCGATGGCTTCTTCATGTAACCGTTGCGCTGCCAAAATATGTGCATCCACCAAATTATCCACGTGAACAAAGTCCTCCAAACAATATGATTCGACACAAAACTCAGATTTCGTGGAATTACTTACCATATTCTTCTCGGGAACGGGAGAAATCAAAAAATAAAGGAGTCCGAGTTTAGCCAACTTTCGAATTCTTTCAAAATGTACTTTTTCTCCTGGACCATAAATACCTCCAGGACGTAAGGCACAAGTGTGTAGTTGATTGACACCATTCCATCCCAATGTCTATATATATATATGTACATGCAATGTCAATAACAAAATGGAAAGAAAACTATTACCGACCAATCTTTCCGACTCTGCCTTGGTTTGTGTATAAATATCCATAAATTGGTGGACAATGGGAGTAGACTCGTCTTCATTCACTATTTCACGAGTACCATTAAATACAACATTATGTGTACTGGTAAGAACAAAGGCCCTAGCACCATATAACCGTGCAATGCATAGCAACTCTTCCACTCCTTGAACATTCGTCCTATACGCTCTTGCAAAATGGAGTTCAGTAGAGGCACAAGCTGCTACAAAGAATATTGTTCCTCCAAATAACTTTCTCCAGAACTCATCTATCAAGCAAGGATAAGACAGAAGAGAGGGTCAGAATGTGAACCAACTTGCCACCCCAATTCTTAAGTTGACCTGTACCAGCAGCACAGTGTAAAAACTCCACTCCATCATATCTTCTTTTCTCACTCTCGGACAATAGTTGGACGTCTACTACTATGATTCCAGCCACTAATTCCAGTTGTCTCAATTTACACAATTGGTTCAATAACCTTTGACCCAAATAACCACAACCACCAACTACAACTACATAGAAAATGACTCAATAGTGTTCTATGATATCCTTTCTAACTTACCACAAGTACCCAACTTGGTCTTTCTATAAAACTGAAAGTCATCCACCATTGGTTCAATATATGAGTTCTCGTTGTCCAACAAGGCACTCCACTTCACAACATAATCATTGAAATTATTTTGAATGGCTGTTCCAATCAAAGTAACATGAAACTATGCAACCTTGAGAGAGAGAGAGAGAGAGAGAGAGAGAGAGACTTGAGAAAATGATAACCATGGAAACTGCTCTTCCATTCTAGGAATGCTCTTTTATTCAGACTTGCTTTCAACTGACTACACAACTCTACTCTTGTTTCTCTGAATGCTTCTTATCCAATACACTATCACTTGTGACCAACTCAAGGTCAGCTTTTTCGATCAATTCTTTTACGATAACAAGTTGCTTTTTTTGTTCTTGCAACAATTGTTCCCATGGCTGTTGTTGTTCCATTTCATTATCACCAATAGGCTCCGAAGAATCTGATGATTTCGTGGTATTCGTTTTACTAACAAGGAAATTCAACATCACTTGTTGCCATCTACAGATATCTTCTTCTCTTTTCAGAATCTGATGGATATACTCAACTGTATCCGTTGAGAGAACTACTCGATATGTACCAGTCTTTTCGCTCTTCGTATTCGATAACGGTTGTTCACATGGGTTGGTTGGATAAGACAAGGAATGAGGTATACTACAAGTAGTACTTGTCATTCGACTATCGACACTTTCTTGGTCTTGCATCCTTTGTGAGGCTTCCAACAACAACTTTGCCGCAGCGGCAGTTGCAACACCTTCTTCAACAGTATTTACGCGAGTGGTTGGTGGAGACGTTGTATGTTCCAAAGATACTTTGTCTTCTGTGCAACTACTGCTTTGGTTCTCGTTACGTAAAAGACCCCGAAAAGAAGTGTCAATTCTCTTCTTTCGAGGTGACTTGCGTTTGGGTACTGTAGTGATGGTAGTCGTTTCACTCGTCGACTTTTCTTTCTTTGACTGCTGTTTCTTTACAGAATGGGTGGCGTATCGAGTTACTGGGAAGACATCCTTTATCGTTGTTGTGGTCTTCTCCTCTCTGAAGGAAGGAGATTCCTTCGACACAGGTTCTGGAGTAGACTTGGATTTTCTAAAGATAGAAGGAATACGAAGGAATGATAACTTCAAAATTGGAGTCGAAACAAGTGTTGTTTCACTTTGCATAGTCTGTTCAACTCGATAGTCTTCTTCTCCCGTTGTACACCGTTTCTATTTTCAAATTGAACTCGAGATTGCCATGATGATTGGCTTTTATTCCAAGGAGGGCTTTTCTTCTATAACATTTATAGAAGAACCCAAAACTCCTTAATAAATAAAAATCCAAGAGATATTTACAAATAATATCAAAGCTCAAAAAATATCTCAAAAATGGAAACAATCCAAAAAGAAACACTATCAACATCACCAACCAGCAAGTTGTTTAAACAATACATCACAACTTTCCAAAAATAACAACACATTTCCACGCAATTTCTAATAAGAGCGAGTCATAAGTCCTCCAATAAAAACAATTCTCACCATACTTACTTGGATATCTACGAGATATCCATCCACATCTTTATACACCTGTATGCTCATTTTCACGAAAGCTACATGATTCGAAACAGGGACAGTCACTACTTTTATCTAAAGATAATCATAATAAAAAAAATATATATATATATAGACAGGGGAACTGAGCATTTTCTGCTTACATGATATTGTCCAAAATTTCTCCATTTCCAATGATTGCAAGTCAATACTCGATAAAGCTTGATCATCGTTTCCGAAGCACTGGGTTCTTTCATACGTATTCCGAGACAAAAACTGAAAAGGGATGATTCTTCATTTCATCAAAATTCAAAAAAGACTTACTGGTTAGAGTCCATCTTACGATACAAATGGCGATAAACTTCATCTTCCTTATTGTTGTTCATAAAATGAGTCTCTTGGAGAGAAGTTTCCGAAATAGCTGCTTCCATCTCCTCAGAGATATCCATTTTCACAATAGAATCCTTCAACAACTGATAGGCTACTGAATAACAGTTGCGCTTGCCCTTTTTTAAAGAATTGATTACTTTCTCTCTGGAATATCCGGTACGCTCTTCAACAAGTTTTAAAACCCTCTCATCAATGTTCAGTAGCTGATGAATACTTTGGGGACCTAAAGCTATATATCGTGGAAGTTTGGTGATAAACCAAGGATGTCTCCGAATCTCTTCTATGGTAATACGTCTTAATGGGTCCGTAATTAACATTCTGGAGATAATATCACGAGAATGTTCAGAAAGATAAGAAGGAAGAATATAAATGCCACCCCTTATTTTCTTAAAAAGGTTGGGAATATTTTCATCATCAAAAGGTAATGAACCACAAAGTAAAGCATACACAATCACTCCGCAACTCCAAATATCAACCTAATCAAGTCATGAGTTCCATAAAAAAACGAATAGAGAAGCTCCAGTATATCTCATACCTCTGGACCAGCATAAAGTTTTCCTGATATAACTTCTGGAGCCGCATAATTGGGAGAACCACAACTCGTCTTTAAAAACTGACCATCCTTCAAAATATTCGATAGTCCAAAATCCGCTATTTTGACGTGCATATTTGAGTCCAAAAGTAAATTTTCTGGTTTCAAATCACGATGTACGACCATATGGCGGTGACAATATTCAACACCGGAAATAATCTACAACGGTCAATCCACAGTATGGCACACAACTTCAAAAGCAATACCTGTTGAAAGAATTTACGAGCTTCATCTTCACTCAAACGTCCTCTTTCCACGATAAAGTCAAAAAGCTCTCCTCCACTGATGTATTCTGTTACCACAAAAATATCGGTTGGAGTATCTATCACTTCATATAGGCGAACGACATGTGGGTGGTTGAACAACTTGAGAATCTTTATTTCACGCTGCACTTTTTCATCCATTCCAAGGGATTTTATCTTTTGCCGGTTCAATATTTTCACCGCCACTTTTTTGCCCTATTCAAGTTTCAACGCGGAATTTTGAACGTTTGATAGTACTGACAGTTTGTTCGTGTTCTGCCAACTTGACTTTTCCAAAAGAACCTACACCTAAAGTTTTCCCAAGAATATAACTTCCTATTTTGACTGGAGGGTTCTGATAGAAGGTGCTCATATCGTTTCCACAAAAACTCACTCCTGTCCACCAAAACAAATTTTCTAACGGAAATCGAGAATCTCCAATGTTCAAAAGCATCGAATGAAGACTGATTTCCATTTCATTCTTGATAATAAAACACTGGAATAGTATTAGAGATAAGAATGATAAATTCATAAAGCATGAAATGGTAGCTCAAACCATTGTGTTTATGTTATTATCTGGTGAAATTGTTATTTTTTTCATGATGCTCCTATTAGTCAATTCTTAGCTATTGAATAAAACAAGATAACAGATAAGGTAGACAACAATATAAGATTGTGGGTTTGAACTGCTACTTATCCATAATGATAGCTAGATACTGTTTCAGCTATCCAATTGTAGTTGATAAAAGTTTCCATTAACATATAAATATATATACAGTGAAATCCCAATGAAGGGTCAGAGGGAAGTAGCGGAGATTGTTAGTTAGTCCCATGTTAGGATTTGTTGTGTGGTTATCGTCATGCAAAGTATATACGAAGCATAGTCTAGTAAACAAAAGAAGACTCTCATCTAAGGGTGTCAAACAAAATGTCTGTTTTTGGTTAGGTCACTACGTTGATGTTCCTAGTCCAGTATTCTTCTCTGTATGGGAAAGAAGGAGGGTTCGTAAATATTGCGTAACAGGAAAATCGTCTACTTATAGTCAGAAAGAACAAGAGCAATACCCACACCGACGTTTAAAAAATTATGGTGGATTAGGTGGAAAGTATGATACCCGTCAGTATCCTGCAAAGTCGTTGTGTTCTCACTGTGGACTTTGTGACACTCGCTTCATACACTATGTCAAGGATAGTTGTGCCTTTTTAAATCAACACATCAGCGAATTGGAATATACAGTTCATGGAAAGTCAAGAGATTTGGAAGTAGAAAATGAACTCTATTTTGGAGTTCATCTCAACATGATAGCAGCTAGAAGAAAACAACCATTACCGGGTGCACAGTGGAGTGGTATTGTAACTAGTATTGCCACAAGACTACTTGAAACTGGCAAAGTTCAAGGAATCGTTTGTGTCAGGAATGATGAGCAAGATCGTTTTCAACCCAAACCTGTTCTCGCAACGACGCCTGAGGAGATATATGCTTCGAGAGTCAATAAACCAACGTTATCACCTAATCTTTCAGTTCTTGACACAGTGGAAGCGTCTGGTTTTACTCGAATAGGCGTCATTGGCGTTGGTTGTCAAGTGGAAGCTTTGAGAAGTGTACAGTCCAAATTGGGTTTGGAAAAGCTATATGTATTGGGTACTCCTTGTGTAGATAATGTGACAAGAAAAGGTTTGGACAAGTTTCTAAGGACAACTTCTACAAGTCCTGACACAGTGGTCCACTATGAGTTTATGCAAGATTTTCGAGTTCATTTCAAACATGACGATAAAGTAGTGGGCGGTCCTGGCAAACAATGGACGGAAACAGTACCTTTTTTTGGTTTAAAGACTAATGAATTGAAGGACATTTTTGCACCATCTTGTTTGTCTTGTTTTGACTATGTGAATTCATTAGCTGATTTGGTTGTCGGTTACATGGGAGCACCTTTTGGATGGCAGTGGATAGTTGTTCGTAATGAGATTGGAATGGAAATGTTGGATTTAGTAAGCTCCCAAATAGAGACTATGCCTTTGTCTTCTTCGGGCAATCGCTTACAAGCCGTCCAAAATAGCATTCCTGCTTATGATAAAGGAATGACTTTGCCCATGTGGATTGCTCAACTTTTAGGAGTCGTTATTGACAAATTGGGACCAAAGGGCTTAGAATATGCTCGGTTTTCTATCGACTCTCACTTCACTCGAAATTATCTATACATGAAGCGAAATTTTCCGAATATTTTACAACGTCATGTTCCAGAATATGCTCGCCGAATTATTGAACAGTATAAACTTCCTAAAGAATAGTAACTAATGAAGGCCAATAAAGGAAATTTAAACTTGGAATCGTTTGTGGGGGGAGGATTTGATTCTTGTCCTTTTGGGTTGGCAGTGTCGTATAGAGTAGTGGTATGAGAAAGAAACTATTGGTAAGCGGTAAGTGGTCAACTTTGTTTTGAGATCAAATTCTATTCCCATATATTCCATCCTTGTTGACAAATTGTTTTTGTAGTCGTTCGAGCACAGAATATCCCGGTTCCAACCAACTCGGAAGTAAGACTCCTTGAATTCAGGTGTAATAGTCCTTATGTATTCTTTTCATTTGTAGGGTGCTTATGTAGTTATCTCTTCGCCGCAACAAGACTTTTTTAGAACCGAGAATGTAAAGGGCAGTGGTACAGAAATAGTGTGGAACGCCATGGAGTTTCCTATTCAGGTGACACCAGATACCTCCAATCTAACTGCATTTGTATATGTAGACCGCAATGTTTCTAAAGAAAATGCTGGAAGAGCTGAAGTTCCTCTCAACCAAGTTTTTGGGGATGGTTCTCAACTGGGTAAGTCTAGTCTTTTTAATTGGCTGGCTATAGGATATTATATACGCTTTGAATAGGTTGGTATCCTGTTTTATTTAAACAAAAGGATGGCTCTTGGCGTTCCCAAGGAGACCTCTATTTAGAAATAAGATACACTGGTGATGATTACACTACTTACGGGAACAGTGGATCTCCTCAACCTTATAGCAACGTTCAAGCACCACCTCCAGTATATGCGCAACCTGGTGGATATTATGGTAATCCTGGTCAGATGCGTGCCACTCAAATATTAGACGACCCAGTGACTAGACAGCAAAAGTAAGTATTTTTTTGTTGAAGAAACTCATGTTGAACCTCTATCGAGTGCATACTTTCAAGAGCGACAGTTACGCTTGCAAGAAATACAAACTTGCATTGACTGTGCAATGTGCTTGGCTTGTATAGGCTCCCTCATCGCTCTGGATGCGGGTGCTTTTTGATACTTTCGATACATTCTGTATACACATATATAGTATATGTTATCAATTGAAGCATATTTGTTTTACCAAAACGATGTTGATGGTTTATAATAAAAACAGAGCAGGAGGGTTCCTATCCTCTCTGAGAAGGGATTATCATTTAGACGTTTTGATTAGACGGCATTGGCCAAGTTTTCTTCTCCTGGCTGAACTTGGTTGGGTTTTCTTGAGACATGTCCAAGTTAGACGAAAGGGACCACATATTTCCCAACAGCATATTTCGTGCTAAAGGCCATGACCAGAATTGGGAAGTTGCACGCGGAAAACGGTCATCTGCCCAAAAACACGCCAAGGACATGGAAAGTCTAGTTGGCAAGCATGTGGAACTGAGTCGCTCTGCACCAGTTAGTCATGGTTTCCTCTTCCATCCTTTGAAAACGGTGTCTCCTAAAACTTCTGCGACATCCACAAGTGAGGTTGCCATAGGCACGGATGACAAGTTGCCCGTATACGAAGTTTACTATCCACACATTTCACGAAGAGCGCCTGTAGTCATGGATAGTCCACACTCGGGAAGATACTATCCAGCAGATTTTGGGTCAGCAACTCCTATTAGTAAACTCCGTTGGGGAGAAGATGCTTATGTCGATGAGTTGATTCTGAGTGCTGTAGATTCGGGTGCTGTCGTTTTGTATGCACTGTTTCCGCGCTGCTATATAGGTATATGGGTACAGATATAAATGGATAGGCTGAACTTAATTATTTTCGGTAGATGTAAACCGTTTTCCGAATGATATCGATATGGAACTTGTAGATGGAGAGTGGCCAGAAACTCTTGCTGTTTCAGAAAAGACAAAAAAAGGCCTTGGGTTGTTGCGAAAATATGTAGTTCCTGGTATTCGTGTTTATCAACGTAAACTTAGTGTTGCGGAAGTACAATATCGTTTGGAACATTACTATAGGGCATATCATAGAGAACTTCAAAGACAGTTAGAAAGCACGTTTCAGGAGTTTGGAACCGTTTTTCATATTGATTTTCATTCCATGAAGTCCAAAGGCAATAAGATGACTCCCGATACGGAAGGTACTCGTAGACCGGATATGGTAGTTGGTAACTTGAGGGGAAAGAGTGCTGGCCCAGAGTTTACTTCAGTTGTTGTTGATACTTTACAAGACTTGGGATATCGCATTTCATTGAATGAACCTTATGCAGGAGCTGCCATATTAAGAATGTATGGGAATCCTCGTCAAGGACGTCACTGCATTCAAATAGAGGTTAATAGAGAGCTTTACTTGGATGAGAAGAGGGTTCGAAAGATACCCGGGAAGTTTGAACGCCTTCGTGATGACCTTTCCATACTGTTTAGAAGAGTTTGTGCTTGGGCAAACGCTCATCGCTCACCACATGGCAATCAACCTGGAATTCGTCGCGTATTCAGTTCCGATGATATGTTGCTTCTCGAGGACGGTGGTGGTTTTTGTGATGATTCAGATACTGATTGGGAAAATGTAATGGAACAGGAAGACAGTGAGTCACAATTGGAGGACGGTTTGGAGATGGGTGACTAATTACGCCCACACATATTCAGATATATCCATATATAGATATGGAATAGCATGATCCACTCATATGAAACTATACAATTAGTCAATAATATGGTTCATATTTTTTGAGACGCAATCTTTCATCTTGTATTTATGTAAAATGTTGTCTCTATAACATGGATTTTCTCAATCTTAAAATTCTTCATGCAAATTTCTTTATCGGGCCATTGCTTGGGGAAATGACCCAATGATGCAAGGAAAGGTCGACACGTGGAGAAGCCGATGTTCTCGGAGAGCTATAATATTGTTGGTCGCTGTAAGTTACATAATGTACACTGTCAACTGACTTATAGTTGTAGTCCGTTTCAGCCTTATTGTTGTATCAGTTATTCGTGACTGGAAACACTTTCTTGAGACGACCCAACCAAGCATCGTCTACAGTTGGTCGTAGTGATGTGTTTTCTCTTTATTGTCAATTGAATGGTATAGCAAACAGAGAGTATAGTTGATTGGCAACTTTCATTTTTGTTATTAGGTGTTGGTAATAGAGTGATGGTTGGATTACCTGTTTGTAAGCTGGAATATATGAATGTCTCATTAACTTTGTGGAACAAGGTATAGTTATACAGTTATCATTTTTTGTTGTAAATACTCATTAGGACATTCGATAGTACAAAGAAGAAGACAATTTGTATTTACTTGTAGACAGACAACTACGAAACCAACTCGGTATTTTCTATTCTAATGACCAAAAGAAAGATAAGAGTTCGAGTCGTATGGTTGAAGTAGACTGCAACGATTGGGTAAGATGAACTTGAATATAACTGAGTCATCCCATTTCGTTTAGGAGATATTGAATAGTACATTATCAGCTTGTCGACAACTAGAGGATAACTTCGCAACCATGTTGAAAAATGGAATAGATGAGATTTGGATATGGAATGGTTCGTATTACATATCAATGTTGTGTCATTTTGATGGAAATGGAACAAGTTGAGAATGTCATTCTTCTACATTCACCCGCGTTGTTAGTAAAAAAGATTCGAAAGACACCACAACTTGTAGAAGAGGTAAGTTGTCTTGTTTGGTATGACAGATACGAGAATGTGTATGTTATTGTTAGTCTTCTATCTGGAAAAGACATATCGATTCCGGTTATTCTGCACTAGTCGATACGAATGATGGTCATTCGAGGTAATTCAAGGTTTACTGCAAGTAATATCCATAAACTTTGTTTATAGATGGCTCAATCCTCTAGTGACTACTTTGAAGGTAAATCAAACGATTGAAATTCTCGTTCTTAGACTCTAATAATGACTGGTTTCTACAGATGGACAATGCTAGTCGATATATAGTTGAAGGATTTGTCGTACAAGTTAGTGTGAATAGGAAGACTAAATGCCAAACTTAAGATTAAGAGGTTCAATAGGCTTTGGTTGTTCACAGTTATGTCAAACATTGGAATATGTTTTATTCACAACGCATGAAAAACTTGTCATGGATAGATGCACAAATAGCTTACATATATAGACAGGTAACTTTGTATCCTTTGATGTTTGACACAGCTTTGAAACTGGATACGCAGTTGATAACGGAACAAAATAATGATACCTTCGACAATCAAGAATTTCAAACTAAAATATGCAGTCAGCAGTTTGTTCAGCAGGCAAGTAAATAGCTATCGTACTCTATGACGTTGGTTACTGAAAGGAATTCTGATAAAGCCTCATCGATATTCTATTCAGGATCGTTTTACCGTTCTCCTATCCACTTTCAATAGAGAACAGTTGGTTCAAAGACTTGTTAGACATTATCAAGAGAATCCTAGGGTTCATCGTATATTTGTATTGTGGCACAATCCATTAAAGCAAGTAAGATTAGTCCTGTTTTGATATTTCTATTGAATAACATTGGACAGCCTTCCGAGGAGTTGTTGACTGCATTGGATGAGAACAAAACTTCTATCGTCGCGATGCCTTTTGATTCTCTCAACAACAGGTTTTTGCCATTGGAAGGAATAGAAACAAAGGTAAGCACTTGAGGATAAAAGATGATCAATATAAAAGATATTATTTTTCTATAGGCTGTGTTGATATGCGATGATGACATGTTTATCGATCATGAGGATATCCTTTATGCTTTTCAGATATGGAACGATTCCTCAGAGTCACTCACTGGATTTTTTCCTAGAGCGCATAGAAATGTAAGGCAAAATGGGATAATAATAAGGAAAATGCTCATTTGTTTGTCAAGATTCGTGAGAATGAATATGAATATGTGACCCATATTCCTACGGATTCTACTCAGAACAAGTAAGATAGATGGAATTTTGTGTGCTTTTCTTTGTATCTGAACGAGAATGAAGATATTCCATTATGCTTACCAAAATAGAGTTTATGAAAAGTGAATATTTATTTTGGTATTATTGCGCGTTTGATAGAAGAGTTCTCCAGTGGATTCGTGACAACAAGAATTGTGAAGACATTGCTATGCAAATGGTATAATGATATGTGACTTTTTATGAAATAGTCTTTGCTGAGATTGGCGATGGTTAGATGGTTTCCGGTTTGACTGGAGCACCTCCCATTCATGTTGAAGCTAAACATATTATTGGAGACTATGGTCAACAAGCCCCTGTTGGAGAACAAGAACCAATTAGCTTCAAGGTAGCGTGGTTCAACTTTTTCCTCAAATATTGAAGTGTTTTATTAGCCGAATCATTATACATTGAGAGGAGAGTGCATCGGTATCTTTTCCAACATGGCTTTTCAACAACACGCTGTTTTGATATACAACGATCGACACGAATGAGGAAAAGTTGATTTACATTTTAATCGTTTCGTCTTTTGTGGTGTGTCCGTCACTTGACACTTGGATTGTTTGTAACACCAACTTGAACAATATGACGAGCAAGTGCCATTGACCATAAAATAAAGTTTTGCGTGTTTTACTGAAACACCAAGTAGGAGGTAATCAACGTGAGGTGGATCGACAACGTGCACAAAAGAGAGCAGAAAAGCATAAAAGGCAAACTGCTAGCAAAGAAGAAAAAGAAAACCCTGTGTTGAAAAAAGAGCGGTAAGAAGATATTCAAGAATGCCACTTTCAACTGACAAAATATTTAGAGATGCCGAAATTATGCGCCAGAAACAAGCCGCATCCAAAGCAAAGGAACAAAATGAAACCAAAGTTTGAAAAGTTGTTCTTTCTCTCACTTAATTTTTTTACTGAACTGGACAGTTATTCGAAGAGATTGTTTCTGCAAATAAAGACTTGTGGGTTTGTTTGCAATAGGAAATCAACAAGTGACTAGACTGCGAACAATACCGAAACAAAAACCTCTCCACGGCAGTTCCAAGCTTATACACTCCGCAGTTGACATGATTCCACTTGCGTTCAGTTGCTTCCAAGCTTGAGTAGGGTTGTAACAAAACGAACCGGGTCTCTCACAAGGTCCTCTTAAAACAGCATCGTCTACAATAACGATAGAGCCAGATACTACCATTCTTTTGGAATTCGCAATATCTTGAAAAGGAAGTTCACCATAATGTTGACCATCGACATGAAAAATATCACAATGCATCCAAGGATGTTGATTGGCATATTCCCAAACAGTCGTCTCCGATGAACCATAATATAATTCTATTCGATGTTCACCAAAGTGTCTCTTTAAGTAGTTCACACAACGTTGGGTATAATTGTGAATTCCTTTATCGAAACCAATGTAAGTTGAATTGGGCAATGCGCTTAACCAAGTGACAGCTGCATGACCTGCGTTGAAGCCAATTTCACAAATTTTCGCATGTTCTCTATGGACAAGTTCTTTTGCTATGAAATAATACCATTTCGTCTGTAATCGAGAATCTGCAGAGTTTCCTTCTAATTCGTTGGGTGCAATATGGTTGACAAAGTCGGTGAGTTGACTGTGAAATAGATGTATGCTCTTCAAGTCTTTCAAGGAACCACTTTGGAAAGAACGGTTATCTGTATGCTATGTTGTATGGTATGATATCACCAACCTAGTTTTCTATTGAGAAAATGATAATGCATTCTCTCGTAAAAGACATCGTAATAAATATAAAATAGAGTAACAGTAAAGAAAAATAAAACAAGAAGACGAAACGAAGGCTTCATAAGAAAAACAAAATAAAAATGCCACATCTTGTGCTTCATGTTGGATTTTCATCATTCAGCACAGAAAGAAAAATGCTTCGAAGAAAAATTTTGTCTTTACATTTTTTCTCAAAATGAATTCTTTCAAAGCTGCTGCAAATATATCTCATTTAGGTAATCGAAATGGAGAATAGGTTTGGAACGAGAGCAAATATCGTTCTCCCATTGGGGACCGTCAAGTCGTATTTGGTGAACGGAGAAATACATGGATACATCAGAACAAGGCAGTGAACAAGGTGAAGAGTCTATTTCGAACAATAGCCAACAATTGTGTAAGGACTATTTTGGAAAGTATGGTATATGCCCAAAAGGTGACTCTTGCCCGTTTGCCCATGGAGAAGACGCAAGTAAGAGCCAGGTTTTGGTATACTGTTTGTTTGTTACTGACTCTATTAGTTGTTGTTCGGTCAGAGGAAGATATTCGACGATGGCAAAGGGAGGAAATAAGAGGTAAGTTGTAGGTAGAGTGGTATTTATGTTTTCTATATTGTTGTTCAGGAAGTAACTCGAAATGGAGCGGTTACGACTTGGAAACACTCGCCAAAGTGAGAAATACTTTGACTATTTTCTTTGGTGTCTTACTTTTTCTCATTAGATTCTACGGGAACGATTACGTCACTTGTTAAACAAGCCTTTGGGTTCTGAGGATGGAAGCGCAAAAGTTTTGGAAACAAAGGAAAAAGAGACAGACGTGAACAAGGAATTAGAAATGACTCACTTGAAGGAAAACGTTGGTTCAAGGGATTCTAAGAGACCTGCTTCAGAAGTAGAATTGCCACAAGATAATAACCATTTTAAAGTATTTAAAGGCTCACGTCCGACGGTGAAAGTCGTTCAAAACAGTCGTATTCGTTGGAAAACCAGACAGTCTACTGTGGATGTGTTTTACAAGGAGTTGATGAAAAAAGGTCTAAGTGAACAAGAAGCTTCTGAACGTGCACTAAGAGAGGAAGAAGACATCTTTCATAGTTGTGAAAATGGAGGTGAAATTGTATACACGAATACGGCTAGTCATCGTTTTCGGAAATTGCTTAAAGCATCAGTTGGAGATACTAGTTGAGTTGCTAGTTGCAGTATTCTTTTATATTATAACTTGGCAACTCCTGTTTGAGAGTTTGTGAAATTTGCAACAATAGATAGATATGAATTTCATCGATTGATGCTTATTGATTGATTGCAAATTGCTTCGTCACATTGCAAAGTTGACTTGTGATGAGTGCCTCAGAAAGAGCAGTAGAACGAAGACGTAGAATACTTAATAGTAGCTCACAACGTCTTAAACTAGCTAGCGGTTCTGCCCTTGTGAGTGAAGACAAAGCACACAATGTCGAAAAGGAAACTTCATCTCCCGTCACCCCTTTCGAAGATAAGGAAAACTTGTCTGAAGAGTCGACTGTGACAAAAGCAACGCAACAAGATGTGAAAGATGCAATTGCAAACGATGGGAAGGTTCCATGGGAACAGAAAAAGTGTTCTTCGCAAAGTGATGTTTCAGCTGTTCCGCACACTTCCAATGTGCAAAGAACGCTAGACCGTTTTTCTATAATTCGGCGTGCCTCAGAGGCGTTTGGCTTGTTGGGTTCTTCTAAAGATGAGAACTTATTCCGGCCTGTATGTTTCGTATTTATGGGTGTCTTACTTGCGGTAACTTTATGTGCAACTTCGGAGGTTTCAAAAATTCAGCTTGTTTATGGGATGACTTGGTTGACACCGCTCAAGTCAGTTTCCTTCTTTACTTGGTTTATTGCCGTAGAACTGGCTGTGAATACTACGAAAATTATTTCAAGTTTCTCCGGAACACGCAACTCGAGGTTTCAACAGTTAGTCTTCATTTGGAAACTTTTACAGTTGCTGTATAGGGACTTGTTATGTGGTTTATTTGGGTTTCTAGGTTACTTGCGGTGGTTCAGCCGTACCACAGTTTAATATTTTTTTGAATAAAATATTCAAAACGCACATATTCGCTCCTTTCTCACCACATAATGAGTTGAATAATCTTTTAGGAACTTGTGGAACGCTTTCTTCTCTCCATAATCAACTGACTAGGAGTTTTGATACTTTCACCCTTCCATCTGGACTCTTGCTCGATAGCAGAAATAATATCAGATAGCGACATAGAACTTGTAACCAAATGCTGTTCAGTACCATCGACTAGGTGGCATAAGAACTATACTCAAAGACTTGTTTGAACAACACTAACCATACTCTAACTTCACACTGGGACTTTCTCCTTTCTCATACAATTTCACTTCAGTTAACAAGTTTGGAAGCTGCTTCTCTACTTTGCGTGATCTCAAATGGAACAAAAATTCCCTTAAGTTGGTAAAAAAGTGTCAACATACAACAAATCTACGAACAAGTAGAAAACCAACTACCTTGTTGACGCAGAGTTACTATCGAATGGATCAAAACTTACTGTTGCTTTAGAAATTGGACGAAACAATATTTCTGGTTTCCTATATTGGGCAAGAGTCTTCTGCAGTTTACTAAGTGGTCGAAATTTCATAGGAATAGGATCCAAAACCAAAAGTCAAAAGCCAACCAATTCCAAATGGTATTTTAAGTGGGAGAGATTCATCATCGTCGGAGCATTGCCGTTGTATGGAAACAAGCCTGCCTTCGTCTCAAATAAGTTTTAACCGACGCGGTATTCCTTTGAATCGAGCACCTCATAATGTTTTTGTGAAGCCAGCGTTTGGTTCTTGTCAGAAAGCTTGGACCAATTATTTTGAGCTACCTGTTGAGTACACTGTGGAAATACATGACGGTATACTGAATCCTGCCAATGATACTTTAGCCACTCGATATTTGCCAGATAGGGATTATCGAAGAAGATTTATTGTCGTTGATGAACAAGTTCAGCGACTTTATGGTCACGAGATATCACAGTATTTCAAGGCTCATCGTGTGGAAACGCACTTCGTTGTATTACCTGGAGGAGAGGAGAATAAAGTTTTTGAGGCCGTGGATAAAGTACTCTTTGAACTTTGCAAATACGGCTTGCATAGAAGAGAACCCATTTTAGCTATTGGAGGAGGAGTAGTGTTGGATATTGTTGGCTTTGCAGCGAGTTGTTATCGGTAGTTGATCAGTTGCGTTGGTATTATTATATTCTGTTGACTCATTAGCTTCTATCTTAGGAGAGGTGTTCCTTATATTCGCGTTCCAACTACTCTTTTAGCCATCATCGATGCTTCAGTCGGAGTAAAAACTGGAGTTGATTATGTCTCAAGTGAACTAGGAAGACTAAAGAACCGAATGGGTGCTTTTTATGCTCCGTGCGCTGCGTTTCTTGATAAGAGATTTATAGCTACTCAGGATCGTCGAAATATTATTAATGGTTTGGGAGAAATGATGAAGTTGGCACTTGTTTGTTCATCAGAACTTTTTTCATTATTGGAACAATATGGACAGCAGTTGATAATGGAAGGCTTCCAAGGTCGACTTAGTGATGTTGCAGATCGAGTCATAGAACTTTCGGTACAATTTATGTTGGAAGAACTTGGTCCCAATCTATGGGAATACAAGTTGGAACGAAGCACTGATTTTGGCCATACTTTTAGCAAGGTAATGTATTTTCTTGTTTGAATTGCATTCTTCTCATTGCTTGTATTGCAGATTATTGAGATGGAAGCGGAGCCTGCTTTACTTCATGGAGAGGCGGTGAATATTGATGGATTCTTTTGTGTTATTTTGTCTTACAAGCGAAGACTTATTTCCAGTGAAGAACGTGATCGTATTTTTTATGCTATGAAAAAGTTGGGGTTACCAACCATAGATGCTCTTTGTGTTCCGCAAGTATTATGGAGAGGTTTAGAGGATGCTTTGGAACACCGACATGGAAAACAAAGACTGCCTTTATTGAATGGTATCGGTTCCTGTATTTTTGTGAATGATGTAAGCTATTCTGAACTTGAAGAATGTGTTAAGGAATTGAATCAACTGCACAACTTGAAGTAATAAAGTGAACTGTTTGATCGTCTAATAGACATCGAGAGAAAGGACGCATTTTTACGTTTGGCAATGACAGATAACGATGCCTGGAGAGCTCTTTCGCACCATAGCGCTTCTACCGTTACGAAACAGAAGAATTGCAAAGTTTCGGGTCCGCATGTTTCATACTTCGAGAATGAAGTGCGGTCTAGTCTGAAGTTTCAAAGAACTTTGGTTCAGACTCTTCCAGATGGAAGTGTGGAGGCGATACCTAAAGAACTGCTTTATGAGTTTTGTACCAAACTGAAACCTAGCAAGTTGGGGATAATGCAAGTTGGTTGGGGCGGTAATAACGGATCTACGGTCACTGCAGGAATTGTTGCCAACAAGGAAGGTATAAGTTGGGAAACTTCTAAAGGCATGGAGAAGCCAAATCTGTTTGGCTCTTTATCTCAGCATGGAACACTTAGACTGGGAATAAGTAGTGATGGAACTGATGTTTTTGTTCCATTCAAGAGTTTATTGCCACTTGTCGAGCCAAAGGACATCGTTTTGGGTGGTTGGGATATTTCTAGTCTCAATCTGGCAGAAGCATTGGATCGAGCGCAGATATTAGAACCAGACTTGAAGAGAAAGCTTCGACCACTGTTGGAAAGTATGAAACCTCTTCCAGGAATATTCGATGAGGAGTTTATTGCAGAAAATCAACTGCCACGTGCTGACAACGTGATAGAGACGAAAAACAAGGCACGACAAGTGGAGATTATTCGACAAGACATCCGAAAGTTTAAACAGCTACACAATTTAGATTTCGTCGTAGTAGTTTGGACTGCCAATTCTGAACGTTACAGTGTGGAGCTCGCTGGAGTGAACGACACTGCAGAGAGTCTTTTAAAGGCTATCTCGTCCAATCATAAGGAGGTATGTCGAGTGAAAGACATTCTTTTCTCTTCATGATAAGACTCAATGGCCATTTAATATTTTTTGGCTTAGGTTTCCCCTTCTACTTTGTATGCGGTTGCTAGTATTCTGGAAGGTTGTCCATATGTGAATGGGAGTCCACAGAATACGTTCGTACGCGGTTGCATTCAATTAGCTGAAGAGAATCAAGTTTTTATTGTTGGAGATGACTTTAAGTCAGGACAGACAAAGATGAAGTCTGTGCTTGTGGATTATTTGGTTGGTAGTGGAATGAAGGTGAATACTTAGCTTTTGCTTTTTGATAGTTTGGACGTTGAACTTCAGTTTAGGTTGAGTCGATGGTGACGTATAATCATTTGGGAAATAATGATATGTTCCAGCTAACAGATGGAGAAATGTGGAAACCAAAGTCAGCCGCAAAAAGTAGAGTTATCGAAGATATTGTAAGCTCCAATGGAACGCTTTACGAGAAAGATGAGATGCCAGATCATGTAGTGGTTGTAAGATACGTATCTTCTTATGGAGATTCGAAAAGTGATGTTTCCGAGTATGTGACTAGAACGTTTATGAATTGTCCCTATCGAACAGTAATGTACAATAACTGCTTGGACTCTGCCTTGTGCGCTCCACTTATTATTGATTTGGCCATATTCATCGAATTGTTTCATCGAGTTTCTTATCGAACGTCTCAAATGAAAGACTTTGCCCCAATGCATCCTGTTTTGAGTGCACTATCTTTCTATATGAAGATTCCACGCACTCCTGTAGGGGAACCACTTGTGAATGCGTTGCAAAGACAAAGAGCTTGTATTGAAAATTTATTTCGTGCACTTGTAGGCTTAAATGGAGAAGATAACTTGTTTTTGGAAACAAAGTTTCCTTGTAAGAGAATAGATGAAGAATATTTACAGGGTTATTCCGTTTGAGTTGTTCTTGGATATCATCTGTTATAAATGATTCTTACCTACTTTTCATTTGCTGGGCTAAGCGAGTATGGCATCTTCCTTATCAATTGTAACAATTCAATTTGCATTGGTTGGTTGGTGGGTGGTGGTACGATTCCTATACCAAGTTTCTCGGATGCAAGACTTTGACGTCATAGTTGTGGGAGCAGGAGTAGCAGGAGCTTCTTTAGCTACAGTTTTGGGCAGAAATGGTAAGAGAGTGCTATGTGTAGAACGTGATCTCCAAGAGCCAGATAGAATAGTGGGAGAACTGCTTCAGCCCGGAGGTTGTCGGAAATTAGTTGAACTTGGTCTAGAAGAGTCTTTAAAAGATATAGATGCTCAGAGTGTATTTGGATACGGTATTTTCTTGCGTGATAAGAGAACAAAAGTGTATTATTTGCCAAGAGAACAACAAGCGTTGACAGCCCAGCAAGAAGAAGAGGCCGCTTCCTTTTCCGAAAATATGTGCGTAGGAAGAAGCTTTCATAATGGAAGATTTGTCCAAAAGCTGCGCAATTTGGCTATTCGAGAGAAACTTGTCACGCTTGTTCAAGGAAACGTGTGTGACCTTATTATGAAAAACACGAGTACGAATCTCGAGACGGAAACGGAATTGACAGGTGTTGAAGACAGTTTTTCGAACGTTGTAGTAACTGGAGTCAAGTATAAAAACAAGCAAGGTGATTTCGTGAATGCACAAGCACCTTTGACGATAGTTTGTGATGGTTGCTTCAGTCGTTTCAGAAGCAGAGTTAACAAGGCTGCAGAGTTTAAAGTGTTTTCATATTTTGTTGGTTTGGTACTTGAAAATTGTTCGTTGCCATATCCAAACTTTGGCCACGTTATTCTAGGGGATCCGGCCCCCGTGTTGTTTTATCCAATTTCATCCACAGAGACACGTTGTTTGGTTGATATTCCTAGCAAGTTTATGCAACAAGAAGGAGGTAGTTGGACCACCGAATCGTATATGCGTGATGTAGTGGCTCCTCAATTACCAGATGAATTAAAAGAGGCATTTTTGGTATCAGTATCAAAGGGAAAATACAAAATGATGCCTAATAGGGTAATGCCTGCCAGACCTGCTTCTTTGCCAGGAGTTATTCTTCTCGGAGATTCTTTTAATATGAGACACCCTTTAACTGGGGGTGGAATGACAGTAGCACTTTCAGATATAGTTTTACTCAATCAGTTATTATCACCTCTGCCTGACTTTGGTGAATGGGATTCTGTCGATAGAGCTCTACGAGAATTTTATCGAGAAAGAAGAAAATATTGTTCCACAATCAATATTTTGGCTAATGCCTTATACGGTGTATTTTGTGCCACGGGTAGTGAAGAATCAGATGAGATGCGTTCAGCTTGCTTCGATTATTTAGCAAAAGGAGGAAGGTTTGCTACAGACCCAGTCTCCATGTTGGGTGGTTTACAGTCCAGTCCCTACTTACTTTTAACACATTTCTTTGCCGTTGCCTTGTATGGTTGCGGAAGACAGTTGAAGTATTTTCCCAACATGGGACGTATCAGAGCAAGTTGGTGTCTCTTCAGACATGCATTCAACATTGTGAAGCCTCTTATTGATGATGAAAATGTCACGTTCCTAAGCAAGATTCCAATTTCCCATATCTAGTTGGCTTGCGTGGTTTTTGTCGAGAAGATACGTGATCGACTTTCCATTCTTATTTTGTGTAAATTTTACTAGTTTTCGTTTGAAGGAGGATTTTTTTAAGCTCTAAAGCCAACGATGTTGAACATGCACATACGATACTTGTTGAACACAAGTGGAATTCTTCATCATTTAGACTGTATACGGTACCTCCTGCTTCCTTCACAATCAAGTAGCCTGCAGCATAATCCCAAGGCTTCCAACCTTCACCACCAATTCCTACATACAGAGCATCCACTTGTCCACTAGCAAGTAGACACAAATCTAACACTCCACACCCTGTCTGTCGAATACCGTGTATACCATAAAGCAACAACTCGTGCAGAACTTGTAAGATGTTGGATAGACCGTTCTCATCACGAACATAACCAAACTCTGTGATGACAAGTGCCTCTTTCAAACGTTTTATTGTCGACACGTTTAGGTTCTTCTCGTCACAAAAAGCTCCCCTTCCTCGACAAGCATGAAACAGTTTCTTTCGATGAACATCGTACACAACTGCAACCTGGACGATACCTTCCACGACAAGAGCAAGCGAAATACAAACAAAAGGAAATTTGTGAATCCAATTGGTTGTTCCATCCACTAAATACAAAAAATTATTCAAATAAAATATTCGAAACACAGCCTACCAGGATCCAAAACCCAAACAACGCCGTGATCCAACAGCTGCCTCCAGTTTTCACTTGCACCAGCGTTTTCTTCTCCAAAAAGCGAGTGTTCCGGAAAGCTTTCACGTAGGCAACCGAAAATATATTCTTGTATCGAAATATCTGTAGCTGACACCAAATCTGCTTCGTTCGTTTTCACCCAGAACTCTCGACTGCTTTTGAGTGAAAACGCTTCCGAAGAAAGTCTATTTCCTGCTTCTTGAACAATTGCGACTGCGGTGTTCCAGTACGTCTCTTGGTCTTCAAAGTCACTGAAAGTTGCCATCAAGTGAACTTGTCGACAAGATCAAAAGATGTCTGCAAATTCTCAATACATATTTACTTGCAATGAAAATTTGCCTTTTATTCTACTAAAACCTTTGCATCTAAGAAGAACACTCAGTCATTCGAACATAGCTCTGTACGTTGCTTTCTCTTGCTTTCCGTATTTTACCAGTTTCTTTTGAAGTTCATCCAATTCACGTCGAATATCCTTGTTTTGAGGTTGTAATTTGGCAGCCTGAAGCAAATCTTCCTTGGCACTTTGTAGCTCTGCAAGTTGCATGCGAGCTCTTCCACGACAAAATAACGCTTTTACATTATTGCTATCCAGCTTCAGGGTGGCAGTTGCATATTGTTCAGCTTGTTGGAAACGATCTTGTTTGAAATAAGTTAAAGCTATATTGGACAGTATGGCTACTTTCATCGAATTCACTTCATCCTGTATATTCTTTTCATTCCATTTGTCTGCGTCATCGTATCCGTTTGTTTGATGTTTTGAGTCGTTCTTAGGATGCCAAAAATATTCCAATATTCGAATTGCTTCTTCATAGCACTCTCTTGAAAGAATAAATTTCAACTCTTTGTAATACGAATTTCCTCTGTCTTTCAATTCTGCAGCCTTTCTCAGTTTTTCTTCGGGAGATAACGACTGCAAAGCCTTTTCTGGTGTTAGGGCAGCCAATTCCATCAGTTCGACCTCAAAAAAAACATTGGCATTGGGAGGAACACAATAGTGTTTCTTATTTCGATCTTTTTTCGAATTCTTTTGTAAAGTCATTTGTCTCTTTCTACGTCCTTCAGAACCAAATGCATATTCCGGAGTCAAGGATGCTGCACAAACTTCACCGACCTTCATCGTGGCCACCAAAATTTCAAGGCCTAATATAACACTTCTTTTTCCTAAACGAAATGAAAGGGGCTAAGTCGCACAGATAAAAAGGTAAGTTACAACCAATGAAAAGAATACAGGGATAAATTACCTGTCCTCGTTCTCTACTGGAGTCAAAGATTTCTCCATTCTCTAATTTTCCAACATAATGTATCCATACTCTTTGATTTGCTTGTGGTGGTGTACCACTGCCTTCTGTAAGAACACGTTTTTTAACGCCTCCATCGAGAGTGAGGTTGTGATAGCACTCCGACCTCATTTTTGGGCCGAACCACCAATACGATCAATTTAGAAAAAGCACACAATCATTCTTTATTTATTCCCTATACCATGAAGAACTATTGTCTAACTCCGTTGATTTCAGATTCTGAAGCCTCCATTTTTCTTTTACTTCTGGTTCTTTTATTAGATGTCGTGGTCGAACCAACAGTCTTCTCTGAATCTGAACTATTCCTAGAGGATTTAGAACGGACCTTGAAAAATATTTAGTGTGTTTTCGTCTATAGGAAGCACTGGTCTCACTTTTTGAGTCTTCAATTTTTCTTTTTCCGTTTCGTGCAATTGCTGTCTTAAGAAAGCAATTTCTTCGTCTTTGTCTTGGATCAGCTGCTTTACCGAGTTGAGCTCTAATACATGCTGGTTAGATAACGTCCAACTTCATATCCACTAGTAATTTACCTGTCGGATTCCCGTGAACCCTTTCTAAAGTAGAAGAGAGAAATGTCCATCGTTGGTTTTGTGGTATATTTTCTATCTCAGCTTGCAACGACGAAAATTTTGACGTATTTGTCTTTGTCTCGAGAATTCGGAGCCATTCATGAGGCTCTATTTCCCTATAAGCGCCGTTGACTTGTATCGAGTTTTCTTTTTCGATGTCACCATTTAATGAGGCTGTTCTCAAAGCTTGAAGTTTGGACATTGTGAGCTGTAGAGTGCGCTTCATTGTTGTAATATCAAGGCTCACTTTCTCGCATTTTTGACTAATTGGCGTTGATGCATGATTGTTTCTTAGTTGTTCGTAGAGTTCCGATACAAAGCGAGGCATTGTTTTCATTTCTGTATACGAGACATTTGTAATATCCTGCATAATTTCTCTAAATAGATCGTCATTTTCGGAAGCTTCTTTCAAATTGGTTTCCAACTCATTTACCACCTGTTGACTGAATTTCTCAAGTATTGTGAATAAAGAATGATAAAATCGCATCTTTTTATCAACTTCCTTCAAAATTTCTGTCACAACTTGTTCCAAAGATCGAGTGGTGACCGATGGACTGCTTGGAAGCTTCCGAATAGAAGCCTCTTGAAGAAGTTTCAAAAATAGGTCAGAAGCATGCTCTGCATCATCGTTGATAGTATTTTTCAAATTTTCCAAGGCATGAAAAGTTCTTTCTAGTTGATAAAAAGGTTGTTGGTCTTGTTCGATAGGGAGGGTAACAGGATAGGATTCGGAGAGGCTTGAAGACTTTGAAAACTTCTTGTTGAATATCCTCTTCAAAATTGACGAAATAACAATTACACAGGATGCAAAAATGCCCAACATGCCTATGAAAAATGTTTATTCTCTTGTTGGGATATATTTTGAATGTCTCTTACCAAGATTGACCTGGGAGTCAGTTTTTAGAGGTTTAAGTTGTCCAACGAAAAGATGAGGCAGTTGGATAGGAGAACTTGGTTTTGTACTAACTATCGGACGAAACAATTCAAACACACAGTCTTTCATCTTTTCATATGAATGTGTTGCTGAGACAACCCGGGAAAATTTTGGTTTCTGGCGAGAAGCATTCTTTCCTCTTAAAATACAAGAGCGTCTCTGTAATTTTAAGTAAGTAAAATTGAGCTGACGTTTAACGTTGAAAGGAGAGCTTGTTATTACATAGGCAAGTTGTTCCATTCTTCTCGTGTCAAAGGTTGCAAATCTCCCAAATTTAAAAAGAGCCGCCAATAGTGAAAGGAGTAATTTTTCCACGTGGCGTCCGTTGAATTATTGGGCTTGTTGAAACACAATGGCTTCGAAAAGCAAGAATCGGAATCCCATCATTGTCCCCAATTTAGAACCAATCTATCTCTTTCAAAACGCTCAGGTGACTAGAGTCCACAAGTCAGACGGATTCTTACTAATTATGAATGTTTCTCCTATGAATATGATATAGGTTCCATAGAGCGATGTCTTCTAAAACAAGTTTTGTGGAAATGAAGGTTAGAACTATGACCTAAACAAACTAGTCTTTTATTATGAATATGTACAAGACATTATAATCAACACAAAACACAAGAATCTGACTAAAACAATAATCGGAGAAATCCGATAGCAATTTCACTTTCGGAGTTTCCGTAACGTGAAGTAACCTCCTTTCGAATAAGAAGACGAACGACGAGAAGCATAAACTATTCGCTGTAGACCTGCGATACTATAAGTCTAGAAAACAAATTTTCAAGTCCATACCTTGCTCATCTACATCTCTTCCAACCCCAAAGGCGTAAAAAGCAGCATTCAATTCATCAAACGCCTTCCTTGCCTCTAGGATTGACAACTCAAACTCTTCAGCATGAGTCTGTCCATCTGTCATTAATATGATAACCTTGTGAGAATTGTGATGTGCAGTTGTCAAAATCTGATGCGCCCTACGAATCGGTGCAGCAATATCGGTTGAACCCATCATTTGTTCCAGTCTTTCAACCGTGTCCATTATTCCCGGTTTCGAAACATCTGCTAAGCCCACTTCTACTCTAGGATATTGATTAAACTGAATAATGCATGCCTGCGAAGAAGGATGTGTCAAACGAAGACTAGCCAGAAGAGCACTAAAATTTGCCCTCAGAAAGAAAGCCATCAAATGAAATGTACGGACGTACCGACAGAATTCCTTCATTGCTATAAAGTCTTCCTCTGTAACACTGGACGAACCATCAATCAAAATAGCAATACATAAAGGAGGGAAACTAGAATCAGAGATTGCACTTGTTGGACTGTCATCCATGTAAATTGTTGTAGCCAGCTTGTCATGGTTTGCTACACATGCTTGATTGGAAAAAATGTGCATATCATTGGTCTGGTAAACGCCAACAGGGGAGCCATGAGGAAATAGTGAACAATCACTCTTAATAATCTCCAACATTGCTTCCAGCTCCGACTTGCTTGGAACTATCCAGGGTGCTCTTCGAATTTCACTCAGATGCTTTTCCATGTATAGACGTTTCCAGCCACCAGCTAAAAGAGACGCGGTCTCCAAAATTTCTGCATTTGCTGACGAGCTCCATCGACGTTGTACAATGCTCCTCCACTGGCCACTCTCTGAACGTACAATATCACGAAAGCGCTTGCTTACCTAGGACGAATTTTTAGTTGCTTGTTCCCTGATGAAGAAGTGACATACGAATTCAAGCGATATAAGATCTTTAGCGTCCAAATGACCTAACAAGGAACTAATAATTTCGTCAGGCAAGCACCACACTGAGTCAGCTGAAGGCAATTCCTTATGAACTCTGAACCACAAAGTAAAACATAACGGAAATTTTGCGAGAAAAGGAACATACCCAAAGGTGTTCGAGTCACCAGGTTCAGTTGCACAGTTGAACTCTTCCTTCTCTGAGAACATCTCCATATCTCGGAAACTCACGAAATTCAACGAAATACTTGATATGTTGAGCTCTGCTTTCTCTCTAGCGTCTGTCAAGTTGACCCTTGAAAGTTTCTGCTTACAAGCACCAACTGGAGTGACAGCAGCAAATTCTCTCAGTTGAGAGACAATATAGCAAAATAAACTCTTGGAATTCTGTCAGTTCACCTGATAAATAAACAACAATTCAATACCTTTGCGATATTAACTATTCCTGGCCAGCCAAAATAACTTTCTTCGGTTAGCCTCAGAGGGAGCCACCCACTTCTTCTAGCGAATGACACTGGTACACAGGACTGACTTTCTAGCAAACTTCCAATATGCGACACCTCGAAAGAAGCTTTACTTCCTCCTATACATGGGTTACCTTGAATGATTATACTTGCACTATCCAGCCTTTCCAAGATTTATCAAAAAGGGGAGACAATTTGTATCGGAACAATCATACGCTCTAACCAGGAATCTCAATTTCTAATTAATTTCTTCCCTCTACAATGAGTGAATTACTGCTACCCCAACCAACTGTACACATATCTAGAAAGATACATGCAAAGAGAAAGAATCATAACAGATAACCCTACTAGGAATACCAAAAAACCATTTATATAACCCCCTACTTTTACTAACTATTAAAAACATCTCAAGAGACATTTATAGAAGCTTCCAGTGCACTGTAAATATTAGGATATTGGAAGTGAAAACCAGAAGCCAATGTACGTGAAGGATACACTCTTTGGCCTTCAAGAACTACGATGGAGCCTTCCCCGAGCATGGCACGAATAACAAAGGTAGGAACTGGTAACCAGTTTGGCCTTCCGATAATATTACCAAGAGTCTCACAAAAATCATTCATTGTAACAGGCTCTGGTGAACATGCATTAAAGACACCAAGCATATTCTCATCGGTTATCGAACGAATAATGAGGTTCACAAGATCCATAATTTGAATCCAAGAAATCCACTGTCTCCCTGTTCCCACTGGTCCTCCAAGAAACATCTGAAATATGGGAGTCATAGAGCCCAAGACTCCACCTCCAGAACCAACAACTATACCAAATCGAAGAATCACAACTCTAGTGCCAAAAGATTGGTCCAGTTGTCTCGCAGCAGATTCCCATTTTCGACAAAGAACAGCTAAGAAGTCATCTCCTGGTGGAGAAGACTCATCAAATTCTTTACTGTCGCTCACACCATAATAACCAACCGCAGAAGCGTTTATAAGAACCTTTGGACGTTCTTCCTAAAAGAAACTTTAGAAGAGCACTGATAGTGGCAGCAAAACAAGAACCTTGTCCATCGACATTATCATTTCGACTATTTTTTGGGTAACTCTAACACGACTAGATATCAACTCATCTTTGTATGCTTCAGACCATCGTTTTCCAGCTATTGGAGCTCCAGCAAGATTCACAACAGCATCTTTCTTCGCAAGGCAAGCCTTGAAATTTACGTCTTGATCAAGAACTAACGAAGGTAGTTGACAGTACTGCAAAGAATAACCTCTTCTTTCATACTTTCCAAAAGTTGCTTTCGCTCTAGCAACGTCTCTTGTCACAATAGTCAATTCGACACCAGCTTTAGCGAGCAACGTCACCAACTGCTGCCCTACAAAACCAGTTGCCCCTAGGTAAAAGTTAAAATAAAATACATTAGAAAGTTCCTTCTCCTACCCACGATACAGACACTTTTGACTTTTTTGGCTCGATCCAACAACGAACGGTTGGCAGCAGTAATCTCGGAGTAAGCTCTGTCTTCTCCACGTTTGCTTGAGGAATATGAACTATCTCTATCCGTGTTGGAGGCACCCGCAGAAAGCTTCGCTACGGTAAGTTGTTTGGTTCTGGGCCACAGAAACTTCGAGCGTTTCGACAAGTGACCAAAGCTTTTATTTTTTTGATGAGGACAAGTTTTGAACAAAGAAGCGTGTATAAGAACGAACAACATGAGAGTTTTCTAATGGGAAAGATCCAGTTCCTCCGATATTAGCATGGAAATACAACTTTACAAGCTCACTTTATGCAAAAGTCCTCGGCTGCGGTAGAATTTTCACCCGAAAGTCAAAGAAAATTCCGATTAAAGTTGCTCAAGGAAGAGTCAAAGCTTCTAATTCGACAAAAGGGCTTCTTTCAACTCATCGTCGTTTCTAAGTTTACATTTTGCCTCATAGTACCAGTTGTTTTCAGGAATACGCCTGAGGTTGATTTGGACTGGGAAACTGTTGCGCTGCGTAGACTGGAATAACTTTTGAATATTAGTTTGCTATGTTTCCTTGATAGAGTTGGTTTCTCTTACATTATTTCAGATTACACAAAGTGTAAGACTCGAATGTTTGTCACAATTTTCCTCATTCATATAATTGCAAAACACTCTATCTGTTACTCAAAATAGAAGACTTGGATAGAACGACGCAGGTTGTCCCAAATATGAGACAGGACAGCATTCAACTGATTTGAAAGAGGACAGAGTAGCATTGGATCTCTTTCTCTCAGTTTCAACTACAAACCAACCAACAGGAAACCCTCTAAAGACAGAAAGTTTGTCTGATCGACACGGGACATTGTGTTAACTCGACAAGGACTAGGATAAGAGTCATTTGTAAATAGCAACCCCTGAGTCATATGAGTAACATTGCCACGGCAAGTGTGTTGCTATGGTCTTGAAAATGGCATTCATTGCGATGATGTCACATTTCTCTAAATCTCCAAAACATATTAATTTCTATCAAGAAAAAAATCACATTTGCCGTTAAGGGATATAAACACGTGGCGTCACGAGCAATCACTCCCTAGGCGGCGCCCAATGTGTAGATGAAATGATTTCAATTGATTTGTGTCCAGTCGTGTTGACGGTGGGATTCGCCAAGGGAATCTTGAATTGCCAGTTTTTTTTTTAAATTTTTGGGTACTTTTTATGTGACCCAACGGCAATTCCAATTTTGAGGTGTAAAATTTCCCGCGTCGTTCTATACCGTTGAACATTTGGCGGTTACTCAGAGTCTTATTTCCCCAGATATTTCAGTTGTTCAACATTGTTTGCTCCTCCAGAGACGCAGTGTCAGTCAACAGAAGGTTCAAAGGCGACACTTAGAGCTTGACCGTAGTGCAGTTGAATATGAAGGCACTTCTTAAACCAGCGTGTTGAAGACCCTTGATACACAGTGAGTTTTTATTTGGAGAGATAGACTTTTAGTTTTAGCTAGAGGTTTTGACGAACTATCTCTGCCCCGGTAAGTCGTCAATCTTGCAAGCAACAAGCCCTGAGATGCCCGGGGTTCATGACAAGTCTATACAGAGGATGACAGCTGGAAATACCCCAAAACTTTCCCACTGTATGGATCTGAACTTATCAAAAGTTCCTATCGTTGAAGGCTCGTCTGCTGAGAAGAGAAAGGCAGACTTTCAACAAAAAACAGCATTCCAATACTCACCAGTCTCTCCTTGCTGTCAGTCGTTACCATCTGTGCCAGCCTACAGTCTTCCATCCGTTGCTTCGGAGCTAAACTGTTTTCATCAAGAACAGAAGGTTTCTATCGGAAATCTCGTGGATTCAAGTACAAGTCCCACTGGAAATGAGACTGATTCTCAATTCTTGAAAGACGAATTTTCTTGTCAAATGTTGTCTAATCTTCCTCGTATGTATACGCAAGACAAGACACAAGAAAGTTCTTTTAGTGTGACTAGTGACTCATCAGGTTCTTGTAAGCTGGCACGAGCGACTCCTTATCGAAGAAACGAACTATGTGAGATGACACATCTTACATTTCCTCACCATTTAAAAAGTGAAATGTATAGCTACTTCTTTTCGAGACCACTTAGATGGCAGGAAACAAGTAGTGTAGTATCACCTGAAAAAGACTTGAAAAAGGATACCTCGTCAATTCCTATCAAAGTATGCTCCAACTGCAGTACAACAGTCTCTCCAAACTGGTATCTGGCAGAAGACAAAAGACCGCTATGTAATGCATGCGGTAAGTTTTGGAAGAGAACAGGGACACACAGGCCAAGTTGCCACTGGGGACGAAAAATAAAGAAACGTGCCTCTTGCAACGGAAATAGGAGCAAAAGAAGACACAAATATGAGAATATCAAGGAAAGCTTAAACGCAACCTTTAGGAGTCACTCATCAATATGGGGTAACGCTACAAAGGGAATGGGAGACGAAACTGAGTTTGGAACGATTGGCTCATCATGTGATAGTAGCCCTTTTGAGCGAAACAAAGGAGCAGAAGGCCACAATCATTACTGTCCAATGTTTGGAATATCATCGGAAGCTAAGGATGGTGGAGATAACAATATTATACCAATTTCAAGGGAACACAAATTTGAGGTGAAACATTCAGCCAGTCCAGTCCAAGCCTGTGAATCTGAAGAAATATTGACATTTTCGACACGGCTTCAAAAAAGAGACGACGAGGCTAATGGAAGTAAGACTGTCATTGAATCAGATGTGGGGTCATCAACTTCATTTTCTACGAAAGAAACTGACTGCAATTCATTGCTGCACGAATATGCGCAGTATTCTACGTTCCCTTATTTGTCATCAACATCAAGAAAGTCTCAGCTGTTTGCGTTAGACGATACGTTCACCAAGCATTCTCTTGACAGAGCTGCATGGAATTCAAAGAGTTTGATTGAAATACTTGCACTTGCAGCATCCAAGGCTCTAGAAACAGCAGACCCACAACTGAACTAATTGTTGTCTCGCTTTGTGAATTTTAGTGTTTCTGTATTTGCCGAACACTGTTTACATGTATTTTCGGCATCAGGCAGGTTTGTCTTGTGTGGCATCAACTTTTGAAGATTTGAGTATGGGTCTCTTTGTTACAGTCTATATTTGTATCAAACATAAACGTGATTCAAGTTAGTCATTCGAAGTGTTTTTGTTTTTATTCGGCTACTATAATAACTTGTTCCATTTCTTAATAGTATTTTAGGAACTCTTCATTTTTTTGTGTATACAGAGTGGCTTCCTTGTATCTGGCTCAATGCATCAATCTCAAAGTTGTTTCATTTTCTTCCATGGCGCGTCTTATGTTTCTTTACGCATTTCCTGTTGTGCTCGGCACATTTAAGAAGGACATAAAGACTCGTTTTGGTTCTGACTGTACGTGGGACGTAGTAAAGCACCCAGCACGTCGACTAGTTTTAGAAACCTGTGTGAGCCGTTGTGTGTGGGTGGTCTCTTGTGTACGACGTCCAACCACACCTGCAGATAGTTTAAGAGGAAGATTTCTTCCTACTGCCTTTGATATGGAAAATTCAGCACTATTGCCGAGCGAAGTTGGTTTGAGCGAGGAAGAGAATGTAGAAGCTCTAGCGGAAAGAGAGAAACAAGGAATTATTTCCCCACCGTTTGGTAGAGAAGGTTTGAAGCCGCCAAGTCGTATTTTCTGGAACCGTCACTCTCAAGCAGCGAAACTTCGATGGGAGAACGATGAAAATTTTCGAAGAAGAAAGAGGTTATGGCTGAAGAGTGGAGCTGAAACGCGAAAGTTGAGACAAGCTTCGAAGATAAAACCGGAACCGCAGAGGAAGAGAGACTACATCTTCAGTGAGGAGGGAAGAGCTAGAAAGCGCGAAAAACTACAGAAGAGACACCGTAATTTTGTTGAGTGGATGCAAGAACGTTTGGATTCTGGTGAAGAGTTGAGAAGAAGAATCTATGACGATGAATATAAAAAGATATTGCAAAAGGAGCGTTCTAGGATAGCAAGAGAGAGACACAGAAAAAGACTGGAAAAATTGTCAAAGAGCGATGAAGAGATGGAATAAGAATTGTTCTTATTGAATAGATTGAATCGTTAGAACTTAGTTTCGATTCTTTTATCGCACTCCATTCAGTTTGGTTTATGGCAAGTGATAACTAGTTTTCAAGTTGTTAGTATTTGGCTCACAACATTTGAAACAGGCACTGAATTGGACTCATTTATTCACTGTTCCTGTTGAATTTTGATCACATCTGTATCCTTTCTATCAATAGATGAGGTAGTGATAATCATTTTCATTCTTCTCAAGAATATGAAAAATGTTACTGTCTCATTTTGACATTCGGTGATGTTGCAGAACAAATATTTCAAGTACAAATGAGAAAGTATTGCAAACATGAAAGACAACATCAAAGTGATTGTGAAAAGGGCTGGCGTACCAAATTGTCCGCGACGAAGCATTTTGGATTATGCTTCAAATTGACCCTGAATCAACAAATACTCTTTGTGAAAAGATGTCAAGTCATCTTGAGATATTTAAATCTTACCATTCCCTTATCTCTTCCTTCCTGATACAGCATAGTGTAACAATATTTCTATCAAGATAATTCTTCAACATAAGAGCTTTTGTTCTGACACTGAAAATAATTGCATATTCATTTCTTACTACTACTTCTCAAATGATACTTGCTACTAGTTCCGTGTCTTGGACTATTTGTTCTTATTTTCTTCTTATCTGGCTTACTTGAAACAACTTTATCTTCTACAACTTGTTTATCTTTTCTAGACAATATTTTACTGGGGTCCATTCCTGGTTTCCATGAACAAATTACGCAATCCTTTGTGACTACTCAGGTGTGAACGACTGCAACGAAATTCTCTAAAGGAAAACCAACCGTGTCTTTGTGCAGGACAGTGATCTCTGCCATATTGAATCAACTGCAAATGAAGCTTGAGCCAACACTCTTCAGGAAAATAATGTTTTAGATTCTCTTCCGTAATCCTTATAGACTTTTCGTTACCAAAACCCCAGCTATATGCAACGGCGACTATACAATTAGCCACAAAAGACTAGATATAGCAACTTACCGGCACGCGAGCCGTTGAATATGAGTGTCAACCTATGTCAATAGTGGATCATCAAAGAAGTACTCCAAAAAGATGCTTTTGCCAACCGGAAAAGCAGGTTTTCCAAATGCTTGGCTCATCACAACACTGGCGGTTTTGTGCCCGACTCCAGGAAGGCTCTCAAGCTCTTCAAAAGTCTGTGGAACTACTCCTTCAAAGTCACAACAAAGCTTTTCGGCCAAGCCCTTTAAAGCCTTTGCCTTCCTTGCGGCGAGTCCTATGGGCTCTATTATTTTGCGCAACTTTTCCTCTGAAAGCTGAAGTAAGTCATTGGGACTCGAGGCGACTTTGAATAGTTCAGGGGTAACCTTGTTGACTACTTTGTCTGTCGTTTGGGCAGACAAAACAACGGCCACCAATAACGTGAAAGGATCGTCATGCCGTAAGAAGCACTCTATATCTGGATACAACAAGTCCAATAACTTCCTAATAAATGCTGCCTTTTCAAACAAAGTCTTCTCATCTTGCATAGTCATCAAGTTCGCTTTGAACAACTCACACAACACTTTTCATTGTATTTTGGATTTAGATAATGTTAAGTGGCACTCGGGCCTTTCTTTCAGGAAAGAGTGGAACTCTTTTGGTTCCACGAGAATACGGATATGTTATTCTTGTGGTTGTATTTTTTATATTCATCTTAGTGTGGAAAGAAATAAAGGTGGGACAGGCAAGGAAGCGTTTCAACGTAAAATACCCGACTATGTATGAGAACAAGGAGGATAGCCACTTTAACTGCTACCAACGTGCCCATCAGAATACTTTAGAAAAAACACCAACATTCTTAGTTCTTATGTTATTAGGAGGGCTATATGCTCCCATCTTTAGTTCGATATCTGGACTGATTTGGTGTTTCGGTCGCATTCAGTACGCTTTGGGTTATTATTCTGGTGATCCCAAGAAGCGAATGCGAGGCACTTTTGGTTGTAAGTACACTTGTATAGATATTTTATATGTTTGTTGTATTGAAGGCAACTCGTAGACTTTGGACTTCTTGGTTTGTTAGGAGCTACGATAGCCTTAGCCTTGTCTCTATTGAAAGTCATTTGAGATAGATTTTCGCGTTCCGTTATGTGTTTTTCTAGTTGAGAGTACGATAAAGTTTGTATCTATGCTTTTTTATATGCTATCTAAACACAACCAAACTTCATATCTCAATCGCTTTGGGAAACAAACCCGCTATTCCATTGAGACTCATCTATAACCACAATAAGTGCTGCGATATCTAAAAATACGCAAGTTCCAGAACAAGAAGAATGGAAAAAATAGATTGAATCTATTCAAGAATGAGCCAAATTGAAAAAAGTCAATAAAGGCATAGCTCCCCATCATACCAATAGTTTGTCTTGATCCGCTTTAGAATGCAAGAAGACTCTTATATCCAAATGCAGTCTTTCAAAGTTCACAAGAAAGAAAAGCCTCGCAATGATAATCAATCTAAGTAGTAGATGGAATTTCCAAGTTAAACACTTTTTGATATCACAGCCTTTGACATGAAAATTATTTGGCGATTGATTCGTCGATATTCGATAACGTCCATGCCACAAGTAATCGTGGTCGGTGCTGGAATAGCCGGTATAACTGCTGCTTCCGCACTACATGCTGCAAACGTACAAGGTAGGAATTGAAATAAAATATGCTATTGCTCTCGAGTAACTGGATCACTAGTGTGTATTTTGGAAGCTTCCCATCGCATAGGCGGTAGAGTCTGTACTGTGAGTCCTGGAATGGAATTGGGTGCTACATGGATACATGGAACCGTGAACAATCCAATTTATGACTTAGCTGTAGTCCGAGGACTTGTAGAAAAATATCCAAGCCCCGAGGACAAAGCCGAACCAAACGAAGAGGAACTGACTAGTTGGAAACTTGCGGAGTGTCCTTTTATTAGAGAAGGAGGAACTTTCGTCGAAACCTACGTTGTGAAAGACGCTTTAGAGAAATTCGGCAGATATAGAAATGAAATTTTTCATTGGCCAACTCTTCAAGTAGATGCCAAACAATACAATGACTCTATCGAAGAGTATTTATCAAAGAGATGGAAACAGGACCATTTAGAAACAGGAATGACACCTAGTGAAGCCCAACGCTTAGTATTTCAATGGAGGAAGAGATTGGAATGTTCCATTTCAGCCTGCTCTTCTTTAAGCGAGCTCTCATTGGAATATCTCCATGAGTACTGTGAACTTGCTGGGGAAAATGTGGAAGTCTTATGTGGCTTTTCTAAGATAGTGGAATCTCTTCTTGCAGGATTCCCATCAGAAAATATCCTTTTTGGTAGGGAAGTCACTCGTATACGATGGGGAGGTAGCGATAGAAATAATCGGGTCTCCATTGAATGTAGTAATAGTGAAGTATTTACTGCAGAATATCTCATTTGGACAGGCTCATTGGGTGTCCTGCAAGAAAGAGAATCTAACCTTTTTGACCCACCTCTGCCTCGTAAGAAGAAAGATGCTATTCATCGTCTGGCCCTTGGTACAGTTGACAAGGTATTTGTAGAATTTGATAGGCAACCTTTACAACATCAAGGCAAACAATGGGATTATGTCTCACTCTTGTGGAACGAGAGTTTGGAGCGAGAGGAACCTTCTCACTGGACCAAAAAGATATTTTCGTTTCGAGCAGTAAACAATATATTAAGTTTCTGGCTCACGGGTGCTTCAGCCAAACAAATGGAACAAGAGTCAGATGACGCTATTTTGCAACACACAAAGCTATTGCTATCGCGATTCGGCTTGGTTGAAGCGGAGCCCATCAGAGTAATTCGAAGTAGCTGGTATAGCAATCCTTTATTTCGGGGGTCGTATTCTTTTGTTCCTGTTGGCGCTAGTGGCTCTGATTTTGAGATTCTAGCAGAACCAGTGAACCTGCCCGAACTGGGACTGGAAACTAGCGATTCTCATAGGATTTACAATCCTTGCTTATTTTTTGCCGGCGAAGCGACCCATAGAAAGTTTTATTCAACAACACATGGCGCATATCTGAGTGGCTGCAGAGAAGCCAAACGAATTTTAGAATTGGAAGGAATCAAGAGCCAAACATTAAAAACGAATTGAAAAGCGGTGAAGAGAATTTTGGTAGAAATAGTTTTTCTTCATTTGCTTTCATTTGTTTTTGCCATTCCATGTCTACGTTCAGAATAGAGTTGGATCGACATCTTCCACTATCTAAACAACCAAATAAAGGTCATAATAGATGGCATCCTGGTATTCCTCCTATTCAAGTTGTCAAGTCTGGAGACGTTGTAGTGATGGACACTCTGGACGCTTTCGACTGTCAGATAGGCCCAGATACTCAAGCTTCAGAGTTGAGACAAGTGGATCTTGGGAGAGTTCATCCGCTAACTGGTCCTATTTATGTTGAGGGAGCGGAACCAGGAGATATCTTAGCTGTTGATGTTTTGAACGTTGAAGCTTCATCTTTTGCGTACACAGTGAATATACCAGGTTTTGGTTTTCTGAGAGATTCTTTCAGAGAACCTTTTATTGTGCGTTGGCATATTGAAGACAACGTTGCCACATCTCCTGATCTTCCCAAAGTTCATATTCACGGCAATCCTTTCATGGGTGTTATGGGCACCAGTCCTTCTTCTGATTTGCTTAAAGTTATCAATGAAAGAGAAGAAAAATTGAAAAGCCAAGGTGGTGCTGTTGAAGTGCCTTCAGAACATGGAGCTGTACCAACAGGACATCTATCAAGTGAGGCAATTAGAACTATCGCACCACATGAGACAGGTGGTAACGTTGATATCAAACAACTTACTAAGGGAACTACTGTGTACTTGCCTGTTTATGTCAGTGGTGCATTGTTTTCAGCTGGTGATGCACATTTCGCACAAGGTGACAATGAGTGTTGCGGGACTGCCATAGAAATGGCTGCAACATTAACTGTGCGTCTTCGAGTTCTTAAAGGAGAAGCTTCGCGCACTGGTCAAAGAGATATATCTTTTAGTAGAGATATTTTGAATCAGATGGGTCCGAATGACCATTGTTTGTCTTCTTTACATGGCCCTTTCTACGCAACAACAGGTATATGTGTGGACCGTGAGACAGGGGTCAATTACAGTGAGAACCTGACAAGTTCTACAAAGAATGCGCTATGGAACATGATAAACTATATTCATCAGAAGTACGGATACAGCAATCTACAAGCATATTGTCTTTGCAGTGTTGCAGTAGATTTCCACGTAAGCCAGTTACCAGATATTCCAAATGTTCTCGTTTCAGCTATATTACCTCTTGATATATTTGAATAAATTTGTCCGAACAAGTTTTCTGATACCATTGAATTGTTGTTGAACCTTCAGAGAGGAACGGCATTTCCCCTGTTCATAGAACTTGCTTTTCATGTAAAAGAAGATTCATCTCATGAACCAACGCTCCCAGTGACCAACCAAACTCGCTTCCCTGATAACTCTGTAGAAACCAAACCGTCTTTTGTGTTTGTTCAATTCCCAAAAATTCAAAAAGTAAAAAGTATATATAAGCCATATCGAAACAAAGATGCTCAGGTGCTCCATTACGTACACTAGTGTAAGTATTCTGAACGACATTCCATTCCTCCGAACATATATAACGACCCATTTCTTCTAAATCTGAGAGACTCGACTCTAGAGATAGACCAAAAGTTGAAATTCGGTCAAAGAAGAAGGCAAACGCAATGAAGTTATCAATACTTGTGTTCCATCTATTTCTGAATTCTCCAACAGAAAAATGAAACTCTTCCACGAAAACGTCACTTATTAAAGCAACACAAGATTCAAAACTGCCCATTCCAGATGTCTCTACAAAACTTTGCTCTCTTCCATCAACCTAATAGTTCCCGTTGTTAACCATCATGTGGCCAAAAACTCCAACTTACATCAATAACATCTGTGACACCCTTGTAAAAGCAAGGATTACTTGTCAACTGATCTCTTTCCTTTAAAAACTTGTACAATCTCCTTCGAAACTCTACAAGACCCATACCAAGAAAGCTCTGAGAATATACATGGTAAGTTTTGTCTAATACAGGAATGTTGCGTATACTCTAAATGGGACATGAACACTATAACAAGCTATCTTCCTCAAATCCTTACCTGGTCATTCAAAGAACTGTTTGTATCGAATGCCACCTGAAACGAACCGCCACCTAAATCCAAAACTCCAAAAGTTTGGAGCAACTCATTGGAAAGGGTATTCAACAAAGAATTGACAGTAATCCAACCGTACAACGCTTCATCACTGCCATCCATAACTATAGCTCTTGAAGGCTCAAATGAAAATTCTGACGCAATAAGAATACCACGAGTGGCATCTAATACAGCTTCAACTATATCTCCATGCATTAAACGAAGTCCTGCAGTGGCTTTCAAGAATATTGGTGTTCTAGGTCTTTCTGGTTCAGGTACTATGTCACGAACAAAGTTGAGCAATTTTGAAAAAATGAATCCCAAGTTTGCTACTCGTGAAGCATTTTGAAAACACACTGTAAGACTATGTTTTGCCTTTGCACAAATTAGTGTCCCAAAAGGTTTTCACTATAATTTCTTACTTCGAGATAATGATCCTTCTCCAGAATGAGATTATCTAAACATACTCGAAAAGAAAAACAGCAATATAGTCGAAGCAAAACACCTACCTCCATTTTGCAAGGAAAAAGAACATACGTGCACTCGTGTACCACTACTTCCAGCGTCTATTATAACTCCAAACCTTCGTTCGAGAGAGTCTCTTAAACGTCTATCCACGCAAAAGATGAAGCATATCGTTACAACCAGAAAAAGAAACGGAACACCTTTTAAAACTAACAATAGCGTAAAAGATATTGTTTGAAAACGTTCACAAAAGCTTACGACTTTGTGGAAAGCATAGTTTTAACTTAAGAAACTCTAAAAACTCTTGGTTCTTTAAACGTGCAGTTTCTTTGTGTCTGGAACTGTCTTGTGTCTCGAAAGCCATGCTTCAAGTTCTTGGCTACGTGGCGAAACGTCAAGTATTAATGTGCTATTGGGCCATTTTGATCTAAATCATCGTTGCGTTGGGATTGTCCTCCTCAATTACTATTGTCAGCACGTTGAGCATCTTGGACTTTACTTATTCAGTTTCCATAGAATATTGAAGATGGGTTGAGTTGCTTTTTTTGGGAATGGCCAGAAAAACAAAGTATAGCTTATTAAAGGTCTGTGATGGCTACTTTGAAATGAAAGGTATCAACAATTCGGCGAAGCTAGTTCTTATCGACTTGTTATAAACCTTTTCATATTAGTGATATACACAGATTGATGATAAAAATCTACTTGAAGCTTAAATTTTCCACCATGTCTGCTTGGAAAGCTAAGCATTGGAGCTATATCTGGGCAGGAGTCTTAGCGTAGCCATGGAAAAGAATTTCATGCGCTTAAAGCTAGCAGCACTGTTGGTCAGCATTACAGAATGCAAAAGAGTCTCTCGTAGTATTAGTCCAGTCTTGTAACGATAAATCTGTTTGAGAGACCAACGAAATGAATAGAATATAAATGTTTCGTAGCGCTATTCGTAATCATTCTCTCGATCAGTTCCACACCTTCAAACTTTGTCTTGGAAGTTGAAAGCTTCGAACGAAATGTAACTGACTATTTGAAGACTAAAAGTTCACGAAGAATATTCGCTAAACGGCTTGAGTGCTCTTAAATCATCTAATTGTGGTTGGATTCAAAGCCTATAATTTTTTATAGCAGCGAAATCTGCTGATGGCATTTCTCTCTTTCTATATATATACCTTGGGATATCATCTGGGAAGTTATCTTCTGTCATATTCATTTTGACGTGGAGTCCAAAGTGCTCAAAGACACGCAAGAATTATACGAGTCCTTTTCATGTGCCTTAAAACTAACGAAACGGTCGCAATTGGATCTCTGAAATTTTACTTCAATAAAAGACGAGATCTTTCGCTGAGTGTCTTTGTTTCATTGCAAACAAAGGTCAAACCTTGCTCTATCTCAATTTATAGTATGATTCTTTGAAATCCTCTTCCCAGAACGTTCTTTAAATATACATCTCATGTCGTACGCATCCTCTCCGTCAGCATAATATTTCGCCTCGACGTCATGGATTTGATACGATAACGACTCCATATAAAGGTGTTGAGCAGCAACGTTCGTCACTCTTACGTGAAGAGAACAGTACACAGCACCAAAAAGAACCTGCATTTCGCGATGAGCAGCTTCCATCAACTTTCGCGCGATGCCTAGCTTCCGATAATGTCTCAAAACAGCCAAAGAAGTAATATGTCCGTGTGGCTCTACAGCATCTTCCTCCATCTTTGCCAGAACATATCCGACGATCTTCTTGTCAAAGTTTTCTGCGACAAATAATAACTGTGGCCAAGACAACAAATGATACAAATAGTACTTAAACTGATAATTTTCGGGAAGACACAACAAGTTACACGTTTGCATGGCAAACAAGTCTTCAGGCTACAAAGACAAGAGTTTCAAAAAACATATAAAATAAAAAACAATAGTTACCGTTGCTCTTCTTATATTCACCATTTTAAAACAGACAAGCAAACCGAGCCTAAGAAAGTTGTTGCGGAAGATGTAGAAACAGCCCCGTATAACTCCAGGTCGTAGTATTTCAATCGATTGTAATGGAAATGTAGAGATTTTGAGAAACCATTATATATATCAAGTTAGTGTTATTGGAACAAGTCTATGTTGAATGGCCTACGTGCAGCTTGAGAAACTACTGCTTCTCGAAACTAGTTTGTGGAAGCGACTACGTGTGAGGAAAAGTTGAGAATATCTATTTGCAAACTGTAATATAGCTCATGTCCTAGAATACTTTTCTATATGAGACAAGTTTTTTTTTGAGAATCTTTGTTACAGAGCACGCTTTTTGCCGTCACTTTTGCAGACTTGGTTCAAAAGGGACTTTCTAAAGACTAGTTAACACTCCCGTTTCGTAGTATAACATCACAGTAGGATCCAACAGCCCTCTCACCGTTTTGAGTAAACATTCTTTCTTTTCAAGCATGGTGTGACAAAGTGTCCATTTGTCACTTTGAAAGTAGTCTGTCAAAGAAGTTAACGAAAGTTATGTCAATAATGACAAACGTGAAGATGATATGGTGAAAGTTTCTGTTCAATGCAAACTTTCGAATACGACAACACCTGAAGACCTACTGGTTTGTAACCTTTCAATGAAAACTTAAAGGTCTAAAGAATCGGTAAGCTGCGACCTTCAGAATGATGCAATTTTAAAAGACTCGTTGATTTTTCCGCTTTTGGAGACTTGGCAGAAAAAGGGAGATTCTTCATTTTGGCGCTTTCTTTTTAAGCCGAAGACAAAGACACTCTTATTTCTCAAAGATAAAAAGCAATGCAAGACACAAAAATATTGTTAGTAAATCGAAGAAGAAAGGAAAGTATATACACAACAATTTTGCAGACTCATTTTATGCTACGAGGTTGGTCGAAGCAACATGACGTAAAATGATGCTAACCTGTAATAACAGAAATTGATGATGCCGTAGCTGTCAGTAAAAAGGGTGCACTGCTGAATTAAAACCTAACTTTATGAGAATAGGATTATATCTTAGTGGAAGAGAACTCACAACCTGTTGCCTTTCTAGTCATTGATGAAGACTCAAGCAACGATTCAGAGATGGCACTCGTAAGAGAACTAGAAGAGTCGTATTCTCTATCGTTCATCTTATTTCCTGTTTTGGCTCCTTCCTACAATGAGAAATTTCTGCGTTTCCAAGACAAGTAAGGGTTCTTGAATCTTCAGTTTGCAGATACACTCACAACTTGTTTGCAGGTTCGAAGATATAGGCTACGTATCAATATTACCCGTTTTTGGTGATTATACTATAGTAGTCCTTGCCATCGTGGAAATATTGTTGGTATTTTTTCTTCTTTAACGAAAATTTCGATGACTTTTCTGTTAGAGATATTGTCGATGCAATAAGAGCCTCATCCTATTCCACGGAGTAACTTTTGTAAAACTGAATCTGCTTGTTCGATGCTCCAAATCACTAACGAAAAGACCTCTACACGCATTTTAATTTTGCAGTTGGTGATATTGATCAATTTGTGTTGTATACCATAACATGGTTGGTAGGGACGGTGGCAAAGCGAAGCCCTTAAAAAAGCCGAAGCCCTCATCGAAAGAGTTAACAGAGGTATTGTGAGATATGATTCGTGTCAGATGTTTTCGAAATGTGTCATTTTGCTTCTAGGAAGACTTGGAATACAAAAAGAAACAGAAGGAAGAACAGGCGAAACTGAAAGCAGCCCAAGAGCAGTTGAAGACAAAAGGCAAAAAATGATTTTGTTTCGATAGCCAGAATGACCAGTTTACCAAACAAAAGCTTTATTTGTTTCCACAACTATGTCATGTTTCCGCCAACTTCTCAATAACGAAAAGTCCAAAGACAAACTTGAAAACTTTTCTCTTCCTGTGCGAATAGTTTACAGCATAACGCTTTCATATGTCGACGTGTGTACGAAAACTCGAAGCTTTTCGTCAAATATTCAATCCCTTTGGTTCAGCTTGTATTGCAAGCACAAGCTTCAAGACTTTTAATAACGCAAACTCAAGCAAGATTTTCTATCAGTGATGGCTTTGCTTCACTCATAAATGAAACAGGTTCCATATCGCGAAGTCGAAAAATACTTTCCACAACTGATAATTCTGTTGAAGTGGTATCCAAACCACAAAAAGCACTCCAATCGTTCGCAACTAGTCCTGCTCCAATAACCTCACTGCCTCTGTTGATTGTTCCGGCCACTAAAGGAACCCTTATAAGAGTAGACAACTCATCTTGGTCTTCAATTGGGGTGAGTGGATGAACCAAGCCTCCCTGGTTCGTTAAACAACAATAACTTCCTACCAATGCCTCCCCAGCAATGTCTTGTCTGAAAACAGTAACCCCCAAAACGTCCGCTATCAACTCCTCTGTTTCACGGTCCAAATCGGGATGAACCAAGGCGACGTAATCGTTAGTCACGATGCAGTTTCCTAGGGCATTAAGACGCTCTTCGCAACGCTGAACTACAACAGAATCTGGAAGACTATTGCGAATATGAAGGAGTTCCTGATCTGTTGTAGAGTTGGGAAGCAGTAAGCCACGTCTATTGCCGACAGCCAGGCGACCAATGCAACGACAGCCTCCTCCAACAGTGGTATGAATGACAGGAATATGGTCAGCAAGCTCTCCTTCAAAAACTGAATAAAAGTTTTCTGAAGAGCCTACGGAAACTAAACAGTAACCACTTGTCAACTTTGCGAAGACACCGACTTCACTACTACTCTCAAACTGGCATCGAATGGCCATTTTAATATCCGATTCGATCAACAAACAATAAATGAAAATAAATTTTGTCAACTCTTGGTTTTTCTATTCCTCTAGTTTTGCCTTTGCAAACTCTTTGGCGAGTTGCATAGGCCTAAATATCCTCTTTGGAGTGGCACAATCCACTCATGGTCGAGTAAAGTTGTATGCTCGATGCTTCGTTTCAGTATCTTTCGTTCTCCAAATTCTATAGGAACTTGAATAGATTTCAATATACCAATGCAAAGAAAATAATAATGAAAGATTTGAGAACCATCATTTTGTGCTCAGTGGAAAATCTTGTCTCTTCATTTCTGTAGTTGCGTAGTAAATGCATGACGATGGAGAATGAAGCTGTTTTACTTGGAGTCCCAAAAAGTTGCCAAACAACCGAGTTTGAAAAGGACACCTGCTTTTTGGGTGGAAGACCGACATGGTATGGGGAGGACAGACCTGACACACGGCTTTTTTGTTGCCCACGTTGCAACAGTGCAGAGAAAGTTGTGTTCTTGTTTCAGTGCGCTACTTCTTATGAAGAGGACTTGGACAGATTCTTGTATTTATTGGTTTGTGTGAAGGAGGATTGCTTGCGGACTCCTGATGGTTGGATTCTTTTAAGGAGTCTGGTTAGGAAGAAGCCTCTTCAAGGTGCGTTGAAAGTTAAGGAGAAACAACCAATTTGGGAAGATTTTGGTACTTTTGAAGACAGCTGGAACAGTAATGCAAACAAGGATGCCACGTTAACAAGCAGTGAATTTGAGCAACTCTTTGAAAACTGGACATATTTTTCCCTTTCTTTGACTCCGAAGAGGGAAACGTGTTCTTCCACAAAATACAGAAATATGGACAGTCATCTATCGAGTGCTTGGAATAGCGAATTGTGTTTGCCACAGATTCTTTTGGAGGTAGTGGAAGAAGCGCAAAATGAGAAAGAACACGAGATTGATCCACATATTCAATTCCTTCGGACACAGTTTTATCAGAATGCGCGAGAACAGACGTGCGAAGACTTCGATGTTGATGGAATGTCTTTCTTTGCGGAGATACAGAAAGAAGAATGGAGATACTACAAGAGAATGGAGCATTGTCCTAACCAGTGTGTACGATATCAGTTTAATGGATCACCGCTTATTACTCCGTGGTCAAAATGGAACAAAGCTATGGTGTCGAAAATACCTCGTTGCCAAAGTTGTGACTCAGAAAGAGTGTTTGAACTTCAATTAATGTCTCAGTTTTTATATTATCTGAAAATGGGTGCAAAGAAAAGTAACATACAAATTCCATTCTTAGAGGATGGTCATCTCTTCATGTCTCTGTCCACTATATTGGTCTACACATGCTCTAAGGATTGTAAGGCAGTTAGTAAGGGTAGCAGTACTTCCAGCACTAATTACTACCGAGAATACGTACTCCCAATTTTTGAAACTTTCTCACCCTCAGCATTTTCTTCGAAAGAAGTAGCTCCCAAAGAATGAAAAGTCACAAACATAAATATATCTGTACGAAGAAAAGAAGAAATTGCATTGTAACCATAGAAAAGAAATGAATCTAGTTGATCAATGGTTGATAAAAATAACCCAAAAACATCTAAAAGTTTTCATACGATACGTTTATACCTTCTTCGGGCCACGTGGTCGTTCAAAGACTGAATCGGAGCCTTTAAGCTCAGAAGCTTTCCTCTTGCGAATAAGCTCAAGTTCATCCCGAGACAGTTCGGGTTTCTTGTTTCCGTACGTTGTACCAAAAGTAGTATCCTCATTTGTTAAATGAGTATATTTGGTTCGACCCTTGAAACCAAACTGTCCTCGGCGAGTTTGCATAACCTTGGGGAGATAAGTGCGATCAACAAGATCCTCTTCCGTGCCTTCCATAAAATTACGATTATAAATATCTTCCTTGTAGCGACCACTATCGTCTTGTTCCATGAAGAAGACACCTTTATGATAGTATTTCTGAAGGAACGCCATCTTGGGTTTCTCTTCTCGTAACTTTTCATCTCTGCGTAACCTCTCCTGATCCTCTTTTTTCCTTTCTTCTTCCGACATATTCCGTCTTCGTTCAATTTCCCTCAGCTCTCTCTTCCGCTCTTCATCGCGATCGTGCTCCCTTTGAAGTCTTCGAAGCTCACGTATCTTCCACTTCATCAACTCTAACTCATATTCGGCTTCTCGATCTTTGTCGTCAGGTAACTCCAGTCCTAAATCGTCTAAGTCAACGTCGTCTTTCACAGAACTGCTCTTTGTTTCAGCTGCAGTTTGAGTTACGACTGAATGCGCTTGTTGCCTCCTGAACTCTTTCCTTGAGTCACGAGCTTGCTTTTCTCGTTCAGCATCCTGTTCAATCTTCTCTCGTTCTTCGACAGTTTCTCGCTGATTCTTATTTACAAATACTGGACGCCATAAACGCGGAAAGTCCTCTACAGTCTCCTCATCCGCCTCTTCCTCCTTTGACGCCTCACTATCCCCACTGTCGTCTTCACTTAGGTACTCGTGGCTCGACGACGAGCCCTGTGACGAATCAGAGGCTTCCTGCTGAAACTTTCTCTGTTGTATAACTTTTCTTTCCGGCAACCCTTGATAGTTTTCACGGTTATCAAGTCCAAGAACATTTTGCTTATCCAGCAGGTCCGGTTCTGTCTGTCTCTTGCGCAAAACTTGAGCTTTAATTCTTGCTCTTCGCTCTAGTGCTGACTCCGTGTTTGATTCATTCCGCTGTTTCACATTGTCGACACGAGAGTGATGACTAGGAGATGAGTTCCCACTACCTTCCAAGAAATTTGGTGCGGCTACTTTTCCACTAGCGGTCACAGATTTCTGCTGAAGCTTTTGCGGCGCTATCAAGTTGAAAAAGTCATCTTCCTCGTCTTCCCAGTGTTTCAATGCATATTCCGGCACCTTTCCAGGCCAATATCTTTCTTTCGGTTTCGAACTGTTTGCCATAAAAAGCGTCGGCAATTATGAAAAACAATTCTTATGTTGCAAACAGTTGCTAATCGAATGAGCTCAAGGAATTGGGATGGAAGCAGATGAGAGCTCAGGAGTGGTTGGTTCAGGAACGAGGACTTGCAGCAATGAACAGTCTTTTGACTCCAGAGAAAGTATAGAACGTCTTCTTCTAGACCTACCAGGTCCAGATGAAGGTTTTCTGTTGGCCACCTTAGAGGCTTCCACAAAGTCACTGCGACGTCCCTCAGGACTTCAATCTCTCGATTTCTCAAGACTTAAAACGGACGAGGACGAAGAGATTGAGGAGGAAGTCGTGAACCCTAAACTATTAGACGACAAATGCGATGCGGAACGAGTGGAAGAAAACGAGGGAAAGAAGGAGGAGGCCTCGAGGACCTCAGACGTGTCCAGCCACAGCGAGTCTTCTAGTCGACGTCGACGAAGAAGAAGAAGTAGGAGTTTTCTTAATAGTCCCCGAGCAGGAGGTACCTCAGTTAATTTGGCAAGGGATTTAGAACTCTTGCACGTAGCCCAGGAGGAGTCAGTGAACCAACCCGCATACAATAGCTCTCATAACATTGTGAATTCAATACTGAAGTTATTTTGTCTTGTATCCTGCACGGCTCCTTCTGAGTTAAATGACCCTAATAATATTGGAGGGAAGGCTACAAACAATAGCGGAAGAAGCCCTTACTCAGATATGAGGAGGGACCACGAGTCTTTAAAGTTGAGTAGCAAACGAGGTTCGCAGAACAATACTGAGGACGCACAAGCTATTAAGATATCGATAAAGAAGCATCTTATAGCATCCTCTGTAGATAAGGATGACGACAACACTGGAAAGCTAGAGAAGGGTTTGACGAGACTTGCTTCACTTCCATTACTCAAGCGAAGGTCGTCCACATTACTTCCTATACAAAGTGAAAGGATGAAAGGAAGGAAAACACTGGTTTTAGATTTAGATGAAACTCTTGTTCACAGCAGTTTTGATGACTCCAAGCATGAGTCGGATTTTACTCTTAATTTGGACATCAGTAACATATCAATGACACTTTTTGTGAAGAAACGTCCATGGTGCGACGAGTTTTTACAGAAAGTAAGGACTATCTTTGTACTTAACCATTCAACTTAACTTTTCAAGGTTTCCCAAATATTTGAAATTATCATCTTCACAGCATCTTTACCAGCCTATGCTGACCCAGTCATTGACATGCTTTGTGACTCAGCAAATATAGAGCCTTTGCCTTCATCGCATCGTTTATTTCGTGACAGCTGTGAATATGATACTGTACAGTCCGGCTATGTAAAGAAATTGTCAAGCTTGGGTCGAGATCTTTCCAAGACTATTATTGTAGATAATTCACCAGCCGCGTATGTGTATAATATCGATAATGCCATTCCAATAGAGTCCTTTGTTGATGATATGAATGATAATGAGTTGTTAAATATCTTGCCGTGGCTGTTGTCTCTTAATGTTGCAGATGACGTTCGGGAAAAAATTCGTCAACGAAGAGAATTTTTGAAACAACCAGGCATCGGTAGAAAGAATGGGCAAGTGCAAAAACTTTGAGTAAATTTATGTCTTTTATTTGTGTCATCAAAATTTCAGAAAAGTTACTTTTGAAGACTGCATTTAGTTCTTCTGAGGCCGTAGTTTCCTCACTGCGCAAACGCCTAAGACAAATGCAAATAACGTGATTAGTATGAATGTAATATTGCTTGCAGTAAGATATGTGGAATTCCTAAAGGCAGATGGAGCTTTGCACCGTTTGACTAATTGCATATGAATTTTGTCTCTATTTCGAATGGGAACAGAAATATCGACTATAGTTTGACCGGTTCTTTTGCAAATAAAACTGAAAGTGACAGGCTTTTGGTCTCCCACTTTCAAAAGGTCCTCATAAAGATTCAGGGAGTGTTGGGTCTTCATATCTGAGATCAGCTTCCCAGAAACAACTGATGGATCTACTATGTCAAGTATAGGAGGTCCGACCATCATACTGCGAGGTGATGTTTCACCTTGTAGAGATAAGTACAGTTCCAAGAATTTGTCTGTCTCGTTAAGCAACGTGAACGGCGACAGTTGCACAATGCCATCTTTCACTATCTCAGAAGAACTTGAAGTGAATCCGACAAACAGACCCCGTGGTCTTCCACCACCACAGTCCTTTGAAAATTGAATACTTAGTGGCTCAAAGGGTGGAATTGGCACGAAGACGGTGGCCAGCCTTGGAGTCCCATCTAGACTTCCGATACATTCATCTTGTAATAGCCAAGTTACTTTCTCACCACCCAGAACGATCCCACCTCTATCTGCACCTTGTCCGGATATTTGAAGATTGTATACATCATGATCATAAATCAACTTAGGAGTATCAAAGGACTGAACGGCTTCTCCATAATTCAACACCACAGAAAGTTGAAATGTGGAAACCATCGGATCAAGTACTACACTTTTTTCATTCACTTCTTCACCTCGATCATCTTGAAGGACAAGATATGCATAAGGATGGCTTCCGCATCCGCATTCCTTTAAGAACGAAAATGAGAGGTTACTTCCTGGTTGGCCTAACGGAACATTCACTTTGATAAGGTGAGTACTAGGAATAGTTGCTGCACGAGGACAACCATAAAACAGAGTAAACATCCCCTTTCTCAAACTATCCCGAAGATCTTCAGCTTCCAACGTTGGGCCTTCTTGTAGTAGAACAGACAGCGTCTGAGACTCTATTTTTGGGACCCTTGGATAATAGTTGTATGAGGCCTGAAACTCAAAGTAGAAGAGCGACCGATCTTGAAACTTGTCTACAACATAGCAACTATTTTCTGAGGCGTTGGAACAAGTAAAGGCAGGGTTCAATTTGCCACTTTCGTACAATATAGTCTGTTTGATTCTATGATCGCCGTAGTTTGCCAACCCCAAGAACAGACCCGGAATGCTAGCTTCGTGTTGTACTGTTAAGTTGGGAACGCTTGTGTACTCCAAAGTAAAGTTTGTCATATTGATCAGATACTCTCCACAGACATAACTGCTAGTTTCCAGAAACGTCAAAGCGGCGAGGAATATGATACAGACGAAAGACCCAGCTTGGTCCATACAGGGAGGAGGAAGCTCGGCAACTATTTCAGGGACATTTTGGAAATTTTTCAAGGTCCTTCTTGAAAATCATTCATTTACAGCTCCTGTATAGAAAGGATGTGCTTACCAAAAAGAAAGAATACTCTAGAATGTCTAAATAAAAAATCGAAGTATAATAGATACGAAGTCGAATATATGTAAAGATGTCTGTTACATTCAACTTTTACTAGAAAATGATACACAGTCTTCCACAATTCAAGATATTGATGAACGAATCTGGCCTCAAAACTTTCATGCACTATCATTAGGCTTTGTTCAACCTACAGAAACATTTAAATATTGTTTGACTTCAAAAAGCTATTTATTCTCATAACGACGGATATGTTGTGATCTAATTTAAGATATTCAGTTTCTGAAACTAGATCATTATGAAAATGACAAGAGTTGCATGAAATTTTTTTTGGAATTAAGTTGGGCCTTTTGAATTCCTTTCTCGAGATTGCGATGGATCACATTGCATTCTCACCTTGCACGACTCTTGCTAGGACACGAAACATATCCACCTGGAGTAGTAATCGAGTCTTCAAAGACAAATTCGCTTTGTGTAAAATGCATATGAATACAATGCAAAGACGTCAATTTGTTCGGCTGGGTATTAAGACTTAGTCTCAAGTCTGTAGTATTTTGAACGATCCTTTTAAAGCTTTAGTAGCTTTCGCTTCGGTTTCTTTTCCGCTTAAGATACAGAGTTTAGCAGCAACTGAACAACTTGAAGCTTTAAAGCTTTCCCCCTTCAATAATCTTCGATTCGTTACTTTGGAACCGGGACTGAAAGTTGCCGAGATTTCGCAAGGAAGTGGTCCTCAACCTCTACCAGGAGATATCTGTGTCGTAGTGAGAACCAACCCATTTCTTCACTCGTAGAGTTTCTCATGCATTTGTTTGAGGAATACACAGGGTATCTTAGCAACGGACAAGTTTTCGACTCTACTTCTGCAAAGGGTAGGAAGCCCATCGCCTTCCTTTATGGGAAAGGTCAAGTTATCCCAGGGTGGGTAAGTAGTTGTTTTATATCTAATTATGCTTTCTCTTCTATTTTCTTTTACTAGGAAATTGGTTTAAGAGATATGCGACCTGGAGGGCGTCGTGTCTTAGTTATTTCTCCATCACTTGCCTATGGAGAACAAGGTTTTGCGTTTTTATGGTCCAACTACTTTTTTGCTTATTAAGTAATATAGGGGTATGTTTAGAAGGTTATGGGTGCTACATACCACCTAAGGAGACTCTGGTTTTTGATGTCAGTTTGGTAAGAATAGCTCCTTCTCCTAACTGATCAGTTTCGAACTTGGTGAATGTACTGCTATATGTTTAGTTTTGTAAACTGCGTACATTTAAAGTTCTTACGTTGCCTCTTTGTGTTCAAATGATTCTGTGAGTTTTGGTGAATTCTGCACTTTACGACTTCACTGTGCATCCTTTTTATATATGTGATCAGAATTTCGTAAGGTCTATTTTGGATACCTCAAAAATATTGCATATTTCATTTCAGGACCAGCACTAAAACTGTAGAGAAGATATTTGTCTACTGACTATCTTTTCTGGTATTTCAAAGAGTGATATTCACATATTACCATAGTCGAAGCTCACTAGATAAGTTTCAGAATTGGGTTGGTTTAGTATCAATTTCATGGAATATAGCGGTATCGAAATACCAGTAAGGTTACTTGTGAAGATAAATGTCATATTTGATAAGGAATAGCTTTTGATTACTTGTCTATACGAAGGTTTAACCAAGACTTTAGTCAAGAATGCTTTCATTTCTCTCATTCTATAGCCATCACAATATCCTCTTTTGGTCCTCTTTTCTATGCAATAGTTTATCTTCCTATTTACAGACAGAAAGATGCTTATCTGTCTTCAAGTATTTATAAGGATGCAGCGAACGTTTATCAAAGGAGAGGCTTAGTTATTACACACATATAAGTATCTTTTAGAGCATTTTTGTAATCGTGAATATACCTATTCAAATACCATTTCTCTTTTTTCTACTATTTCTGAAAGAATATCTTTTTCACACTACAAACAGTTTTGTAAGAGTGTTCGAGAGGTTTCGAGAATACAAATAGGAACCATATCCTTTAGTGATGAACAAGTTATTTCAAAGGGACCCAAAATTGATGCTTCAAATTTTCTGTGGGTTTTGCCGCCACTGCGTTCTCTGAGTCGCAGTCTGTTTGGTAGAGACAACTGTAAACAGCCATATGTCGAGAAGGCAATATTATCAAGAATTCTTTCCAGTGGACCTGATAGTTCGATGGCTTTCGTATAGCTTTCAACGCAACAAACAACTTTTCGAGAGACGTGAATTATCTTTTACTTTAGATAACGAAATATATGTTCGATATCAAAGTTTTGAAAGTGCTGAAGATCTAAGAAAAGTTCTTGTCCAGAAGCTTCCTGTGAAAATTGATATAGGAGCAGTTTACAACTATCCACCTTGCAATCAATCACTCGTGACCTTATTTGCACCTCTAGAGCGAGAACTAATATTCGATATTGACCTTACAGATTATGAGGACGTAGCTATTATGAAGTCTGAGGATGAAGTCGATTTATGTGATAATAACTGGTATCTTATAGCAGCCGCTGTCGAGCTTTTAGATAAGGCGTTAAGAGACGACTTTGGATTTCAGCATATCCTTTGGGTATACAGTGGCAGACGCGGTGTGCATGGATGGATCTGCGATGAACGAGCAAGGAAATTATCAGACGAGTGTAGAGACTCCATTCTTGAATATTTGACTGTGCGACTTCCATCCGCTTTGAGAGAAATCTCTGTCAAAAGAGAAAAGTCCAATGTTTCGGTTTGTTCGGACGATTCTCTCAGGCAATGGAATACTCTTAGTGATCCTTTTCTAAAACGAAGTTTCGACTATTTATATCCTCTGTTCTTAAAATACGTTGTACAAAGTCCTCAGTTCTTTTCCGATGAAAATCATTTTAAAAAATACCTATCTCTCATTCCATCACATTATGCTCTACAAATTGAGCGGTTGATTGAATCAAATACTGTTGGAATGGACCTTTGGGAGAGAGTAGAAGAGATGCTTAAGGAACCAAAAAAATCTTGCTTCTATGGTTTGGTTGTTTGCTTGGTTTTTCATTACTTGTATCCTCGTTTGGATGCCAACGTTTCACGTCATATGAATCATTTATTGAAGTCTCCATTCTGTTTGCATCCAAAGACTCAACGTGTATGTGTTCCTTTTTCAGCAAATGAAGTCTGGACTTTTCAACCCTCTCGAGATGCACCTCAAATATCTGACGAAAATCTTGGACTTGACAGTAACGACAAGTTTGTTCTTGCGAAGCAAAGAATGAAAAATTTTATCGAAGACTTTGAAAGAATTCAAAAACTAGAAAATATCAATGCGAACGAGCAGAAGTTGTTTCAACGACATGACTTTATATAACAGCTACAATAAAATACTTTCTCATTCAAATCACGAGTTATTTAACAAAAAAATGTGAAATAACGATTTCTATTCAGTTATTTGGACATTCAGAATATTTGAATGGTCCCCTTCAAAAATGAGTGAATGAAGATTTCGCCTAGAAGAATCTGACAATGATTGGAATCAACACGGTAACAAAATAATAGACAAGAGGTGCAGTGAATACATAGCTATCAGTTCTGTCTAAAATTCCTCCGTGACCAGGTATTATATTACCGGAATCCTTGAAGCCTGCATCTCTCTTAAAAAGGGAAGCAGTTAAGTCTCCGAGTAGTCCAACCACGCCAATCATGATTCCATACACAGCACCGGTTATATACCAAAAAGGAAAACATAAAAGATATGCTGCAAGTAAACTAATACAAGTTGAGCCTAAAAAGCCACCCAAGGCTCCCTCGACTGTCTTCTTGGGTGAAATTTCGATGAACTTGGTACGACCAAATAACTTGCCAATAAAATAGGCTCCCACATCTGCTCCAACAATGGACAACCAAGTCCAAAATGTCAAGCACGAACCTAAAGAAAACAACGGTTTCCAACCTAAAAATGAGAACGAATGCAGAAAACGGAATACACGATTGAGAGAACCTAGCCCTAACATATTCCGAAGAGCATGCAGACGAATCCAATAAGATGGCAAATATCCTGCATAAAAAAGTCCCATAAATGAAGTAGAAATATCTGCAATGGTTGCCTGTCGCTTTCTAAAAAGCAAATAACAACAAATAAGTGTTCCTCCAATCGGAAATACAGTATCTGCAAATGTAGGAAACGTATATGCAACAATATTTTGAAGTATTCCAACAAAAATACCAGCTCGATGTGCTGGTAAGTGACCCTTTGCCCTTGCCATACGATAATATTCTAGTTGGCCTAACACACATATTAAAGTCAAGGCAAGTGTAAAGATACCATTTCCAGCAAAAATAGATACTATCGCCAAAAATCCCAAGGAAAAACCTGCAACCAGCCTTTGTTTAAGTTTTTGAAATACTGGCGTGTTCTTTCGAAAGGAAAGAAACGACGCGTTTACAGACTTGAACCATTTTTGTTCCGTAATAGACTTCTCTGGATGGTCCTTATCCTTGGGGAGGTTCTCACAGGAACTACAAGTGACACTTTCACAAAAAGGAGTAAATCCGTCAGAAAAACGTATCCAAGTGAGTCTTGACAGACGCTTTGCGCCAGGCACCACGTTCCTTTGGTTGTCAAAACTCTTGGGATTCCCACCCAAGTATGATACTTGTTTTCTCAAAGTAGCCTTCTCTCTGGAACGTTGGGATGTTTTGTTTGAGTATACGTTCCCTAAAAAACAGCTACAAAGACTGTTTCGAGTCATAACACAACATGAATGATAATAATAATAATACTAAGAATCATCGACGTTGTTTTACAACCAGAAGAATTGAAAGGAGAATTCATACAAAACTGTTCCTATCAACTTCAATGTTTTCTCAATTCACAAATAATGGACTCTCCTATAGAAAGAGAAAATCAAGAACTGACTTAGTTTTACAACATTCAAGTATTATGAAGTAGACTTACATCTATGAAATAGTTCGACGGCATTCTATATCTGTCTTTATAGAAATGTTTCGAACCGAAAAGAAATTCTACATAGCACGAGATGGTGCAACCCGCCCTCATGAAGAGATGATTGTCTGTCTCGTGAATGTGATAGGATTGGGTGTTATTGCACCGGTCCTCATTTTGTAGTATGGAGACAAACTTAAGAGAGAAGAGGCGTTCGGAGCACACCCTTCTACGACTAAGACGAAAGGAGGTTGCAAATATCGACCAGGATATAAAGAACTTTCGAAAAGCCTTGTTCTGTCAAGGTTTAGACATTCGTCCTGTCAAGGACGATGGCAATTGTTTGTTCCGTGCGGCAGCAGACCAAATTGTTGGGAACGAAAGGTTTCACGCTCAAGTTCGAGAACAAGTTTGCGATTATATAGCTTTGCACGGGGACTATTTAAAGGATTTCGTAGAGGACAACAATACTCTTGAAGAATACCTTTCAGAAATGCGTATAGAAGGAACTTGGGCAGGAAATATTGAAGTACGTAACGACTTTTTTTTTCTTTGTCTAAAATAGTTTGGCAAAGTTACAGGCAATATCTCTGCTTTATGGAGTGAATATAAGGGTTCACAGACTGGACCAACCAGGCTATGACTTGGAAAACTTCAAAGAAAAGAACGCTGTTTGGATTCATCTCGCGTTTCATCAAGGAGAGCACTACTCAAGTGTACGAAGACTTAAAGATGTTTATTCTAATGCACCAGCAAAGCATTGCGAAATTTCTGCCAGTAGAAGAGCTTCAGTCGCTAAAGAATTGGCAAAGGAAACAAAGACTTCCGTAGAGCAAGCATTGATCGTTTTAAATACAGTAGATGGTGACGAAGATCGTTCTCTTGATTATCTTTCTCTGATATCCAAAAATTCACGCAGTTCAGAAGAGAAGAGGCATCTTGAGAAACTGAATAGAGTAGAACGAAAGGAGCTGAAAAGACTTAAGCGTCTGTTTGGTAAGACGCGACTTGGATATCACAGCGACCCAGAATATTCCATAACGTCAACTTTAGCCATTTGAAATGATTGTGTTAATATCTTGTACGGGTTCTTGAGAGTTCCGAGCGAATGATTTGACAGGTTTGAATCAAAATTTGTCGAAAAGTGCTTCGTCTGATGTCAGCGAAGCGCAGTTAATAGAGTGGTATTTTGTTATTGAGTAAACAACATACTGAATCGTTGTCTGTATGCGAACAATCCCAAGGCATGAAGTCACGAAGTATTTTTGTAATTTTCCTGCGTTTCTGTCTATTTCTTATGACGTCTTCGTAAATGGAGGGAATGCCGTCCTTTCTCTGCTCAATCAACCAGTAACTTGAACGATTCACAATAAATAGACTGATATTCCTAATTTTAGCCTGCATAGAAATATATATGTCTGCCATATTCTTCTCTATGAAAATTTCTTTAGATATCTTGAATGAACGAGGCTGATACAACATAGCACCTGTGCCTATTATGTTTACTCGACAAGGATGAGATACGGCCATTTCAAGGCTTATCACAGTTCTTGATTGAAAATAGTCTTGCCGAAATAATTTTTCCTGATCAAGCATTACACCATACACTCCCAAAAGGCAAGGTTGTGGAAGGGATGCATAGCAGCGAATCATAGCCATCACGAAATCCCAGGGGTAGATTATATCATCATCCAGTGTAAAATGATAGTCTGAATAAGGAGTAACATAAAACTTCCCGATATCTCCCAAGTCTGATGACTCAGAAGAAGACACTATTTGAATGAAACCTATATGAAGAAATGGAGGAATATATTCATAATCGTTCAGATACAAATAAATAACATCAACTTGAGGAGCCAGGCTATACAAAGAGTCGTATAGTAACTGAATCCTTGGCCAAGTTGAAACCATGGAACAAGTAACAGTAGCGCATTCCAACTCCATGCGAGAACTAACAATCTGTCCATCAATAAAGGCATATGTTTCCAAAATCTCTTCTTTTCTGATGACTGGATGCATTTTAGACTCATGAGCACGAGTGTGATACAAAAGAGAATATGAAGTACGATACATGTTATAGCCCTCTCGGTGAAGTAGATTTGACAACGTCTCACCAACACCGGAGGAAGCATATTTTCTACGATACCACCGAGAAGGATTCACAGTTGGAACAGAAAAGTTTATCCATTCAAGAAAACGTCTTTCGCAAAGGAAATTACTTGACTCTACCCACCCTGATAGAACTACAATGTTATCCATCTGTCTTGAACTTAGCGTTGTCCAACCGGAGTAATTCACTCTATTGCTATCACAATGCAAAGAAAGCGTCATTTTGTACGTATCCTCAATAACTAACCAAAATTTTTGTGCTCTACTTAAGAACTGAGAACATATTCTCATATCATCTTGTAAGAATACATAAAAAGTACTGTGAACACCTTTCAAGGTTTCAAACGCACGTCGCACCATTTTCCAGTGCTCGTGTTTGCCAAAATGTCTTTTGCTTATCCATATCTGCCAATCAAAAGTCCCTTTTAGAGTTTTTAAGACTTGAAACAGTCGGGAGGGGAAGATACAAGGGAGTTCTAATAGCTGCTCTTCGCTATTGACTCGATAGAAGTCATCCACACCATCAGACTTTGAATTTCGCCAATAGTGAATATCATAGCAACCAATGGTATTATCATCTATAACTTGTAAAAATAGCCGTCGCTTTCTGACCACTGCATGCTGCTCTTGCTCTAGAATATCCAGCAAGAGTCGGTTGAGCGAACGTGGACGATCATAAGAATAAATTGTAATAGCAAAATCGTAAAAACTAGTATGACATTTCAAATTTCCATAAATAACAATTAGATGAACATATGAATAACCAAGCGTGAAGAGTTCTACTAGCCAAAAGAGAATTCGAATTCTCATGAATTTGCAATAACCGATCATTAGAAGAATATTTGCCTTGTTGCATTCATGGAGTTGCACATTTCTTCTTCAGCAACCAAAGCTGATACCTGTAGTCCTATGCAGCTTGTTGTAGACCCCGTGAGACACACAACAAGTCCTCTTGTTACGGGAGGTTCTGTTATAGGAATAAAGTGTTCTGACGGAGTAGTTATAGCTGCCGATACTTTAGGTTCGTAGCGTTTTTTTTGGCATTTTGTTTTCTCGTATAAACAAAAAATAGCTTCTTATGGCTCACTTGCGCGATTTCAAAACTTCTCGAGACTTTTGAAGGTTACTGACTCTTGTTTGTTGGGAGGTGGTGGTGAAATTTCAGACTTTCAAGAAATTCAACGCCTTTTAGAAAATCTCACCACCCAAGACTTTTGCTTTAATGACGAGCATAAAAAAAGCCCACGCTCATTGCATCAATACCTAGGAAGAGTACTTTATGCCCAGAGAAGTCGTTTGAACCCCTTTTGGAATAGTCTTATTGTCGGAGGTTATGTCCAAAGTCAAAGGTATGAGATTTTTTAGTTTTTCGTACAAAGACACCAACTGTGACTGTCTAGTTTTCTCGGCATGGTTGACTTATATGGCACCACTTTTGAAAGCGAAGTGCTTGCTTCTGGTTTTGGAGTGCTTTTGGGACTGCCTCTGCTCAGAAAGGCATATCGCCCTGATCTTACCGTTCAAGAAGGTATAAAGATTGTTGAGGAAGTCTACCGTGTGCTGTTTTATCGTGACGCTCGGAGTATCAATAGAGTAAGCAGTTCCACTCTTTTTTTATGAATGTTAACTCTGTGGACATTTAGATTCAAGTAGCTACTGCAACAGTAGATGGAGTAACAATAAGTGAACCCTATTCATTAGAAACAAAGTGGGATTTTAAAGGATTTGTCAACCCTCGCAGTACTTATGACGAGTCCACTTGGTAAAACAAATAGTAAAACACTTCATTTTGTAACCAACGTGTTGCAAAAAACCACAAACTATACACACAACTGGCCTGAAAAATTTAAATGACTGTTTCAAACATGGCAAACGGAGTTTCCAAGCCGGAACTTTCTTTACCAAAGTCTTCTTCATCAACGCTCTCTGTACTCTCAGAGTCTTCCGCTAAACGCGTAGATAGCGTACACGAGAAAAATAGAATCTTTTTCATGTTTTTGTGATAGAAAAAGTAACAGAACGACCAAAGTGCACCAGAAGCACTGTATGGATCCGACTCGTAATCAGGAAGATAGGAATAGACTTCACATTCCTCAGGACGAATAATCTGTCCAATGTTTTCCCATAGAAACTGGCGAAACTCCAGGCCAAGTTGCCTGTAGAAAAGCTCAAATAACGAGTCAACATGCTGCTGCAACGAACGAACATCTTGAACACGTTTGAGTCTGGAAAGCTGTAAAGAGCTGATCTCGTTTAGTTCGACATCTTTCTAGAAACGCATATTATTCATACCTGAAGTCATAATCTTGGTGTGCGGCATTAAGTGTGCATATGAGGTTGATAAGTGTCTTTCGAGCACTCTGGTCTTCTAGAGACCCCACAGGCGAGCCTTCCAACACTCTTGGTGAAGCTTCAAGTTGTTCTACCAACTTTTGCTCTAATGACTTGCTAAGCTTCTTGTCGAAGCCCGCTGGTTTACCTTGACAAAAGTTTGAAAAACTCACCAAGGGATGGTTGACATTATACCTACACGAATAAGCTTCCAGTTGACACCGAACTCGATAGTCCGTTAATTCAAGGTCGTTGAGCTTCCTTTGGAGCTCACTTAAACATTCAACGTCCAGGAACTTCATATACTTAACATAAACGGTATCCTTTGGCCGCAATGCCTCTTAGAACTTCTCAGACAAACGTGCGAATAGAATCCAAGTTATACTAATGATTCATTCTCTCAGATTTATGGGGATGTTCGTTATTATAGAAACTGTGAAGATGGTTTGAAAACTCTCATACAATTCCCTTTCAAGGTTGAAGACTTTCATATTTTTCTAGAACCACTTACCTTCATATTCATCAAGCCAACCACTCTTTTGCAAGTTTTAAAGATATGTCTTCTTTAAATATTCGACTATTTCGAGTTTTTTCTACCCTTACTGCTTCAATTATTGTTAACTTTTGATATTATCAACCTTGCTTTTGAAACTGGAGGAAAACTATTATGATAGAGAGGTAAAGTAGCATAGTGTCTCTTGTAACATACTTAAATGTGCGAGTTTTCCTTTGTTGAACAGCTCATATCTTTCGAGGAGATGGCTCTTTGCTTTATCAAATTCCTTTATCGGTTGAATAAGGAGTTCAAAAGTGTATTTTTTGTCCCAACTAATTTTTTTGAAGGCAATAACTTTGCAGATCGTGTATTTCTGCAATAGCAAACATACACTCCCAACATTTTCTACTTGGTACTCGCGTGGCCCCAATAAGAAGCGTAGAACAAAGTTTATAGTCAGTTTCTTCCATATATGCATGAAAAAGCATACTTTGTTGGGAACTATGGCCTCTATGGGCAACAAGAATCATCACCGTGTTGAGCAGCTAAAATCTTTGAGTTCGGAGCAACACAAGTTGCCTATAGAAGTAGTTCGGAAAGTTGCTAGCACAGTGAAAAGTTGCCGTTGGGAAAGTTCACTTACACTATACTCGGACTTTTGTAAACCGCACAGGAATCTTTGAAAAGAGTGAGCGGCGTTTTACTGAGTGTTAAAGCTCCACATATAGCAAGTTTAGAGAGAATTGAAGTTCTTTAACGAAACCCAAAAAAAGAATCACGCTCCGTTGGAATAGAGTTTCGATTTGTCTCTATTTCTGTTGCACGGTAGCTCTTCACCTATCTCTTATATCGGAATAGTCCCCAATAAGGAGAAACACACGAATATGTTAGAGCATCAATTTGTTGCCTTCCACGCAAAAAGTTTGAAATCTTTCTAAGCAAACCAAATAGCTTCTCTACGATATGTCATTCCTCGTGGAGGGTGAGTAGTGAGAAACTGCAAGTCAACAAATGGACAAAGTTGATTAATTTTTTGAGTAAAATGTATCCTCGTGCTCAACAACAGGCAAGTCGAACCTTGAAGCGTTTTAGTCTTTTTGTTAATCTTGTTTCAGGCTTCTGGTTTTTACCAGTCAACTTTTATTAATCCTTCTCCTGTAAGAGTTCTGTGTCATATTTTTATTTCCGTAACCTAGTCGTTTAGGAACAAGCGGGCTCTTACTCTGTGACTCAATCTTCCAGTTTTGAAGAAGAGCCTCCTTTATTAGAAGGTATTTCTGTCGTTTTCCAAGGTTTTGTTCTTCTTGCTTATATACTCTGAAGAGTTGGGAATAGACCTTAGGCGAATCCTCGAAAAGGCCAAAGCTGTTCTCAACCCTTTTGCTAGTTTTGACCACACTTTCGGTGAAGACGCTGATATGGCTGGTCCTCTATTATTTTGTTTGCTATTAGGTAAAGTGTTGTTGTAGTGTCTGTTTTTTATTTTTAAATAAGACAATTCAAGGATTTATACTTTTATTTTCTGGCAAGGTTCACTTTGGAGTAATCTATGGTCAAGCAATAATTGGCTGTTTTTCGATCTACGTCATCTTGAACTTGATGAGTTCAAAAGGCTTGGATCTATATCGAACTGTCAGTATTTTAGGGTATTCGCTAGTTCCTATTGTGATTTTATCTTTCTTATTGCTGGGTCTTTTTTTAAAGTAAGCTCAAAATAGTGAAGTATAGTTCTATTAAGGCGTAGCTTAGGAAATCATCGTTATTGGCATTTCTTTTAAGTGCGCTTGCAGTTGCATGGTCCACAAACACTGCAACCATGATTTTCGTGCAGACAATGTCCATGAAGGTACGAGCATCTCAAATATTTTAGAGTGGATTCAAATATTTCATATGAAATGAAGGAACAGCGCTGGTTAATAGCATATCCTTTGGCGTTGCTATATGCATCATTTGTCTTAATTACGGTTTTCTGAATTGTACATAACTATGAAATATGACCGTCTAACAAACCACTAACGAAATAGCTACGAGATAAAGAATTCTAAAGTACTTTTATAAATTTCTCCGGCCAGCGTACTTATCAGCAACTCACTTTCAAGCTAGACAGTCAGCATTTGGTGTTGCCCCGCGGTGACAACCTACTGCTGCTTGACTACGAGCAAACCAAGCTTCCACTTTTAATTTTGCTTGAAAATAACGCTCTTCATCAAGATTGCACTCTTCATCTACAGAGAGAGTCCTCTGGAAGTTTCCAAAACTTCTAAGACCTGTATTTTCAAAACGATTTCTTTCAAGGACTGCACGCACTGGTTCTCGAACACTCTCGACCAAAGAGAAGCTCAAACTACTCTCCGAAACCTGTTCAACAGGAACTTTGGAATGAATACAACCCATTCAAGTTACTTTTATACATCAGTTCTTTACTCTCTTATCGAAGACACCTTTGGAGCACTCAAAATCATAACGCGGCAATCGACTAAACTTTCCTTCGTGATGTCCAAGTGGACATGCAACATGGCGAGAATTTTCCACAAACGCAAATGTTCCAAGTTCAATCTTTATCTTCAACACAACCCACACGACGAATAACATTGCTTTTGGTAGAATATCAAATTCCTAACACAATTTCAAGAAACTATTATAATGAAATCCATAGTAGAACAATGGAAGTTTACACTATAGGTAAAGCACCGTATTCAACTGATAGCTTATATTCCTTTCCCAACATGCATATACTTACTTGCGCATTGAAGATGCAATCATAAACTGGGTGGTTCTTCTTCCTCACTGTTATTACCAGTCAATCCTGATAACGTTGAGAACCATTCATTAGTCTGAATCAAGGCTTGACCTTTGCCTATTTGTTGAGTTACTGTCAAATCTTCTTTCCAGTTCCAAAATGCTTCTAATGATACAATTTTCGACTTGTAGAGTCGGTCAAAAACATGTCTTATAAGAGCAACTTGTCTGAGTTCACTGCTACCATTTCCATCGTTAAAAATGTTGGTTTGAATTAACGGAAATGACTTTTCATAACAAAACTGTTGTGCACTGACGAGTAACATGAGGTGCTTATGAGCATCTTCATCTAGAAGATGAAGAAGCGCGGTTTCACAATTCTTCAACTTACATCCAATGTTACAAGCCTCCATATCTTCCGCGACAGAATCAGAATTCAAAGTGCGATGAAATATTTCAAAGTAAAGATAACCTATGGAAGTGATAACTTCCGTTGACTTCTTGGTTTCGTCGTCTAGACCTTGTAGTACATTCAAAAGCGTATCCGAAGAGTCCACTTCAGAATCCACATTTAGTGACATTACTATATTTCTTAAAACACAACTGAGACACAAATAGCTCGCATCGAACTTCTTTAAGAGAGCGTACAACATGTCTCTATTGTTCCATTCTAAAGAAAGTTTTTCCAAGTCAAGTCCACTATTCCTCATTGCTTGCAATGTTCTTGACAAACTATCGCCTTCACAGCTCTCTCTAATAGCTGACCGCAACTCCTTGAAAACTAATATCACAAATTTTAAACGTCGGGTAGAATCTCTTATACTTGTAAGGCTGTTTTGTAAAAAGTTCAACCCATAATTGGCACTCTCGTTATTCGTATTCCTAAGCATGCCGACAGCAGCAGCACGGCCAGTTAAGGAGGCAACAAAGTCACTTGCATGAGGATCATCTATATCAAGATCATCCAAAATTTCAATAACTGATATGAAACCGTTCCTGATGACATCTGGTGCAACAGTTTCCTTGGCAAACGAGAAAACTGTAATTGCATCATTCCTTACCGATGTCTTACTTTCCAAGGCAACCTGAACAAATTGAAAAACGAAATTTTCCATATTAGACTTGGGTATTTCTTTCAGACTCTCTTCTGCTTCTTTGGCATCTTTCAACGAATGATATTCTTCCAAGATACTCTTCAACCTTCTCGAGAAAGCTTCCTGTGTCAGAGCCTCTGGCTCAGTAGATAAACCTGTTTCTAATTCTTCTTCTCTTACGACACCCACATTCGTACTGGAACCTTCTGCAGTCTCCCCAAGGACATTTGTCGAATGGGTTAAAATACTCTTTGGTCGGGATTCCGTTGTATTATTGCTATGAGCTTCCGTTCTCCGAATATCGGAAGTTCCTGATTCAGTTTTCCAACCTCTCGCACCTCCTGCCATAGATAGTATGGCACTACTTGGTCCTAACCTCACAGGACCCAGTTCTACTTTCTCTGCATATTCTCTCCAGTCCGGCTTCTTTGCCCCAAACTTTTCCCAGTTGGCTTCAACGCGCTGCGAAACACCAGGGCTTCTGGGTGAAGAAGTACCCATATGCATCGTCATTCGTGGAGCATATGAGGCAGCTGATATAGTTCTTCTATCACGACTAGACAACATACGTTCTCTACTAGCTTGAGCCTTCGCACGTTCTTCTCTTTGAGCGTCTGCATGTATTTCTCCAATTGTCTTTGCTTGAGCTTCTTGCCGTCTTTCAACCCAGTTGTTCTTTCTCAAATCGAGTAAATCCATTATCATGAAACGGATTCTACTGGGCAGTTTAACAGTGGCACGGAACTTCTCCAATGCTTGAAAGTACTGATCTAACATAGGGCGATTCTCTACATGTGAATCCAACTTTGCGCCGACCGATGTCAGTAACTTGCATAAACTTTCGAGATCATCATCATCTGGGTTTGGAACTAAGGAAAGAGAAAGCAAACGAGGAATACAGTCATCTCGTATAACTCTTTCCGATATCATGTCCTTTTTGAAAAGTTCACCAATGAATTTGATATTTCCAATCATTCGTCGCTTCATCTTGTGACGTTCTTCTTCCTCTTCTGCAAAGAGATTACTGTCCGATTTTTCATTCGTGTCTATTGGAATCTCCTTATCCTTCGAGGCTAGCTGATGCTTCTCCAGAGGCGCCTCACATTTTGCGAATTTCTGAAACTCACTCTGACAGTTACTCAACAATATACTTTTGAACGTTACTTTCTTGCCAGACTCATCACGAAAACCTCCATCGGCTGACTCATCCAGCATTTTCTGCATACTTACGGACAATCTGTCACACAGTTCTGCATACATGGGACCAAAATTAGGCTCTAACAACGCCTTGTCAAAAATTTCCGAAACAATGCCTCGAAGAAGCTCCGGCGAATCAATTTTGACATCTAGTATTTGTTCATACAACCTATCAAACTTCTCATATGTTAATTTGTTCAAAATCGAACGGACAGTGTGTATCTTTCTAGTGAACTCATCTTCGTCATCTCTCCTATGTTTCCATGCCTGCGCCGCTTGAATAATTCGCATGTCTGGAGCTGCCACTTTGGTGCCACGAAGATCTGACAACTCCTTCCCTCCAAATGATCGTCCCTTTGCTGAGGCTTGGTTCGAACCCGGAACTGGTACGTTCCTATTTCGAGCCCTTCCGAGATCATATGAATCTTTGGAAGACAAGGATTTTGTTGTGAAACCAGGCGGTGGACCTGAAATGTTGCTTCCGGGAAACACGTTTTTGGGAAACTTATCTAAACTACCATGCTTCTTGGACTGGAAACTTTTGCTACTCAAGTTAGGAAGAAATTGAATATCATCTTGGGTTCTTTCATCAAATGAGTCTAAACTTCCAACAGACTTCAAATCTTCTAGAATCTCTAATGGATACCGAAACCTTGTCTTCATTGTGAGGGCAACTTCTTCTTCTTGCTCGTCATTCCTTTTTATATCCAACTTCTCACTCGTTGAATTCTGCTCAGTAAGTCTCTCACCTGCACTCTCCGGTAATCGGTGAAGTGACCCCCTATTAGTCACAGCCTTTCCACCTCTCACAACAAACCTTTCCCGTCTAGGACTAACAGCACGATCCACAGTTCCTTCCTGGCTCGTATCTTCGCGTTTGATAGATGCATTATTCAGCTCCGCAGTCGTACAAAAAGACAATAATTCTTCGTCCGTTTTCGACTCGGAATAGTCTCTTTGAATTGAAACAGTAACTTGTTCTTTCTCCATGTTTGGAGCGGCATTTTGCTCTAAATCTACTTCAGTGTTGGAAACATCGATATCCTTTTTCAAATTCTCTCTGCTATTTTCTGAAGAATCCACATGAAGTGAAGTCGTATTCTCTACTATGCTTTTCCCATCGGAAGGTGTTGAAAATGTATTATCAGTCTCGTTCTGATCCTGCCGACTACTTACATTTACTACATGTTCACTGGAAATTTCAACATTCTCCGACGTAACTAAGTCAAAATCTAAGTTACTTTTCTTGTAAGAATCAGCACCTATTTCATCTGTAGTTGTGGATCTATTAGGTTCACCCATATCACCCTATGTTAACAAAAAACGTGAGTAAAATCGCAAGCAACTTTACATTTACTTACCTTCTCGTAAGGTGGAACCTTAGCTTCCAATTGCGCAGATGATGATGAGCTACCTTCTCCTGCAAATTGCTTGGAAGGAATTGTCTGATAACTTTCAGATGGATCTTTACTTGAAACTTGTGGTGAAGAAGTAGTTGAAGTTCGTCTCTTCTCTTTCTCAAGGGCTGTAGATGATAGATCAATCTCTTGTTTTGTATTCGGGTCAATGATAGGTATACGTTTCTTCTCCCTCTTAGGGGGCACAACGACACCTGTCGATGAGACACTACTAACTTGCGTACTTTTTTGTCTTTGATTGGTCTCAAAGGTTTGGCTATTGGACGAATAAGGAACATAGCTATGCTGGCTAACAAAAGAATTCGGTTGGTTCGTTCCATATACAGTGTAGCCTACACCTTGCGGTACTCCTTGAGCAAACATGGAAGTTTCTTGTCCAGTAGGAGCACCATAAGCTAAGGGAACTGATAGGGGAGAAGTCAGAGGCTGACCATATGAAGCATTTCCTCCACTGTAGGGATATGAGTTGCGAACATAGTGCTGAAACCTATCCGGAAGAAACGGCGGTAACTTTCCAACCTCTGCTGGATTGGGTGGAGCTGACGAGGTCCGCTGCATATCTTTTGGTATATTATGCATTCCCAAATTAAACTGCGGAATATTGCTTGAGCCATCTTTCAAAACAGATTGGGTTGAATTTGCCCTAAATGCAGACTGAATGGACGAACTAACTTTTACTTCCTCTGGGGTAGCTAAAGGTTGTGAACGGCTTGAGGAGAGATTTGTCCCGGTACTACGAGCAACCTCATCACACTGGTCAACTCGGGTTACTGACTCCAAACTTGCTGAAATTTGCTTTCTGTCTCTATTCTGCTCCTCACCAGAAGTTTCACTGTCACGTTCCGTAACTTCTTCAAACGTTCCAAACGTTAAGGAAAACGAATCTCCACCTAAACCAAAATTGTGTCAGGAACCTCCGAAAACCCTTGTCGTCTGCAACTAGAAAACTCACCTGCGAGTTGGTTGTTCGGAAAATTCTCAATTCCGACACTACTTTCTTGGAGAGTTTCAAAGCCTTTCTTTTCCACTTGGTTTCCTGCTTGCTTCACTCTCTGGGAGTTTTCAGTATGCATACAAAAGTGAAACCGTGCAGGGTTTTACTTTAAAAACTTTCGAAACTAAGGTAAAAGTAGTGAATATGAAGGTAATAAGCAGTTTCAAACTCGTATGTTTGAAAAAGCCCCTCTAAACAGAGAGTATACCAAGCAATTCTAAGTCTGCTGGTTCCTCACAATCACCAGCTCGACGCCCTGCAAAATTGAGGACCTCGACGGATAGGTTTGATTGTAATTCTCAGTTGAATTTTTGGGGGAGAAACTTTTGAGACGCTATGCTAGTTGTCTAGGTAAACTTGTGTCGACATAGGTTATATTTTGATGGGGTATTTGGAAGACTATATTCAAAACGTGTATGGTTTTCGAAATGAGAAGAAGAAACAGTCGAAGAAGCGTCAGAGGAAAGTGAGCCTGGGTAACTTTTCTTTGGTTGACGACGATAGCGTTCTGGCTTCTCCAAAGTTCAACAGAGAAAAAAAGAAAGATAGTGGAGGTAAGAAGGAAGAGAAAAAGCTGCTGGCTTCGGAAGGCTGGACCAGCGTCTCTCTTGATGTTCTTGAAACTGCAAGGACTTCCAGTTTTGAGCAAGGAAAGAGTTATGTTCCGTGTAGTGACACTGACTTTAGTAAAGTCATCGATCGTGATGGTGACCTTGATATATCTGAACAACAAAATTTAACTGTGGATGAAGACGGTGACCTTGACTTTTCTACGTACAACAGTCCACCTGATACCGTTGCAACTCCGAGCGACACTGTCAATTTAGAGTCAAAAGTTGCAAAAATTGATTCTGGCATAAAATTAAAAGTTGGATTGCAGAGTGCGGATGATATAAAGGAGCAAAACAGGAAAGTCAGAGGAAATGAAGGAGCTGAAGCAACTGAGCAGGAAGCGTTGGATAAAAATTCAAGCACTGTTTACCGTGACCGAAGAGGTAAGGCTACAATTTTTATTTTATTGTACACCTTTAACTTTGGAAAACAGGGAAGAAACTAGATACTTACGAAGAGTATATTGATTCTCGTAAACGTAAGAGCCACTTTAGAAACGAACCGGAATATACTTGGGGAGCGGGAATAGTACAGAAACACTTAGCAGATGAAGAGATAGAGCGTCTTGCAAACGAGAGTACCAGAGACTTTGCGGTTTATAAGACAAACGAGGAACTAAATGAAAGACAGCGACAGCAGTTGCGTTGGGGAGATCCTTTGTTGTCGCAGAGGTATCAGAAGGAGAAAGATACGCAAGTTTCAAACAATGCATCGAGTCACGAAGGCAGAGAATACAAACACTATTCGAGTGTCGCCAGCAACGAACGATATCAAGGGCCTCCCGCCCCTCCTAATCGGTTTAATATAGAACCAGGTCCTCGTTGGGATGGTATCGACCGAAGCAACGGGTTTGAAAAGAAGGTCTTCGATAGAGTTGCAAAGAAAAAGGCTATGGAAGATTTTGCTTACAAAATAAGTGTCGAGGATATGTGAAAGCACTAGTAGTTATGTAGAATTTTTCGGATAGAGGCTTGAGCACAATAGTTGTGTGACTGGAGACTTTACCATCTCTTACACGCATTTTGCATTATTCGACGTTATCTCTTCTAGCTACTTTAGGTTCGACAATTCCTTATTAGTCTAAGATAAATACTTTCACAATAGAGAATGCATGAGCGATATTATGGGACAGTAGATTTGGCCAGTGGCATGTGGAAGAAATCATAGTTGTTGCCTTTAGAGTTTTGGACATTGATAGTCTAATAATGAGAAGTTTCTGTTCTTAGTTTTTAAAAAGACTGCTTTATAAGTCTCCCATCTTCGTGACTCGTTCTAGATGGCAAATTGTTCTCAAGAAGAGAAGTGGCAGAGGGCTCGAGCTCTGCTTAGACAGCGTGAAGCAATAGAAGAGGAAATAAAGAGTATTTCTTCCATGTTGACGGTATGTTAAAGTCGTACTTCTCTCAGTTACGGAGAGGTTTAGAGTAGTAGGGTCCAGGTGGTCCTGGTCTGCATGGTAACCTTGTAGACTCCGAAGGCTTCCCGCGCAACGACTTGGACATCATCTCAGTGAGATCTCAACGGCAACGGATCGCGCACCTATATACTGACCATAAGAGTATTACTGACGAACTGGAACAGCTTCTGCACTCGGTTAGCTTGCGGCCGCATATATTTTTGAGATTTATATCTTCTTAGATCTTAGGAAGAGGAAGTGAATCAATCAGTGTTACAAGATCAAGTTTGTCAGAAAAGGAGCCATTGACGTTAAATAGTACGCATCTTCAAGTTTCAGATCCTGACTCAGTCGTTCTTGCACCGCTTGGTAAGCCGTTTGCATTGGTGGACCGAATAGTCACAGCCTCACCTGCTGACCTTGCCGGAATGAAAGACGGTGACCGTATCATTGCGTTTGCGAATATTAGTACGGAGACTAAGGGAAGGTAAAAAATTGAAGCGAATTTTTGCTTTAACTGAAACTTTCAAAAGTGAAATAGAAGCTTACCGTTCGTTAGCTCCAACTGTTCGTGACTTTTCGCATGTTTCTGTTCCTGTTGCAGTGGAAAGAGTAGACCCTGAAACCCACCAAACTCTTATCGTTCACTTAGACATAACTCCGTTGCCGTGGGACGGTCCTGGCTTGTTGGGTTGTAGTATTCGTCAATTATCTTCGGAAGCTCCTGGACAGTAGTCTAATAAAAGTTACTGTGACTTTTGCGTAGTTTGAGAGATAGAAAGATATATAGTATTCCAGAAAATCATTTTGCTGAATTTATTTGTTTGTTTTTTAATATTTACTTCAAAATAGTTCTGGCTAGATGTTGCTTTGCTGTTTGTAAAGCGTGCGAGAAACCTTGTTCTGTAAGCTCTGGAATCAAATCTCTAGGGTCAGTCGAATACATGGCGAACTCGGTGCGACTAGATAATTCGTTAGCATCGGTTTCCATAATTACGCCTTCTTGATCGACTAACTCGTCAACCAACAACAAAAGAACTTCATAGTGTTGAAGTAGATTTAGCTCGTTCAAAGGAAGATTCTTCAGCACTTTCACCAGTGAATCAACCCAGCAGGTTAAGACCTCTGACAATATTACTTCATTTTCATATATACGTGAAGTAACAAAGAAAAGCAAGTCTTCCGAAGCTCTGCAAACAACTATGTGCTGTCCGTGTTCGAACACCCCTGTGTCTACAATTGCTTAAAACAAAAATGAGTAAAAGCTGTTTGACATACTTTCTTCCAAATCTGGAATAGTTTGAGACTTCTTCAACAGATCTGCCTCAAACTTCTTCTCGACATCAAACGTGGGAAACAACTCTTTTGCAGTGTATCGCGCTAAAATTCTCTCCCCTTCGACGTTCAATACTACAAGAGACGAAACTAACGGTTGGATTTGACCTTTTTGCTTTCATATTCTCAGTAGCCAGAACAACTTGTCTTTAACTAGACCTACCATCAGCCACGTGGGATCCTTCTCTTCTAGTTTGTTTCTTTCCACTTGATAATTTCTGCGAGCCATCTCAAAAAAATTCGAAATTCCATATTTTGCCTATCCTTATAATCGGAAGCTTCGGAGACTTGAAACAGTCTCTCCTCAGTCTCTCCTTGAGCTGTTATCAACAATATTTTTACATATATATTGGTGCTAAACTCTCCAGGAAACTAAAAACCCTGTCGAAGACACTGCTTGTTGACCTTTTCGAGAAATTTCAGCATATTTCATTCTGAGGACTATACATCCTCGGAACCTTATGTGGCTCTCTTAGTGTAAGACTGGTAGAACTATTGTCTCGAAATATATTGAGTGCTTTAACTACTTAATCTTACAAGCCTTTTGTAGTAGTGAGTCTGTTGAAACTTTCAAGTTGCAGTAGCAGAAGCTCCACAGTTACTTTGTTCATACACAGAAGGTAAACACACTATTCGAACTATTAACTATATGTGAATATTTGTCTTGTTTTCTTAGCGACCTTTCAGTTATGTAAGTCCCTTGGAAAGGAGCTGCAAAGTAATCAAGGCTGTAACAAGTATCATGAATCACGCCAAGAGTCCTTGAAGTTTATTTTATTATAGTAGATTTTGCAGTGTAAGAAAAAACAATAAATTTGTCACGAAGTGAATTCTTTCCATGCTTCAAACAAGAGCTTCCATTGTTATGAGAGAAATGAAGGAAACCGTAGGAATGAAAGGAAGAACAATCAACTTCAATACATTACAAGTGCTACTGACCATCCATTTTTTCTTACAGAGATTTTATTGTTTTCTGCCTTAAGTGTACGACTTGCGGCAATGGGTGGGTTTGGATCGCTTGGCTTTCTAGTGCACGGCAACTTCTTGAAACGCAACAGAAACCTTAATTCAGTTCGAGTTGTGTTTCATAACTATTTCTTGAGGAACGTCTGTAAGAAAAGTTGTTTTTCGGTTGGAAAATCGTTCAGTTACAAAGCAGCCGTGCGTGCTTCGAACGACTCTGCTACACTACCGCCAGAAGTTGACTTGTTTTCTGAACAAGTTAAGCCGGATGAATATACTGTACTGGGTTTAGCGTTCTGCTTCCAGCGTGACAGCAACGGAAAACTGCAAGAATTGGTCGTCATTGAACCAGTGCCTACTAGTACTCTCGAAACAATACTCCAGGGAGTTCCTACAAGGTACTTGACGAGCTACAAGTTTTTTACTCTCGGCTTACCTATCTCATAGCTATAAGCGACTTGTTGCCACTGTTTATAGCAGAGCAATGGATATTTCTTCGATCCCTCCAGCCTTTGTAGAAGACGAACGAGTCTCGTTTTGCGAAAACTACAGTGAAAGACTGCAAGCGGCAACTCGTACGTACAGAGCACGACTAGAAGCAAAAAAGGTAAACATCCATATGAAGACTTTGAAGGTAACCAGAGAACTCTGACTTCGTTGTAGATTCAACTGGGCGAAGTTTATGTGACGATCAACTTTTCTACTAGTCCAAAGCGTGTATTAAACGAAAAATTTGAGCCGTCTTTTGAAGACAACGTAAAGCAGGATATTAGTATCGACGTCTATGGTAGGAAGAAAGATGAGGAAGTGAAGAGTGAGATCGAGAAGCTATATAATGCGTGACTTCAAGAGAGCTCGTTTCCATCCTGGAAAGTTTTCTTTGTAAAAATAATAAAATAACTGGTTGCAGCGTCATCGAGCTCCTGTAGTGCTTGTACAGTTTCACTTCAGTACCTTATATTTATGTTGTTGTAAGTTACAATGAGAATCTTTCCTGGGGGTTTGGTTAAGAATAACGGAAAAGATGGTCATGCGGCAACTAGCGGAGATCCAGTTGAATTGCCATTTGATGACAACTTTGGACACGCTTTCTTGAATTGTTGTCACACCAAGACATTAATTGCTTTTGTCACAGCTTCGAAGCTATGAATGAGAAGGGACTATATTATGGAAAATCTCTTTCACACGTTGCTGATGAAGGTCACTCAACAGTTTTACGTTCAAACAGTTCTTCTTGGGACAAGTCTTTAGTTTCAGGTGATGACAACTTCAATTTCCAGCCAAGTCCCAAGACAGAAGGACAACAGGCAGATAGAGTACCTCCTTTGATTGATTTCAACGATAGCCCTGTTGACTGCACAGTTCCTTCTACAAAGGAATCCGCCTGTCCTGTTTCACCTCCGCAAAGGTCACTTACAGTTGAGGAAGCGTTGAACTTTCCAGCGATGCCTACGAACTTTTCTGACTTGCATTTGAAAAGTGTTTTTGAGCTAGCTGTAAGTAAAGAAGTTTTCGAGAGAACATAGAAGTTAAAAATTTCTCTTCTTTAAGAATATGTTGGAAAGCGACGAAGCAATCAAAGAGTATTTGGCAACCCAACCACTGTATCGGTTAGTATTTTAAAAACTGTTTGTCTTCAGTCTCTCTCACGTTTGAAAGTCACATATGTTCGACGAGAGATGACTTGCTAGAAGAAACTCGATACCTTGAGTGGAAAAATAACCAAGCACTGGAGAAGCGAGACATATTGGAAATGTCGAAGCTTAAGGAAGCAAAAAAAAAGTTAAAGAAAGTCAAAGAGCAACTAGCTCAGGCCCAAAAGGAGAAGTACGGTACTTTTGCTTCCTTTACTTGACAATGACCATTTCCTTTTAGGTCCGAGCTTCTTTTGAAAATGAAACCAGAAAATCTCACGAAAATTTTTATACCTGCAGTTGAAGAAAAGCTCAGGAAGTCAGAAGCGATAAGATCAGCTTTCTTGCGACAAGAAATCAGCCTGAATGAATGCTTATCAGAATACGTTGCCGAAAGAAAGGCATACTATATTCGAAGGGCGAAGACGAATTTTATAACTGCTTTAGCGAAATCCGTTTGACGCCTTGCTGCTCCTTATGGAGTCTTGTAAATACAGTAATCCTTGTTAGTTTTATTCTGAGATACGAGCAAATTGGAAACTAGCATGTATTACAAGGCAGAGAAATAAAACACCGATTAGTTGTAAAATATATCCCAAAATGTGAAGCGGAAGCAAAATGTTGCAACTCAAAAGGTGCTATCAAGGCCATCTTCTGAAGTTCGTTGTGAGAACGCAAAGGATATGTCCCTTTGAAACTAGGTAGGGGCTAGTGTCTCAGTACAACAAAGTGGACAAAGTTCTTGCCACTAACAGTGAGTCAGCTGTGCAGTCGATAAGCTGCAACAGGAAACCACAGTGTACAAAATATATAAATAAAACTCGCTTCTCTTTTTGTACTTCGAAACCTTTATAGCTGTTTTGCCTTTCAGTTACCAACCTTGCAACTTTAAGGGATCTACAGATATACTCCAGCAAACACTGATAGTTTTCAAGCTTCGACAATTTATATGCTTCAAGCCTGTGAGTCGCTAGTCTATCATCAACTGTGAACTGCTCCATCACACATTCTTTCCTTTCTTACTCCATGAAGATCATTTTGGCGCACAGGATGACTCAGAACCAACGCTGGAATGCATATAAGAGATATTTCTTTTGTTGGCTTATTTTTACTATTTCGTTTATGATAGAGAAGAGTTGGACAGGAAATTCGGCATCGGCTTTGAGTCGGCCAAAAAAGGTCTGGTTTGGAGGGTTATCAAAAACTTTTGACACTGTAGACATTTTTGCCACTTTGTTTATTAAAGAAAGAAGAAGTTTTTCAAAAGTTGTAAGCTGTTCTTAACTTTGTTTTTAAAGAACTCAAACATGAAAGTTTGAAGATTATTATCGCCGTTGCAAAAAGATGGAATGCAATATAACTGGTCCATATCCCTTATTGAAACTACTCATAATAGTAGACATCAAGAATTTCAAGGATGAAGACATAGAATCAAGATTACCGTATATTTTAAGCTTTTTCAAAAAGATGGAGTCTCCACCTCTCGTAAAGATGCTTCTTAACAGAATGCCCCTGAAACACAATTTAGATAAAAGCGAGATATTTTCTCGTTACTTTGATAACTTGGAATTTGTAGAAGAACAGAGTCAAAGTACTCTACTTGACATTCTCTCACATCGATGTCATTCTGTAATATTCCTGGAGTGGGAAACAACAAGGCTGTTACAATTGATTTTGCGACAAAGAGTAACGGAATGGTTGATGTATTTAGACAATTGGACTTCCGCATTACAACTTTTAGATGATTCTCAAGTCAGAAAGGTTATATACGGGAGCAGCTTATATTCCATAGGGTGGATTCTTCGTCCCTCATGCCTGCAAGATTTTCAAGATTTTCTCGAACTAAGGTTCTTGCAGCCTTGGTCAGAAAGGGCATATAGTGGACTTTATCAAGTTGGAGAGCCCAATTTTCGTTGTCTCGTTCGTACAATAGAATGGACTTACCGCCTGTATTATCCAAGTTTGACATTCAATAGTTTGTCTTTGGTTTTTGATTTTATTAGTCTTTTGGAGAATCAGAATATCTGTGCCCCATTCCTTAGTCATATGTTTTTTGTTCACTTTCCTGTAGATACACGAAATAATACAATGATATCCTTTTAAGGAAGTTTTCCTCCGAAGCTTTAAGGTCGATAGAGAAAGACAGATACTATAATTTTGCTGTATACGGTATACGGGTTATCGATAGTAAATTGCTCCAATGAACGTATCGTCCTCTTCACTCTTTGACAGTATGGGTTCTGTGAGAAAAGACGAGTTTATGCGAGTTTACGAAAAGATAATCGAAGAAGAACTGAAAGAAATTGAAACTTCTTATAAGATTCCGTCGTTTGCTATTGAACAAGTTAAATTTTGCACTAGTTACAACGTCCCTCACGGAAAGTTACAGAGGGGCACTGCAGTGGTTGAATCCTACTGTGCCTTTGCCAATTTGTCCATAGAAGAAGTACCTGAAGTGGATCTACACCAGGCATGTATTTTAGGTTGGTGTGTGGAATGGTTGCAAGCGTTCTTCTTGGTAGTTGACGACATTATGGACTCCAGCCAAACTAGACGTGGTCAAAAGTGCTATTACTTGCTTCCAAAAGTTGGAATGAACGCTATCAATGACGCTATGATTTTGCAGTCCTTTATATACAGGTTGCTGTATAGATACTTCCGCGACTTGGACTTCTATGTCAAGTTGGTTGATATTTTCCAGCAGGTGACTTTTGTTACCGAATTGGGTCAGTTATTGGATACTGGATCACAGAACACGACAGAAGACAGCTTTTCAGTGTTCACAAAGGAAAATCTCGAGAGAATTTATGACTACAAAACTGGAAATTATACTTTTTATCTACCTTTTGCCTTGGGTCTTATTTTGTCGAGGAAAGATGAAGATGACATTCTGAAGAGGGTTTATTCATTGTGCATGGAACTAGGTAAATATTTTCAGGCCCAGGATGACTTTTTGGATTGTTTTGGTGATCCAGAGATAACTGGCAAAATTGGAACAGATATCGAAGACAACAAGTGCTCTTGGCTCATCGTAAATGCCTTGTCGCTTTGTTCGACAGATCAAATACAGACTCTTAAACAATGTTATGGAAAACATGACAATTCCTGTGTAGAGCAGGTAAAGAATATTTATCGTACAGTTGGGCTCGTAGAACGCTTCGAAGAATTTGAGTCGAGTATGTATTCCACCATAAGGGATCATATCACGTCGCTGGGTAACATATCGAAAGCTCCCTTTTTGAGAGTACTAGATACTCTCTACCGACGTAAAAAATGAGTCCATTGCTGTACAACGTTGATTCTCTCAGCATTCTTTATTTTTGTGATTGACTATCCTCAATACATGCATTACAAGATAGGATAATGTGCTGTGTCGACACATGTTTTCCAGGTGCTGGATCTTTATATAGCAAGAACAGTTTATCACCATTTGCAACGATAACCCCACCATTCTGAAATGCTTTCCCTTGAATGGGTCCTTGATGCAAGCCTTCACGAAAGGCTGCATATGCTCTGACCAATAGACTGGGTTGTAAGAAACTTTTTACAGACCTTGTGAACTCGAGTGCTTCATAAGTTTTTAGTTCGGGGTCCGTATATACATCACCAGGAAAGTTAATCTCGGCCTTAAAGTTTCTTGCCTATTACACTATACTAAGATAGGATTCCTAGTAACAAAAATACTTACGTCTTGCCAACTACCCTGGCCGACGACAGCAATCCTTACTCCAAGGTTCTCCTGTTGCTTGTAGACCTGAGCCATTTCTGCCGCGAGCTGCTTGCAAAATACACAACCAAAATGTCGAAGCCAAGCAACTGCATTACACTGTCCTGAAGGAAAAAGCGACGCAGCATCAAATACCTCACCGTTGGTATCAAAAATTTTCAATCCCAATAGACTATCACGAAAACTTGCTTCGCCAGTCATACTACAAAAGAATTTCGCGGAGTCTTCAGACAAAAGTTCAATTTGTGGCTCTCATCGAATCTTGTGATTTTTGAATTCTTTCAGAACCAGTCATTTTCATTTAAACTGTTTTCCTTGGTCCATGAATGTCAGCTAAATGTAGTGATGGTAACATTGTATTTCTGTCACTTTTAGAACATTTATAGAATGAATGAATTATTTCTTCTTTGCTTCAATCTTTTAAAATGTCATCTTTTCAAGGGGAGATATTCATCTGACCTGAAACTCTTTCAGTGAGTTTCTATTCCTCTTAAACTTGTACCTTATAATGAAAAGACTTTCCTTGTAAAGTCTTTTTATCGAGCATTATTACTACTGTTGCCTGTAGCATTCACTTTCTGAGAAAATACGCTTTTAAAAGAAATTCCGTCCATAAACAAAACTTTAAGGTGACTACTTCTTGTGACCATTCTTCGTTGGAACCCTGTTTTTCTAATCTTCTGTAAATGATATTTCATTCCATCGAATTGCTTTCTATATCTCTACATGCAAATTTGCTCATAAATCAATCGTCATATGGGGTTGTAGAAATGATTAACGATTTAAAAATCAAAGCATGACACCGAAGACTTTGCATGGCGTCTGACGAATATACCAACTTTGCACACTCAGACTTGGAACAATTTCCTGTAATCATTCATCTTGACCTAGACTGTTTTTATGCACAGGTAGAATCCGTAAGTTTTGTTTTAACCTAGTTATTGTTGCGATACGAAACTTATTTTTTTTAGGTGCGTCTAGGTCTAGACCCTTCAACACCTCTCTGTGTTCAACAGTGGGATGGTGTCATCGCAGTGAACTATGCCGCTCGTGAATACGGCATAAGTCGCCACGAAAGAATTGAGAAGGTTAAAGAAAAGTGTCCGAATTGTGTACTAGTTCACGTCGAAACAGTCGGCTTTCCAGATCAAAGTTCGTCACGAGAAAACGTTTCCAACCCGGACCTATTGAATCATGGAAAATCGGAAACAAAAGTTTCTCTCGACCGATATAGAGAAGCGTCAGCAAAGATTTTTCAGCTGTTGTTTTCGTACAGTGAACTTTGTGAAAAAGCAAGCATAGACGAAGCTTATTTGGACGTGAGCGAGCAAGTCCAGGATATTTTAGTTGCCACAAGAAACCAACGGAGTAGCATTGGGTCTATATTTGAACAGTTGAGTATGACGGAGAAAGAAAGGGCGTACTACTTTGAAACTATATTTCAGCCTTTCGGAAAACGGGAGTTGCCTTTATCTCAGATACTTTCTATTGGTTGTGCAATTGCAGCAAAAATACGATATGCCATATACTCTCAATTCAATTACACAAGCTCCGCAGGAATTGCTGAAAATAAGCTCGTGAGTTTTCATAGTTGGATATCATCGACATAAAATTGATACTTTTTAGTTGGCAAAATTAGGAAGTTCTCTGAATAAGCCTAATCGACAAACTCTTATATCACCGAAAGCTGTCCCTTTTCTACTGGAAAATCTACCGTTGAAGAAACTTCGAGGTCTGGGAGGCAAGCTAGGAACCCGCATTGAGGAGAGAACGAATGCAAAAACTGCTAAGGAAGCACAAAATGTCACACTTGAAAAATGGAATGAAATAGTAGGACGCGAAAATGCCGAATGGATATATAATCTCGTAAGAGGCATTGATTACTCACCTGTAAATGCCAGAGGAATAACAAAGTCTATCCTTGCTGCGAAAAGTTTTAAAGCTGAGTGTTCTTGGGAAGGCATGGAAAAATGGATAAAAATCTTAGCTTACGAACTTTGTGAAAGGTTGAGGAAGGATGAAACTATGAATAGCCGACGGCCGATAAACTTCATAGTGCATTATTCATCAGTCGGCTCCGTATCATCTTCGAAGAGTATTCCTTTTCCAAATGGGAAGGATAGAGTTTCATCTTTGTCTAGGAATGCAATGAAAATACTCAAAACTGCAAATAATTTTTGCTTTCCTTGCAATCGTCTGAGTTTGTCAGTTACAAAATTTCTAAAAACTTCCTCCGACCTTGGTTCAATCGCAGCTTTTCTAAAGCCCCAAGAGAATCATCAGAAGTTGGTTGAAGAGTTAGTGCAGGAGTCTTCATCAATAAAGTCATCTGAAACAACAGCAGAGGAAACTGCATCAAATTTGCAGCAGCCACCAGAGAAATGCAAAGTTGTTGAGGTCGAACAAAGAGAAGAGGAGGATTATATTCTTGCGCAACGAATGCAAGTAGAAGAATGGTTGAAGTTGAGAAGCGAAGGTGATTATAATTGTGACGATAGAAGAGAGAGCAGGAAGAAGAAGAGACGAGTTCAAACGTTGGATCACTTCTTCCATAAGTGAAAGGGGATATTGAAAACTTTCCTAATAATATTTATTTCCATAAACACATCCTTAGTCTTATCCACGTTCTTCGGCAGGGCTTTACTCCTGCTTTTTTAACTGGGCCTCGGGATTTATGTCTTGGAACAGGAGCTTTTTACTCCTTTTTTGACGAATTCTGGCTAACTGTGAATCTATGTTTTATAGCTAGTGGTAGAGAAGAAGCACGTTGTCTTCTCTCAATCCTCAACCCAGAAGTCAATGGGCAACGTTAATATGGTTTTTATGGAAGATGACTTATCAGTTTTTTGAGCAAGTATACTAGTGGCATCCGGCTTTCCTTTTTTTTAAGTTTACTGAAAGGCTTCCGTTGTTCTTTTGTGGTCTTTTAGGTCTTTTTGGGAGTTTGAAGATCCTTTGTTAAAGCCAACTGCCTTCAAGTTGCATTTTACCAAGTGAAGCGTTCTTTGTTAACTTTGTGTGATGGGCGTCCTTCAAAAGGTTCATTACGGTGGGTTTTTTAAAAAGGCAATGAAGTTTCCTTTTCGTGCGGAGTTGGTGTGAAGTTGATCTAGGGTATCGACGAAACCCACAGCTGCCAGCAACACATATTTCTTAAGGCAAGAGAGAGATACGCTTTTATTAGGTGACTTACGACAAGTAGTCTTCTATAAATTGACGTACGATGTCGTCAGTACTTTTATCTGCAGAGAGTCCCAGCTTCACAGCGATTTTTGACTCCATGCTGCTTGGCCAAGTACTAATTATATCAACTATCTTTGGATCCTGTTCGTACGAAACCAGCTTTGCAGTCTTCTCACCAGCAATTCTGCAAAGTGAGTCAACATAGTCCTTGGCCTGTGCGCTTATACCAGGTACTACTAGTACTCGGGACGGTCCCAACTCCTTAGTATTCATATGAAGCAAAGCCGTATGCAAGGCTTCAATCGTTTTTCTTGGTGATATAACGACAACTTTTTGTTCTGGAGCCACAGGACACTTCACATGATTTCCATACAAGGGTTCGCGTACCAGGTCACTAACAAAGGTAGAAGCTGCACCAGACGGAATTCCAGGTCGTACTGCTACGATTGGTATCCGAAGGGAAATACCGTCCAAAAGTTTTTTACGGGAATAATTTGCTAACAGCAATTCCACTGCTGCTTTTGCGGAGCCATATGTGCTCGCTGGTTGTCTATCGTCCGGAGCCCCACCACTTACAACAGGATTATGAGTGACGAGATGGGAAACGTTTCCAAAAGCAGCAATCGAACTTGAGAATACAAAACGCGGACACTTCCCTTCCTGTGCTACAGATAACATCACATTAATCGCTCCGATCATGTTTATCTTCATTGCACTGGTAATATCAGCTTCAGATTGACCTGACATAATTGCGGCAAGATGGACGACGCCTTGAACATCACTTCCTTTGATGGCATCTTGGACTTGAACTTGATCGGTGATATCGACAATTTTCTTATTAGTTTTGGGCAAGTCACCTAAGCTCTCTAGCGGTTCTTTTCTATCAAGTGCTAAGATAGTTTTAATTGCTTCATCTTTTGACAGTTTTTCGACTAACAGTTTTCCGAGGAAACCACCTGCACCAGTAACTACCACAGTGGTCATAATAACTAACTGAATGAATAGGAAGAAATTGCAAAGATCTGGTCGAAATCCAAATTTTTTCTTCGAGGAAATGGAAAACACATTTGAAGAAGGAGAAATAGTGGAGGGTCAACAGTTGGTGGAGAATGAGCCCAAGTTAGCTGACGAAAGTCACGCTGTCCTTCCTTCATGGTTGAAAGGAAAACTTCCAAAGAGGAAAAGAACCCACTCCTCATCGTCGCTTTCGCCGCCGCCCTCTAGAGAATCTGTTCATTCGTTTGATGAGCTTCACTCGCAACGAAGTTCACCGAGTTGGTTATCAGGCTCGCTCAAAAACTGGAACTTCAGCAACTTTGCGCAGGAGAGGAAAAAGTTGTCAGAAAGCGAAAAAAGTAACTATTCTAATAACGACTTCAGTAATCACGCCAACTTCGTCAACGCACCGTCGCCACCGCCTCCTCCACCACCCTCCGAACCGCGCCTGCCTTCTCCGCCTCCACCGCCACCGCCACAATTACCACCTTCTACTGTACCCACCACAATAATGACCGTGGATTCTTCATATTCTGGTTTTTCTCGAGCAAAGTCTTCATATCGTGAGGGAGCTTCAACTGCTGAGCTTGCAAGTCGTTCTTCTTATAACGAGTTGAACAGTTTGACGACCAAGGAGGTTGTTGACGCTCGTTCTCAGTCACTTTCGGAGGATAAAGACTTTGCGGAAACTACTCATCCTGAATCTATCTCTGAGGAATTAGCGATGACAGAGGAAAGAAGCAAGTTTGAAGATTACTCGACTGGCGACTCTTATTTCTATTTAAGCTATATTGAGTCGATACGAGACACTATCCAGAATAATTCCAGCAGAGTTCCAGACTTGAGACATTTTTTAGACTGCCTTGGTACTGAGAAATATTGGGTGTTTTTGAGGGACATATATGAAAAACGAACGCAGCGTACGGCTTCATTAGAAAGAGAGTTCAAGTCTGCTTTAGAGTTAGATTTGGCGGAGGAGCAAGTAGAGAAGAAGCAGTTTGAATCTTTCATACAAAGGATTCGACTGGATAGGCTAGAAGGAAACGTAACTTTTGTAGAGCTTGAATGGAATGGTGATCATATTCGCTTATAATGCATTGATTTCTGTATTAATAAATTGATAGTAAAAATGTTACACTTGGAAGAATCTGATGGAGAGACATTGTAAATTTCTTTAACGCCCAAGTATGTTAAAAGAGGTCACCACGGATAGACTTTATACGCACGTGATATGTGAGAATATGAAGTCTTTCGTCAATATTTTAAGAGAACAGCAAGACACTGCTTTTCCGAGGTTGTCAGATTCCACTTGGAAGAGGGAGGAATTGTTGCGGGCGCTTCTGGTGGGCTTCGCTGTGTGGCTGCTTCGTGTATGGCTACAAAAGTTTGTTTTCTCCAAAGGTTTTCAAAAATACAGTGTGCGGTTGCGACGAAAGTTGAGTGAGAATTTATATTACTCTATAGCATACTGTTTATCTTTTGCTTGCGGTCTGATAACCTTGACACTAGAGGACTGGCGGGTGGATTTGCGTGGTCCTTTGCTTGTGGAATTATGGTCACCTTATCCCCCTCCACTTTCAACTTTTTTTCGAAGCTATTATGTTGTAGAACTTGGTTATTATTTGGGTAGTCTAGTATTTTTGTTGTTTTCAGACACAAAGCACTCTGATTTTCTCGAATTCTGTATTCATCACGTGGCAACTATTCTTTTGATATATATAAGTTATAGTTTTCGCTATGTGCGAATTGGTTTAGTCATCTTGGTGCTCCATGATGCCAGTGATATTCTCTTGTATAGTACAAAGTGCGTTTACTATATCGGTTTCCGGCCATTAGATAGTATTATGTTTACAGCATTTGCTGTTATTTTTTATTTTACAAGGTAACGAAAAATTCAGTTATTTACGAGTCAACTTTCTTTTACAGCCAAAAATGGAAGGTTGTTTATTTTTCCGAGAATCATTTGGGGTGTTGCCGTAGATATTATTCGTCTGATTCTGCGTAATGTAAGCAGAAGTATTTTTCTGTCCATTATTCTCAACTTCTGTTCTTTAGCATTCTTTCAGTGGGTTTGCAAGCAACTGGCCTGTTCATTTTTCTCATTACTTCATTTGTTTGTTTGCCTTATCAACATTAGAACTTCTTCACTGCTTTTGGTTCTCTCTCATACTTAAGATGATAGGTCGTGTTATTTTTGCCTCATTTGAAAAGTTGAGAGAAGAAGGAGATATTCGAAGTGATGATGAAGACTCTGAACAATGAGGACAGAGTACTTTGTTTGTTAGCTGCTTGAGTACAATGGAATATTTTTTGACTGGTAAATTCCGTAACCTTGAAGGAGAACCTTACTTAAGAGATACGGAATTCTTATATTGAGTTCTTTGTAGATTGATAGTTGGTGTAGGGGAGTGTTCTTCTTGAACCTTTTTTTGTATATTTTAAATACAACAGGGTTACTACCGCGACTGAAAATATCAATAAAGGTTCCAGCTTGTCATTCAAGGTTTGGTTTCAGTTCACTTGTGAATTCATAATGCTACGAAGACCTAGGAAGATCCCAATTTAAGACAACGTCTAGAACACAAAGTTCATATAATACGCAGAAGACATCTAAATTAATATGGCTATTGGAGAAGCAATTAGACGTTTGAGAGATGGTGGCGATGGCACGGTTGACTTTTCAGTGCACAAGTCCTATTAAGTTGGCACCTTCTTTTAAGAGTCACTCTAGGTTCTCTCTTGGTTTCTGTAGACACACATACAATACTTTGACAACTAAACCTGGTAGAAGTTTCTCACCTAGGTTTCCTGAACAACTTCTGTCTTACTGGGCTACTTTGGAAAACAACAACAGTTCGAGAGAACGGTTAAGTATCTTCGATCTTACCGTAGAAGAAGTCGCAGAAGACTATGGCCTGCCTCTGGACTATGTAGTTGATGTCTTAGTCAGTAACGGTGTTAGTGAATCCATTCAACCAAGTGACATTTTGGCAAGTCATGTGAAAGGTTAGTTTCACTGAATTTCATAGACTCGCTATATAATCTTATTCGTAGAAAATAAGAAGATGGAGGTTTTAGAAGCTCTTTCCTTTTCTGATGCCATTGAGGTACGACTTTCTTTTATTTTGCAGAGTTGCTGTAATTTTGATAGGTTGGAGACTTGTATCTTCAACCAACTGTTGAGGAAATAGCTCAAGCAAATGGCCTCACAAGTTCACATGTCTTAGAATTTCTGCGAAAGGAAGGCTTCGAGGCTCCATTGGGTTCTCGAACAAGGATTCCTCCCCAGTACATCTCCGCCGTTGATGGGTACATAGCTGAGCTTTTGTCCCGTTTTAGAAGGCAACGATGACCTAGGCTTCTCATACATACTGTGGTTTCCTACTTGTTTATGCTCCTTTTGTAAACACAACAACTCACTAGAATAAATTTCTTCCGAACTGCAACTCACTCATATACTTGATATTATGTCGCGGCGTTACTCCAGTATTTCTATTGCGACAACATACGATATCACTCCTTTCAAAGTTGTCTTTTCTCAATGTGAAATGAACTCGTTAAATAGCATAAGTGACGTCACCATTCCTCTTACGACTGGAGAAGTATTATGCTTCATAGTCGTATATTATATTTCTTGGCGCGATAAAAAATTGGGTGGCTGAATGGAATTGTAATCGTTCCCATTGAAAATATTTCTTTGCTGTAAAAAGTTGTATACACGATGGGGCTTTCCATTTCAAAGTTGCTATCTCGTCTTTTTGGAAAGAAGGAGATGCGAATTCTGATGGTGGGTTTAGACGCAGCTGGAAAAACAACCATTTTGTACAAGTTAAAGCTCGGTGAAATCGTTACTACTATTCCAACGATTGGTGGGAACCGTGTTATTGTAACTTCTCATACTTATAAGGTTATTGATAGGGTTCAACGTTGAAACTGTAGAATACAAGAATATTAGTTTTACTGTATGGGACGTTGGTGGTCAAGACAAGGTAAGGACTGTTTTAGTTGAAGAAAGTTCGAAGCAAAATCACAACTGTGTGCGTTCATAGATACGACCTTTATGGCGCCACTATTTTCAGAATACTCAAGGAGTCATCTTCGTTGTGGACAGCAATGACAGAGAAAGGTTTCCGGAGGCGCGTGAAGAACTTCATAAGATGTTGTCGGAAGTACGTCCTTTCCTGGTTTATTTAAGAAATTTGACGCACTAGTTCGTTCCGATAGGAGGAGCTGCGAGACGCTGTCTTATTGGTTTTTGCTAATAAACAAGACTTGCCAAACGCAGCTTCAACGGCAGAAGTAGTTAACGCACTCGCTTTGCCCTCTCTGAGAAATAGAACTTGGTTTATTATGTCCTGCTGTGCAACTAACGGCGATGGTCTGTTTGAGGGGCTGGATTGGTTATCTGATCAGCTTTCTCGTCGTTGAAAATACTGAAATAAAGTTACTGTACACAGCATGAAATGCGTCTTTGTCATTCTGACTCAGTTCTCACAAGAATAGGCAACTACTCATCGTGGAAAGAAATATCGAAAGATTGATTTTACAAATTCAGGGGTCGTCAAATAAAGAACATTTTGAACAAAAATAATCCTATTTTGTTCTTTTGCGTATCTAGCGAATGAAATGCAACATCTATTGCTTAGGCTCAGCTTCATGGGTTTCCAACCTCAATTTGTCCTGGGGGATGTCAGCCAAATTGCCAAGACAGTATTTACTGTAGCAATCTAGATATAACAAATTGGTCTCCAAGTGCTCTAAGGAACAATATTGTTGATTAGAATATTAAACGAGATATGCATAGAAAAATAGGAGAGTCATCCTGAAACCCATACAAAGTTTCCAAGATCCCATCGCACAGTACAGTCGTCAGCAAACGTTAACTCCCTTGCATAATTCAAGAATAGGTCGAGCCATATCTTCTCGAGAGAAAGCTTCCACTGACTGGTTGTGCTGTTGTATTTACGAGACACTACTCAGCGTCAGAACAACTCGAACCTAAAGAAGACATATCACTGTCATATTCTTAACAGAAACCAGAAACTAAAAGGATTCGAGAATATCAATGGTCGTAACTACTGTGCACTGAAGATGTATCCCCCAAGTGATTTAATTTTTCATAAGATTTTAAACTTTTGCACTCGAGAATGTTTCTCTCCGTTGCTTGGATAGATAGTTTGTCTCCGAGTTGGCCCACACAATATTTTAAGTGCAAGTTGCAAGTTTCAAAAATTCTTCCTTCTTTTGTACCCAGAAGGTTTTGTTCTTGTCGGTGGTTCTCTACCCAGCGAAGGCCTTTCTATTCCTCTGATGTTAGACAGTTCTTAGTGAGTATGGACGACGGTACGGAAGCCTCACAAAGGTCTCCCGAAGACGTCATTAGAACGCTTCCTCCGCGACTCCCTGAACCGGAACGTATTAAGTTATGGGAAAGGATATACTTGCTTAGACAAGAAAGAGATTTGGCTGCTAAGGAGTATAGGTTTGAGGAAGCTTCAAAACTAAAAGAGAGGTTATTGGAATTGACCATGCAAGATCCGTACGCCTGTTTGGAACTCGAGCTTCGAAAAGCTGTTGAGGAAGAAAGGTATAGGGACGCAGCTATTTACTCCGATGCTATGAGAGTTATTGGTGAACCACCAAAAATAGAGAAGCAGGACTTGCAGCAAAGGAATGCTCCTAGAAATAGAAATATCTTTGGTTTTATTCCCAAAGATTGGCCAACCAAGACAAACACAGGAGCGTTCAACCTTCGACGAAGTGGAATCCGTGACATGACCGATGATAATCCTTACAAAATAGGAGGTAAGGAGTCCGAATCATCAGAACAAGCAGAGGAAAAACCTCACGACGAGTCAGAAGTGGGAGCACTGGATCAATCGGAATACCTTCGTTTGGAAGGTTTTGATAGTAACGACTGGGAAGATGGACATTTGAGTACTATCACCAACAAGGATCCCTCAACTATAGAGGGAAAGACTGATTCAAAGCAGAAACTTTTTACTTACCGAGAACTTCTACAAATTCAAAATAAGAGCGATGCGGTTACTATGGGTATCCGAGTTCGTGTAGAATGTTCCTTTTCTCCATTTGATTCCATAATAGAAGAAGGAATGTACACGTTTGTATATTATGTGGAAATCAGCAACTTATCTGACGATACAGTCCAGTTGATAAGTAGAGAGTGGGATATTGAGGAAATAACTGGCGTTTGGAAAAGAGTTACGGGGACAGGGGTTGTTGGTCAGCAGCCGATAATAGAACCTGGAGAAACCTTTAAATACTCTTCTAAGTGTCCTGTTCGAGTTCCTTCTTTCTTCAATCCCTCAAAAGATAACTTTCTCGGTTCAATGCAGGGAAAATATGTTTTTATTCGAGGTGAAGTTGGTGAACAAGCCTTCGACGTGAAGATTGCACGGTTTGGATTTTTTGTGAATGTTTCTTTATAAAATATACAAGTACTTCACAGTTTGAGTCCACAGCGATAATAGCCAGTCAACAACTTGCACATTTTTTATTATACAGACTGGTTTGTTTGACTCCTTAAGAAATCACTCAAGTGGATTCAACCTTGTATTCTGCGCAAGGGACTAGAAAATTTCTTGACGAATCGGCCAAAGTAGTCTTCGGAGTAGAGTTTTCCACGAAATTTGGAGATATACAGTGTCGCTTTTGACTTGAGTAAGCAATGTCAATAGTTCTACCACGGTCAAAACTATTTAGTTGACGCCACTGAAAAAAATCCGGTACTGCTTGTATCCATTTCTGTTTAACTTCTAGAGCTACTGAGCATACTAACTTACACCAGTGCCGCTCGATAACATTATCTATCGAGTCATTCAAAGTAATTAAAAGTTCCTTTCTATATGCAGCCATCATCTTAACAAGTCTCGTATCATTCCAAAGGCTAATGGCTCTTTCAGCAACTTGAAAATGAGGACAGCAGGTACAATTTAAAAGTTCAAGCCAAACCGATTTCGAAATCTTCGCAAATACACTTTCAGTTACACTCTGGAGTACAATTTCCACCTCATTTATGTACAGTATCTTTATAAGTTCATCAGAAGCTGCCGTAAGATAGACAACACAAAATAATTACCTGTTTCATACTGTTATACTTTGGCCAAGTGGAACACAACCTTGACAAAATAGAAGGAATAAGCGTAGGATCTTTCTCAGCAAATGAATGAACACAAGATAACAGCTGAGGAAAGAATATTTCCAATTCGGCTTCACGATGCAGTGGCATCAAATATCGAAACAGCATATCTTTGTGTTCTTCTTTCAAAGGAACTGCGAAGCCATGAACAATTGAAGATTGTATTTCCAAGATTTCTCTTATGCCACAACAAGGTTCTCCTTCAAAAACATAAGAAAAGAGATATTCGTTGATTTTCTTTCTCAAGAAAGATCGACGTCTTATGAATCTTTGGTAAATACGATGAAAAACAGTTTTGAGATAATCCCTCTCTCTTACATCTCCACTGCGGAATAAATGAAATAGCTTAGAGATAAAGGATTCTGTTATATACTTGAGAAAGCATCTGATCTCTAGTCCATCTGCAATGATCATCTGAATAAACAGTTCGTACACAAGTTGAATAATAGACCATTCGGAATCTTTTATCTTCGTTTCATTTTCCCTTACTTCTAATGATATCGGCACATCAGTTTTGTCCTTTGCATCGAAAAAAGAGAGTTGAGCAAAGCGAGTTGATGATACGGACCGCTCTGCACCAACTATCTCCTCTAGAAGACTTACAACCAACTGTAGGGATTGCTCCTCAAACGGGTCATCAGTGACACTTACATAGTCTATAAGTTCGAAAAGTATCCTTCTACGAACTTCTATCCAGTCCGCGTGAGTCCTGAGAATACCTTCCTCACTTTTACTTCGCTTCGAAGATGACAAAAAAGATTTACAGAGCAACAATTTCTTCACGAAAATTTCCTTTCTCAAGGGAATTTCTTGCGAGTCTATTTTGGAAAGTCGAAAGCCATCAGACAACTTTCAGCGAGAGAACAATTTTTGCAATAAACTTACTATTCAGCAAAGGAAGAGTGTATCCGTCTTCAATTTCTTCCTTTTCAACTTCAGAAGAGCTACAAGACGTCTTCCGTTTTGACATAGAACTAACGTTCTTAAAAAGCCTGTCAAGTTTGCCTCAAGAGGCGATAAATCAAGAGCTTTCTCCGCCTGTTAGTTATACTGGAAAGCGTTGTTTGTAGGTTATGAAAAAGGGACAGTTTCGTAACATACCTCAAGGCCGCAAAGAGCTTTTGGACAAAGTCGCTTTAGTGACGACGAAAAGGTAGATCAACCCCATTGCCCATGATGATGATTGTCAGCTGAGAAAATTTCCTTTCCAGGATCATTTCCGGGGCCTCCCACATAAAGAGGGGAGATCTCCGTGGTAAGGGAACGCAGCCCCCCATGGAACAGATATTTGCGATTGGGGAAGGATAGAAAACTTCCTCAAAACTTGTGCTGCTGGCTAAACCCCTATTTGAGTAAATAATCTTTCCAAATAATAAAGAATATTGCCGTTCTCATCGATAACATTTATAGTGAAGTGTATATATAGTATAAAGAGTCGTCATAGGAAACATTATGTCAGATAACTACTCCTTAAACGCATAATGTTTACAAACCAGCTTGAGCTTGCAGTATTCAAAAGCTTGCAAATTTAGTGTTAAACTATTTTTAGGCTCGCAAGGGTTCTCGAATATCTAAGAAATGGACACGTGTCAAACAGGGGATAACGGAACAGTTCCTTGGTTAAAAACATAGAGAAGGGCTGCTTGACAATATATCTGTTACATGTTAATAAGGCAAGAAAGAAGTGCTTCATCGTATACATCAGAAAAAGGCAAAATATCTTGTATCGTGGTTTGCTTGGGTTAAAGAATTCTTTCGAGGCCTTTGCTCGAGAATGGAACGAGCCCAACCACCGTCTCCAGCACCATTCAACTTTGCACAAAACAAGCAAGTTTTTCAAAGAGGAGCTCATAAGCAAAGCGAGGATAGACAAATAATTGAACAACAGGCTCCCCCGACTGCTGCTGGTAAAGAATTTGCAAAGACTTCGTTTGACACCGTTCGTTCGTATTTGGTGTGTGGAAGTCGTTTTGACTGTCCCGAGAGGTTTAAGCTCCTTCGCCCCATCGGCCACGGAGCCTATGGAATTGTATGGTAAGTTCAATATTGTGTAAGTGCGTCTTGTATAACAGCCACAGCTCGGCAAAGGACCAAGTAACTGGAGAATTGGCGGCTATAAAGAAGATTACCAAATGTTTTGATCACACTACGGACGCTCGAAGAATTTTGAGGGAAGTAAAGCTCTTAAGGCATTTTAAGCACGAAAATATTATTGGCTTGAAACAAATTCTGCGTCCCTCTTCTTTTGAAGCGTTTGAAGATGTTTACCTGGTGACTGAACTTATGGAGACGGACCTTCATCAAATCATTGTTTCTAAACAGTCACTAACGGAAGAGCATTTTCAATACTTTATATATCAGATATTGAGAGCTCTTAAGTAGTAAGTATCATTCTTGAAAATCTGAAGACACTTAACTTGGTCTAGTGTACATTCGGCTGATGTGCTTCATAGAGACTTGAAACCAAGTAATGTTTTAGTAAATGGTAATTGTGATATTAAGATCTGTGACTTTGGCCTTGCACGTTCTGCAAGTTTTGTAAGTGAAATTTTCCATTCGCTGTAGTATCAAAATGACCTGAAACAAGAACGAACTCGGAGGTGAGTTTATGACCCAATATGTTGCCACAAGGTGGTATCGAGCTCCTGAAATTATGTTGTCTTTCCGACATTATGATAAGTCGGTTGATATTTGGTCCGTCGGCTGTATCTTTGCAGAACTCTTGGGAAGAAGGCCTTTATTTCCAGGCAAAGATTACATGCACCAGTTGCGACTCATAATTGATGTTGTTGGTACACCAAGTGATCAAGACATTGAATATATAGAAAGTGAGAAGGCATTACGGTTTATCCGTTCTCTTCCACGAAAGAATCCCGTTGCTTGGCGCAAACTATATCCCGACGCGTCTAATCTTGCACTGGATTTGCTGGGGCGAATGTTACAGTTCGACCCTCGCAAACGCTGTAGCGTTGAAGATGCCCTGTCGCATCCTTATCTGAGCTCTTTACACGACCCAACGGATGAACCTGTATGGTAAGCTATTATCCTAAAAATAACTTGAGTAGGTTACTGAATCTTTATAGCCCAAGTAAGTTTAGTTTCGAGTTTGATTCGCCGCAAGTAACAAAGGAGCAACTGAAAACTATGATGTGGGAAGAGATAGTAAGACAAGGACAAACGTAGGAAAATTTTTTTGAATGTTGTTTGTTTCTGTTTGCTTCTCTGCAAAGTTTGAACTTAGTTTGTATAAACTCATAAACTGTTACATTCTATATTACATCCAAATGAATGACGCCTCCCCTAATAAATGGCCTCAAATTGAAGAATTTTCGTAGTGTTCACATACATACCGTTGCAAAGACCACAGCAAGTCGACATAGTGTGCTTTTTGCAGGCTTTTATGAGTGAACGAATTTTTAACAAGTCGCAGTAATAAGTTTGCTAGGGTTATGCCCTCCTCCTCAAGGTCCAAAGTGACAAATTCGAACCGAAGTAAGAGGCGAAGGAAAACTCTCTCTTCAACTCATAGTGTTTCAGACCCGTCAGTGGAAAGCAAAGAACTGAATAAGTTACACGACGCACTGGGTTCAAAATTTTCATCAGAGAGAAACTGCGGTTTGGAGGCAATGGAGTCTTGCAGTACTGACAAATTCGAACACAAAGCTACACTTGAAGGCATTCCCAGTCCTTTTGCTTCAGAAGAAAGCGTACGAGAAAACGTAGAAACCTTTTTTGGGTGCAGAGACCATAAATCCGTGAGCAAGGCGAACTCTGTTGAGGTGCAGAAGGCGCACCCTTTGTTTCTACCTAAGAATGCAAGCTATTCCTCAGAGAACCAAGTGTCGGAAGAAGATACAACTACTATACGGAGTAGGAGAAGAAAGTGGAGTTTAGAAGAAAGAAACAACTTCATTTCATATTCTGATAAGGACGCCTGTAGCTTTATTGGCGCGTTGTTCCGTTTGAAGTTTCATTCTGGCTACTTTAAGAATGAAGTGACTTCTTCTTGTAAAGACGTTCCTTGTCTTGAAGATTTCCAGGAAAATGAAGAGGAGAAGCAGTTTTTGGTAGAAAACATTGTAGAAGCCGTTTTTCCAAATTGTTTGAAGGGTGTATGGAACCAGGTACTTACAAATAATTGTCTAGAGAGCATTTTTGGCTCATCAATGGAATGTTTACCTAAAAATGCGGAGGAAATGTGGAAGTGGACTCCAACAAGGTTTCTAACTGGTTCTATTAGAGAATGGCAGCTATCTTTTTTGGAACATTTACAAGCAAGTATAGATGAATTGAAGTATACTCCGTTTCATCGTGGGCGATATTATCGTTTTAATTGGTTGAAAGACGAAGCGTTTTTGGTGAATATCGACAAGGAACAGGCGAAGAAGTGTATCGAAGAATTACTACAACAATACCATATTGATACCATAGACTCTCTTCGCCAAGCAACTGTTGAAGATATGTTGTTAAGAGAGGGTTACCTAATGCCAGATAAATCTACAGCACTGATTTGGCATCCTTCATTAAAAAGAGAAGTAAAGCCAGATAGTTCCTTTTTGAAGGAATTTGACCGTTTGAGTGATTCAAAAGGTTTTGAACCCGAAATCTCGTCAGAAAGACTGAATGTTTTTCCAAAACTTCCTCAGATTGAAATGACCCAGCAGGAACATATTGGAGAGTTGAAACACAATCATCGCAAAGGCACTTCTTGTCCAGCATGTCATGCCCGTACAACTGCCAGACATCGTGCTAGAGATACAAGTGAAGTGTCATGGAAAGGTATATGTTTATGTTTGATGCCTATTTCAGCTACTCACTAATATGAAAGGTTCTTCAAATTTCATATTGAAATGGTTGGATAGTGTGGTTTGCAAACAATGTGAGGTGTGTTTTAATGGAATCAACGAAGGTCTTGAGGATAGTTATAGTTCTGGGTTAATCTTTGCTTCTTGTATCATTTGTGGAGTAACTGTTCATGCTTTGTGTTACGGGGTGCAAGAATATGAAGATGTCCTTTTTGCATCGATGAAAGGCTTGAAGCGATTTTTTCTTTGCTCTCCATGCTCAGAAGAAGCTTTCATGGCATCATGTGTAATATGCAGTAGGAAAGGAGGTGCGTTGAAGAAAACTGAGGATGGAAATTTTGCACATTTGTATTGTGCTCTTTGGACGCCGAAAGTTTTTGTGAAGAACACTCAGTTTATGGAACCCATTGTGAATTTGGAAATGGCGAAGAATACGTCACCAAACGGCAATTGTGTATTCTGTTCAAAGGATAATTCTGGCATTACAGTTTCTTGTGGATTTCCTGATTGTTCTCAGTGTTTTCATGTTTACTGTGCGCGAGACGCCGGTCAAAAGCCATTTATAGTGTCGGCTGCTGAAGGAGGATACCAATTTCTGATTTTTTGTCCATTTCATAAAATGTCGCATTACCATTCTTCATCCAAAGACGATATTAACGCGGTGCTGAACACATTGCAGCCAAGGATTTTGAAGAAATCAAAAAAGTCTTCCATATATAGTGAAGATCGAAGCCATGAAGCTGTTCTGAATTCGAAACAAAAGATTCGAAACGATATGCATTCTAATGAAAGGAACGAGGTACGTAGCAATTATCAATTTTGAAGAAGCTCCTAAAGTTTCTTTAGAGGGGCATGGTTGAAGCTCATTTGAGGCTCAAGAAAAAGGACTGGAGTGCAGCTGCTTTATTTAAATTGCATAATATTGGAAAGTCTCAGTTATTAAACTTTGAAATAATCGATCGTCAACAGATTGACAGAGTTGTATATTCCTTCTTAAACCCTGATAAGAATAGGAATACGCGTGAACTCTGTGACAGCGATGAAATATGGGAAGCTACTCAGAAAACTATCGAACAAGAGCAAATCTTGTTTGGAGACCACAAGGGCACTATCGAAAAAGTGAGTAGAAATAACGAACTTGGCATAATTTTAACAGGTTTGTAGATAGCTGGTGCTTTAAAGCATATTTACAATCGAGAGAGCAGCATGAAGACAGACTTGAAGATGGAGAAGAAGATCTTAATGAGCCTCAAAGGGATTCAAAAGGTACGCAAAGCTGTTGATGCCAGTCGACCATCTTGTCTTCGTCATGGGGGTGTCGTGTCTGTCAACACAGCACAGAAACGTTTACGTGAACTTCTGCAGGATAGTGCTGCGATGAAGGAAGCAAAGGAGGACGTCTTACCTGTCGATTCCGGTCCTCATCGACGACGCACACAAGTTATTCGGAATGCTGCTGCAAAGAATTCATCTTCAGTTTCCCCTGTGAAACTGAAACCAGTTGTGAAGGAAGAAGATAACTTTGATTTTCCTCCTGATCTTCCGCAAGAACTTACTGCATGTTGTTCAGTATGTGGTAGTGGAGATTGTGATGAAATTGGAAACGATATAATCCTTTGTGATGGCTGTCATGTTGCAGTTCATCAGACCTGTTATGGAGTGCGCTCAATCCCTGAAGGTGATTGGTTTTGTAGTTCCTGTATTGCAGTGGGCAAGACGGATAGGAATGACTCGGAGATTTCTAAGTCGTCGTTGGGTTATCATTATCCAAGTTCAGATGAATCGGTCCCTGATTCTCATCGTTGCATTCTTTGTCCTATGGTTGGAGGTGCACTGAAACCTACAAACGTTGAAGGCAAATGGGCTCACGTATCTTGTGCCATGTGGCTTCCCGAGACCTATTTTGATAATCCTGAGGCAATGGAACCAATTATGGGTTCTGAGAAGGTAATTGCAGAAAGGTGGAGTTTAAAGTGTTCGGTATGCAATCAACGTAATATTGGTCCCTGTATTCAATGTACACTTCGTCATTGTGGGAGAGCATTTCATGTTTCTTGTGGAATTTCAGCTGGTTTGCATATGGAAATCAAGGAAGATCCAAGTAAAGGAGCAGGTGTATCGTTGGTAGCATTGTGCCCTAAGCACTCAAGAGCACATTTCTCTGCTACAGAGCACAGCAGAATCGTCTCTTTAAGGAAGAGGAGAAGAAGCAGCGGGGGAGGCAATGGGATAGAATTAAATCAGAAGCCAAATATGTCAAGTTTGCAAGGTAAAGATGATTTCGTGCGCACCGTGTCTTTAGATGACAACAACAAATTTGAATATAGCATCTCACCAAGCATATCAGCCTTGGAATCAGAGGATGATATCAGTCTTCATCTAGAGAGACTTAAGAAACTTTATCAGAACTTAGAGGAAGTGAGAAATCTTTGTGATTTGGTTCGAAAAAGAGAACATTTAAAGCGAGGACTTGTTCTGGTGGCTTTTAAAATCTACAAACAACATTTTTCAGAGAACTTGGAAAGTCTTCTGAACGGAAATGACGACGTGAGTGAGAAAGTTGCTTTGGAGGATAGTGTAGTCCAACAAGGAGAAAATTATCGGCAGAAACCATTAAAGTTGCGTTTAAGAGGAGGTGGCTTTGCCACTTTATGTGAGAAACGACAAGATAATATGAATGATGACGATAGTATTGCTGAAACGTCATTGACGCCTCGTGCAAGTCGAAGTGGTATGGTTGGTGCAGTCGCAGCATCAGCAGCAGCTGCTGTTAGAGCTGCCGGAGCTGCTTTCCGTTTGCATCGCAGTGAGTAAGATATGAATTCTTACAATGAATTCTGGTTTATTTTAGAATATCACGAATGATGCATCCGAAAGAACTGGCCTAGCGAGTCATCACAATATCGTCAATCTTAAGAATCATTCGGACGCATTCTGTTGCGAGTCGTAAAGCACTAACTGTCACAAGAAGTGGCATAACGACGTTTTCCTCAACCATATTACTAATGTTTCCTTTTTTGACATTAATCCCTGCATTCTTATCTCCTTGCACGTGTCGATTCCTCAACTCCGTCACGATTTCTATCGAAGGTAAACCTGCATTTTCGGCCAAAGTATACTATGATAAAATGAATACTTTGATTCGTAACCATAATATTATCCTACCGGAATAACCTCTAAAGCATCTGCGAAAGCTCTTACACAAAAAGCAGCAGCACCTTCCAATGTCTTGGCAATTTTGTTGAGACCTACAGCCACTTCAGTTTCGGCAGCACCTCCTCCAGCAATTAGAAAACGTCTCCTAAATAACGAACGAACCACACAAAAAGCATCGTGAAGAGAGCGTTCTGCTTCATCCAACATAAGTTTGTTGGAGCCACGAGCTATAATTGAAACTGTCTTATGTTTGCCTTGTATGCCAGACATTTTCACCATCTTCTCCGACCCAACTGAAACTATATCAAACAAAGTTAGTTGACAGTTTTCCTCTGTACACAAACCTTCTCACCTTCTTCTACAAGATCAACTTTTGCCAACTTTTCAGGAACAAAACTATCGATTCCCGCAATAGGTACACAATGGAGACTCTTGGCAATAAACTCAATTTCTTCTCTTTCAACATCCTGAACCACCATTATTTTCATTTTTGCAAGATAATGAAGAGAAAGATCGCTTGTAGCATCACGAAGAATAGATTTCTGGATCAACAAAACGTTGCAACCAGTATTCTAAATAAAGTCATGACAAAGCTTATCTTTCACGGATAGATAACAACAAACCTTGATTTTCTTGCAGAGATTTAAAATATACTGCCTCTCTTCACGGAGAACTCGATCCATAGCTGAATAATCCTGCACAATAATGTTATTTTCGATATCTGTCTTCGGTGCAGATAAACAAAACTGAATAAGAGCAACTTTGGCACCAGCAACTTTGGTCACTCCTCCTGCACTCTTGTTTACGTGCTGATTCAGCACCAGACCCTCGAAGAGCTCCGTATCATCTAGAGTTCCTCCCAATTTCTTTATCACTCGAATATTGCGTAAATCTATGGCGTCTGGCTCTTCTAAGTTTGCGATCCTGGTAACGGCGTCAACCGCAATAGGGGCTAATAACGTAGCGTGTTGTGAGACAACCTTTGAACTAAGGGCAGTTGCTGCAGCTTGTATCACCGCTGTACGATCGTTGACATCGACAGGTTGTGCCGCCTTATCGAGAATCTCCTCTGCCTTCTCGACTGCATATTGAAAAGCATCAGATATCAGAGAAGGATGGATTCCCTTTCCAAGTAGAGTAAGGCATGCACTTAAAAGGGAACCTGCAATCACGACCACTGTCGTAGTTCCGTCTCCAGCTTCGATATCTTGCGCTTTGGAAAGATCCACCAACTGCAGAAAAAATAAGAAACATGAAAATACATATTCTTGCTTTCTTACCATTTTTGCCGCAGGGTGTTCCACTCTCATTTTCGACAAAATTGTAGCTCCATCGTTGCTGATAAGAACGTCCCCTGCTTCTTCCTGCACCATCTTATCAAGCCCTCTTGGACCCAAGCTTGTCCTAACGGCATCAGCAACTGCTTTAGAAGCGGAAATATTTGAGAGACGAACGTCTTTAGCTTTCTGTCGGTCTTTTGAAGCACTTTCTCTGTTGTTCTTTATGTTGTTCTTAGCGTCCATGACTTTCGGTCCGACAATTGCTAAGATCGAATAGGCTGGAAACTTCGATTCGCGGGTAAAGCAAATTGTTACTTGGTGCTCAAAATGAAAATTTATCTAAAATGGAAAATTTTACAACTAGAGTTGTTCACTTCTTATCAATAATAATAGTTAAACTCTAACAGAACCTTAACTTTTGACAGTTTGTTCAAAGCAGTTTGCCTTGGATTTCTCATAGCATTCTCTTTGTGATGGAGGACATCGAAAAAGCTCTTCAACTTACAAGTGAAAACGATGAATAAATGCTATCAATTTTTTAGGTTGAACAGTTCTTTGTCAAAGAAACATTTTACTTGGGAAAGAATCTAATGAACTTTTCCGCAAAAGATGATTGTTCCTTTCAAAAGTTAAGATTTCAAGGGCCGCTTACCAAAGAGTATAAAGAGGATACAAGGTGAGTATTCAAAAAATTCGAGCCTAGAGTACGTGCAGTTAATTGTGGTATTGTTTAGTACTGAAGGTATCCGTAGGATTTTTGTCTGTGATGATTATTCAATTGAAGAAAACCACTGTTTCATGATTCTTGATGTAATGCACTTACCATCATTAGCCGATCCATGAAAAATGATGACAGTGCTGTCCCACAAGTATACATGCCAAGCCTCCAATACAAACAATATGAGGAATTATATACAAATGAATATGAATGACTTCGAAAAGAAAAGAAGCATTCTCCACAGTGTAAAGACCACCAGTAGGCTTTCCAAGTTCTAATTAGTGACAGTGCTACAAAGAACAATCTAAATATGCCTTCACTGGAAAAACCTTCTCTTATTTTACATGCGAAAGCCAATGAAGCAATTCAGGAAATAGCTTTTGCTAAAGTTTTCAACATCAATAAAATTGAAGCTATCCCTTTCACGACTTGCTTCGACAAAAATAGATACTAACTAGGCTTCGACAAAAAAGATACTAACTAGAGGCTGTGTATTTACAACTTTTCAGCCCAACAAAGTTTCACAGGGCTCGGCTCTCAGGTTCGTCAGTCTCTGACCCCGTTTTACTTTTATCGCGTCCTCCCTTCACCTGCAAACGTACGTATGCATTTTCACACTTTGACTCTTCAAACGTTCCCAATTGTAACCCTTGTTGGACGTCTTCGTCTTTCTTCTTTGCTCGACTTGTTCTGTTCCTTCCAGATAGACTCGAAATATGTTTACCCTGCTGCTTGGCTAGCTCTTTTTCTTTTGATAGACCAGTGTGGTCACTAGTAACACTTTTATTGCGCTTCCAGTTTTGTGTGTATTGAATGGCACTCTGAATCGCCTTGAAAACCCTTCGTAAAAAACGTCGTTGAAGGGAATAATATGCTCCACTCTTGGTCTGCATAGGCCTTGGAAGAGGTTATCTCATAACAAAAAGGTAGAGTAAATTACTTACAAGTAGTTGCGTATTTTCTTTTCGCCTCTGAGAATTATTCGATATGCTCTGCGGAGACCACATACATAAATAAACGTTGCTGCCACTATCTCTGAAACTACCTAGAGCCTTAAAATGAGCGTTTGTAGATTAGCACTAAACTTAAGTACCATAAGTTCAACGAAACAACTGACAGTCCGTGCAACTGCTCTTTCAAATCGCTTGGCAAAAACGAAAATACATTATTTTCAGAGTCAAATTTTTACTTTTTATCACACAACAAATATGAGCAACTTTTGTGTTTAAGCACCACTAACTTCGCAGAAGAAATATTCAGTGGTGATAACCACGTCTGTGTAAGATGGGATCAAGTTCTACAGGGGGTCCCGACTCTCGTTCCTTTGCAAACTCCTTGCGACGTTCCGCTTCAATCCACTCAGGACTCAAGGTACGCACAGGTCTCCCTATACAAAGTTCAAAAACAGGTCTTCTCTTCTTCAGTCTACTTACGGAATTGTAAATTGGTATAAAATATCACGCCACTTAAAGCCATAATGGTCAGAACACCTCCAATAACTCGAACCCTTTCATTGGGTACAAGTTTTGCCAGACGTGGCCATGGGGTCCAATAAACATTCCGTCTTAGAAGCGGATGGTCCGGCACGTCTTCAGTTGGTATCTTACCACTCATGTTGCGCCAACAACTCCTGCGTCCTCGAAGAATCCCAAATCTGTAACCGGATGAATGGATTTTTATTAGCTGTTCTTAGGCTTCTCATTTGATGAAATTTCTCTATTGCAAGGCTTTTGTACCCTCTATAAGTTTTTAAGACGAATTACACGTTGTCATCTCTGTACTACGTATTTTGAAGACAGACTCACACACTCATGTGAATATCACGTTTATTTCTGATTTTGGTCTAACTCACGACCACTTTTGGCAGCTGCCAATTATAAAGTCCTTTTTTGCTTCTATAGCACTATTTTGGGTAGCACCAGTAATTCAATATGAGCATTTTAGGAGTTATTATGTTACAAGTAGGAAGTTTCTTCGTTCGTTGAATCTTTGTTGTTGAGAATTTCTTTGGTACACCTTGTACCAGCTTCAACAGCTATATTTCTCAGATCTTTTGTAATACTTGTTTTTATTCTTGTCGCCGCGGTAGGCGTAGGAGAACAAATAAGAGTTGTATAGAGTATTTGATCAATAGCTATATGACAGAACATGATCTCATTCTCATGAGTGTCGAATGGTAAGGAAACTATAGCAGTGGAATCATGAAAACTTCTTCCCTTCCATGGAAGTGAAAACAGTGGTTTGCTGGTTTTCTCTAGAATAATTGGTAGAAATAACGAAGGGGGGCTGATGAGCCAACTGGTTTTGAATTCGAGTCCACCCGCCAAAAATTTTGAAACAAGTAGTCCCTAATCACTCACTTTCCATCCTTGCATTGGAGAACAATGGAAGATGAAACAAGGGTCGAACCTTTATTTGAGTTTGAAGCTCCAAAATATGTTGACCTAAGATATGCAGCATCGGAAGAAGGTTTCAATGACGGCGCGGATGAGTGGTTTGATCAAATGAAGAGAAACTCTTCCTCAACTGATACTAACTACAATTTCTCTTCGCATGATTCAGAAAGTGGAAAACGCCACAAAACAGCAAAAGGGACGGAACTGAGTGCGAGTAAACGGTTTCCGAAAGGCAAGTTTAGAATAGACTGCAATATGGTGACAGCTCGAACAAAGCAGTCACAACTCAAAAATGATGGAATTTCTCATGATGAGCCGAAGAAGCTTAACATAGCTAGTCCAAGAACACAAGGAGATGACAGAGAACAGATATTAACAGAGACAACGAACCAGATAAATTTACTTTCTCTAAAAGGACAGAATCATTTAAAGATTCAACCAAATGTATCGAAAGGAATGCAAAGGAACTCACATAAACTCTATAGCTCAACGAGGGCCGAAAAGTTATTGGTTCCGTGTGAAAATGAGCCGAAAACCCTAGGAGACTCCATATCTAAGGTTCATGCGTTCAAAATAACTTCAAATAAGAAAAACAAAGATATCGTGAAAAATATGCTTGCGAAAAGAGTCCCGATCGGAAATTCGAACGAGGAAGTTGACGGAGAACTGGAAGCGCGCAATATGAGCAGAACTGAAGTGTTTTCTTCCAAAGCCAGAGATAGTTTACCGCATAAGAAGGCGACACACAGAAACAAAAAAGCTACAGAACGACAGAAGACTGGCACAAACAAAAGGATTTCAAACTGTCATACAACACAACCTCAGACACCTAACTTCCTCACTGATGAACGAGCACTTCGTTTTCGCGAAAGAGTTGAGAAACTCCGAGAACAATCTAAAACTGTCATGGAGCCAAGAACTCCAAAAGAATATGGACTGGCATGGAAACCTAAACCGACTCAAGCCAAGACACCTTGTTTTCGATCCGACGCACGACTTCGTCATTGTGTAGAAAAAGCATTAGAAGAACGCGAGAAACAAAGTCATGCCAATCGCCATAAAGAATTTCCTAGCGTGGTAGCCTTTGGACAACATACTGCAAGAAGGGCAGAAATGTACAAACAGAAAAGCATCAATAGTCATGAAGAGATGGAGTTGAGGAGAATTGAAGAAGAAAGAAGGAAGTTGCGTGAGACAATAATGAAAAGTCGAGAAAACTTCCAACGTGCCCTAGACGCACCAAATCTTGCAGCGAATAGTGTTAAAACAAGAAAATCAACTGTACCAAAAGAATTTCAGTTCCACACGCTGCGAAGACCCAACAGAGCCTTATAGTTCTCCTCTATAGGGTGTCGGAGGTTCCTCGTCACCGATACCATACCACTTGCTGAACATATCGCTTGTCTGCTCAAAAGTTTAAGAAACACCAGAGTACTCAACACCTCACTGATAAACTCTTGTTAAAGTGCTAAGTCTCCAATTTTCTATTTCTTACAACAAATACAACTCTTAACTCCTAAGACAACTAAAATGAACAATAACATTCTGCCTAACTCCACGGGACAGCAAATCCTCAACTCAGACGAAACAGAATTTTTACTTTTCTGTTCGGAGCAAACTGGTCTCTTTACGCCTTCTTGTAATTTTCCAACGTGTACGTCGCCTCCATTGAAGGAGTAAGGCACTTCTGACTCCACAAATCAATTACCGAATCCACCAGCTCAGTTTTTGAGTTCTCTTGAAGGAAAGAAGTAAGCCAAAAACCGCGAATAACGATTCCCTGATACATAAGCTGTCGGTTCACTACTCTAGTGGGCTCTCCACTCATTCTAACGTATGCAATAAAGAGACCATTCCTTCCAAGGAGTTGAAGCGCTAATGTTCCAATATCTCCACCTACTGCATCCAATACAGCGGCAATACCAAGACTATCAGTTGTTTCTCGGACTTTCTTTATAACATCCTTTTCTTCTTCTAAAGAAATTACAGCATTGGCACCAACTGTAAAAGCGTGTTTTTCTGGCTGCTCGTGCAAACTATGTTGATAGTTTTGAGTTGAAAAACTTTCGTCAACTGAATAAGCAAACTTCCCAACGATGAGTTCGCAACAGTTTGTACTATCTAAGGATTCTCTTGTACTGCGGCGAGCCACGAATAAGCCGAGTAATTCCGAGAGCAACTCAAAGGATTAACAAAGAGTCGTGCAGCAAAAAATCTTCCATTTCTTCTGGAACAGGGAAGCACTGTGATTCCTCGGCAGTCACAAACGACTGTCAAGAACCAGCATCATGTTCCAGAAATACATACTGCCACTCTCGTCCCTATGGACAGAGAAACAGCAGGACCAGTCTGAACGACAGTCCCACAATGCTCCAAACAAGAAACAATGCCAGTTTCTCTCTCTAAAAATGCCCTATCACAGGGATATTGTCCCTTCCCGGTGAACACATCCGAAGGATTCAATGCAGCCAAGTGCATCTTAACTAACACTTGTCCTTCTCGCGGCTCTACAACTAGTCTATCCTGTCGGAATCCGAGAATCTCAAGTGGGTTACCGAATGACAGTATTTGAATAGCGTCTTGACTACAAGGTAGTATCAACATGCCCAACGAAAACGGCAGCTTGAAGCCTGAAAAGTCAACAACAAGACAATCAATAATCAATAATTTCTCTCTTTATGCCCCGAAACCGATTTTCCTTGTTGGACTTACAAGCGGAAGTCAAGTATCTTCGGAGGCGTTTCATAGGTGCCCGCGTGGTAAATATTTATGACGTAACACCGACGACATACTTGCTGAAAATTTCAGTTCCCTCAAGAAACCAAATTTCCGTTGAGGAGACCATATCTGTTGTAGAAGAGTCTTCCAACAGTAACTGGGAAAAAACCTTTGTTTTAATAGAGTCCGGTATAAGAATCCACGAAACTCGTTTCTATAGAGATAAGGCAAATATTCCTTCTGGTTTTTCTGTCAAGTTGCGGAAACATATCCGTTCGAGGAAAATACAAGAGATACGAACGTTGGGTGCCGACCGTGTGGTGGAACTAGTCTTCAGTTCAAGAGTATTCGAAGGCTCAACAATAGAGAGACCCTGCAGACTTATAGTGGAATTTTACTCTTCTGGAAATATTGTTCTGACAGACGAGGAATATACCATTCTTTCTGCGTTGAGAAGTTACAAAGGGCCGTTTGGTGTAACCAAGGAGCCTGTTCATATTTTTACAAGAAACAAGTATCCGGTTCATCTTCTTCGTTCCAATATATCATTGTCAAAGAACTCAGTTTTGGCTTTGTTGAAGAACGGGTCCCAAACAGATATTGTTCGAAACTTTTTATCCACTAGATTGTATTGTGGCCCACAAGTAATTGAACACGCCCTAGTAGCTTCAGGTTTCGAGCCCAAGACCAAGATAAAGGAACTTTTTCTGAATGCGGAAGACAACGAAGAAGGTGTATCTCATAAGACTTTGTCTTTTCTCCAGAGTCTAGAAAGCTTTGAGTCCAGTTTATGTGATAATGATAGTACTTGTGAGAGCTTGTCTTTGGAACGTGGATACTTATTTTACAGGAAGGATGCTCATACTACAGATGTGTCTATGTCAAACTCCGAACGTTTGTTATACGAAGACTTTAGTCCCTTTTTGTTATGCCACTTAAGCAACACATCCCACATTGAGTTTCCAACATTTAATGAAGCTGTTGATATTTATTTTGCCAATTTAGAAAAGGAGAGAGCTCAGATAGTAGCCTCCAAACAGGAATCAGTAGTTAGCAAGAAGGTAGATTCACTTAGAAAGGACTTGGAACGTCGCATCGATGAACTTGAAAGGGCGAAAGAAGAAAATTTTAAGATTGCCGAGGCAATTGAGTTGAATGCGGATGAAGTTGACAAAGCAATATGGGTTGTTCGAGCAATGATAGCAAATGGGGTTGCTTGGGATGAGCTTGATAAGATGTTGGAAGAAGAAAAGGAGAAAGGCAATCCTGTTGCAGAAACAATTCACTCGTTGCATTTAGATCGAAATGAAATCACACTTATGCTGCCTATCGATCCTATATTAGAAGATGAGTTTGTGAACGAAAATTTTCAGTATCAGTCTGAAGATATTACTTACTATGACGATACTGATGAAACAGAAGAACATTTTCAAACGGAAAGAATGGTTGCAGAGCTGAATGCATCAAAGCCAGTTGTACTTGCAGATGTGGACCTCTCCTTGAGTGCATTTGCTAATGCTGCCCGTTATTTTGAAAGTAGAAAACGTGCGCAAGAAAAGAAAGAGAAGACTATGGAAGCCACGAAGAGAGCACTAAATGTTGCCGAAAAGAAAGCATCTAAACAAATGGAACGTTCGCAGCAAAGATCTTTGAAGCCCGCAGTTGCCATAAGAGAAATCAGAAAACCTGCTTGGTTCGAAAAGTTTGACTGGTTCATTAGTTCTGAGAATTTTCTTGTCATAGCCGGAAAGGATGCACAACAGAATGAACAGGTTGTTAAGCGTTACATGAAAACCTTTGACGTTTATGTCCATGCTGACATTCACGGTGCTTCGAGTGTGGTTGTAAAGAATCGCTTTAGAGACAAGCCCGTACCTCTTCAGACGTTAATAGAAGCTGGCGCATTTGCTATGTGCCATTCTTCAGCATGGAGCAGTAAGATTGTTTCATCGGCGTGGTGGGTCCATGCCAGCCAAGTCTCAAAGACAGCCCCCAGTGGAGAATACCTCACAACGGGCTCATTTATGATAAGAGGAAAGAAAAACTATCTTCCTCCTTCACAATTGGTAATGGGTTATGGAATATTGTTTAAAATGGATCCATCTTGCACAAGAGACCATGAAAACGAACGACAGAGACGACCTTTGAACGAAGCTGTAGAAGGTCATTTAAAAACAAATGAAGACTGTGCAGAGAACGAACCTGATTTTGACAACTTGGAAACGTTTCCTACAAGTGCAACGGGAAATGCAGATCAGTTTTACCATGAAAACAATTTGCAAGAAGCAGACGTTGCACATCTTTTTGACAAATATCATGAGTCGCTTCCAGATAATCTGAAAACATTACAGTTGGATTCGACAGGAATGCTGGCGACAAAAGAAGATGAGCTTGACCAGTTTAGGAGTGAAGAAAATTTGGAATTGATCAAATATTCGAGGACGAAGAAGGCAAGAGATCATTCGACGCAAGTTGGCCACACAAAGCAAGCTCAACCAGAGACTTTTAAGGAAAAGAAGACTAGTCCCGTTGATCTTATAGAGAATGTAGATGTAAGCAAGTTGCCTCGAGGAAAGCGAAGTAAAATGAAAAGAGCGAAGAAGAAGTATGCTGAACAAACTTTAGAAGAGAGAAATCTGGCAATGGCTTTGTTGGGTTCGTCAAAGTCAGAACAAGTAACATCGTCGACGAACGAAGAGCATGGAAGAGAGGAAATATCAGTTGATATTAACAAAGGCTTGAAAGGGAAGGGAAATCATATGGAGGAAGTCAGTAATTATACAGAGGACTCGAAAAATGCCGACGAGGAAGAGAACAACAGTACTGAAAACTTTACGGATGAAACAAGCGTAGTTAATTTGTTCACTGGACAGCCATTAGAGTCAGATATCATTGAATTTGCTCTTCCTGTTTGTGCTCCTTTCTTAGCAGTATCCCGTTATAAATATCGTGTCAAGTTAATTCCAGGTTCCATGAAGAAGGGAAAGGCTGCCAAGGTTGCAAATTCGTTAATGTTAAAGATGGCAGAGAATAATGGAAATTTTCGAGATCGAGATCTAATACGAGCTATACCCGATCAAGACAGTATTCAAACAATGTTGAGTAATGTGAGAATTCTTTCTCCGGGATTACAAGAAGTTATATCGAAGAAGAAAGGCAAATAAGTGCATATTTGAGAATATTGTGTGAATATATCTATAATGCAAAAAATAAGTTTCGATATATTTCCTTTTGTGTGATGTATTGTAAGTCATCGTCACAAAATATATTCTTTTCACAAGTACTATTCATCATTTTTATGTCTAAAGCGATAGCTGAAACTTTTGATCCTTGTCATTCAAGTATTCTGCAATAAAGGTCCTCGCTCTATAAATACGTAAAATGTTCAAGAGTACCCTATGGACAATATAACTTACTCGTTGTATGCTCTGTCCAAAAAGTCGTTCACAACAACAAGGTCATATAGATTCTTTTGCACAAGCTCTAAGTTGAAAGACACACTTTAGTATACATAACTTACAGGCTCTCCACAAGTTTTCATTTCATCTTCTGCGTCATCGATGCGCTTCCTTACATCTGCCTCTGACTCTGTCTTTCTAGAACGCAGCCTAGACTCCAACTCCTATTGCCAAAGTAACCACATCTGGTCAGTGTACGGAAACAACCCACGTACCGTTAGTGAAGGAGGTGAAATGAATATTATAATAGCCTTGATACTTCTCTGACGAATAGAACGGCATCCTTGGACATCAACATCGAGCACACAAAGCTGCCCTCTATTTAGGACGGTTTCTACTGCTTGAAAACTTGTTCCATAATAGCGTCCGTGCACATTTGCATATTCAATAAACTCATTATTCTCTATCATGTCTTTAAATTTTTCCTCAGGAACAAAATAGTACTCCACTCCGTTTTGTTCTCCAGGTCGTGGTGATCTTGTAGTATGACTGACACTGAAACCTATTCGATTAGGGTAATTCTCTTTAAGCTTCTGTATAATACTACTCTTTCCAGCCCCCGAAGGTCCAGTGAAAACAACGAGAACTGACTTGCTGTCGTTTTGGTTCGATTCAGCATCCAACACTTGCATATTGTCTGTCACGAGGCAAAATGCACTTTCAGGAGAGCAAAAACTACATAGTTCAATGCAGCTATCAAAGATCTTGCTGAAATTTTCGTACTCTAGGCAAACTCTGCTTTTTATTAAAACTTCCATCCTATAGCTATCACAAACCAGCTTTCCTTACAATACTTTCCATGAAGCTTCTGGGTCTGGTTGCATATATAATTGAACATCCAGTATTCCCTCTGCAACTTTTGAGCCCGCTCGAGCACCCTAATAGGATAATCATTAGTGGCTACACTTTCGGATAGATAAACAATTACCGTAAGAGCATGCATAGTAACCAGTTCCTTGCCGACCCAAAGACTACTATCTTTCGAACTTCTTTTGAGTGTATAAAAATCTGTGTGTCGAACTTGTTCGGTACCATCCGTTACATCTACGTAGCCAAACAATACCATCTCATGTCGACCACCAAAACCAGTAATAGGTATCTTAACAGGACCTGGATTTACATAATGGACTATAGCTCCTATGTATCAGTAAGTAACTGCGAACAGGACCAAAGACAACGTCAAACCTGTTCGAATGAGTTGTGCATCTTCATTCCTCTCTTGTTCATTCCATTCCTCACCAACTCCAGGACGAAGAGGTGCCACACCAGCTCCCTTACGTAAACGATAAATAGCCTTCGTAACTTTATATGCTTTCCATTCATATTTTATTTCGAACCCTAAATTCTTTCCCACTTCTGCAAGTCGAACTGACAAATGGTATAGAGCACCGTAATCAATCATCGAGGACTCTCTCATAGATGCTGTATGCAATATTTCCAATTCCTTCGAGGCCAACTGTTTACCGACTCGTTTCACCTCCTCAGGATTTCCTATTATAGCCGCAGAAGCATACAGTACTAGTCTGTCCTGTGGAGAAACCGAATCGGACATGGCTCCAATAGCAGCGTTGTACGCTTGAATCATCAATTCCGGACTATGCAAACGACAAGAAATCTCCAGTTGCAGCGCTGCAAAACGAGTCCTGTCCTCCGCATTGAGACTATTATTCTTTGTATTTAAGATATCCCAAGCTGGTTGCAGATAAGTCTTCTCTAAAGATGTTCTGAAACTTTCGACCTCTTCGGCGGACATCTCTTGTACTGAACTTTGAGTAGTTAACGTGCAATACACCGTATGACACCATTGAGCTATCAAAAAGCGAGTTGCAGCATCTAATAAATGCCAGTCAGTAATTTGGTTTAAGCTTGCAAGCACTCTTTCTTCTCTCGGTCCATTAGCAACTCCTGTGTCATGGACAGACGCTAGCGACACGTTGACGGCAGCACGAAGATCTTCTTCAAACTTATTTGCCTGAGTTTTGGACTTTCGGGAGTTAACTTTATCTTGTAGCTCTTCATTTGAAGTGCTTTCAGGTGTCAGATTTGCCCTCAGTTTGTCAGTTTCTGGCAAAGTTGAAGAGCCATTAATTTCAGCAATAATGCGATCTAGTTCTTCATCTTCATTATGATTTACTTTGTGCTTGTTCTTCTGCTTCCTCTTTTTCTTTTTCTTCTGTGACTTTGTTGGAACTTCTTCGGATTTAACCGGTTTCTCGATTGTTAACTGTCTTGAATAATAAAGGTACAGAGCTATTGAAGCGGCAACACCTATTGAAAGTGCAATAACGCCTGCCTCCCAATTTCTCATTCGTGTTACGCACTACACTTTGTGATAGTCTTCGAACGAATACTAAAGACCTCCGTCTCCAATCCGACAAAAAGACAGAGAAGAAGAAAGAAATTAGCCGATTCGAGACAAATGTATCATCAGCAGCCCAAGACTTTTAGGCTTTTATTCTCCTGTTGAAGTTTTCTAGCCGACGCACATTTTGATTCTTTACCAGTCATTCGACACGAAGAGTGTACGTACACAGAAAACGAAAAGTTCATAAAGAAAGGAGGGGTTGAAACTATTGTTGTAGAAACTTCTAGCAACTCCAGAGTGTACCAACTTTCCACAGTGTTGTGGGATAATGTGTAACGAAAGCTTATAACATTTGAATATTGCGTCTTATTGCACTGCATAAGAAATGTTACGCTGCTATTTGTTTGGACAAGTTTTCCTACAATCTTTGCCCTTGGATAAGTGCTCTAACAATTTCCCATCATATTGTCATATCTTTGGAAGAAGCAAAAGTTTCGGAACGATCGACTGTATCACCTCAGCTCAAGCGTGATTCATACCAAACAAGAAAGGAAACAACAAATTTTATAGTTATATAATAAGTTTGTAAATAATATTTTCAACACGAGGATCGGGTCGTTTAGCAATTAAAGTTGCAGAGAAATTGGTACTCTTTCCCACTACTACTTTTCGAGTTGCTGTTATTCAAGCTGGTCTTTTATCTTCATTTATGATGCCACTTGAAGATATGCGTTTTCCTTCGAACCTACAACAAGTTTCCAAGAAACTCCTCCCCGATTCTTTTAAAAACAAGTCACAATCTAACCTATTACGAGGCCTCTTTATTGACTTTGTTTATAACTTCTTCAATGAACTGACGCTCTGCTGAAGTTACGATAAAAACTTCTTGGACAGTTGTACCTTTACGAGCAAGCAGCTTGTAACCCGTAGGTGTTGTGGTAGTAACTCTTAATAGCAAATGAGGCGAACGACTTTTACCGTTCCGAAGACGTCCAGGAACAATAGTCTGAACACAGGGTTCTTCTGATAACAACTCCAACGATTTGATAAGTCCCGGAATATATGTGGAATGATTGACAACGATTCGTGCCTTTTCTTCTTTCACTGAATTTCGCTTTGTTCCATCATTTGCTGAAAATGCACTTTCATGTAGAATCTCTGATACAGGAGAAGATATCTGTGCAGTATATTTTTCATTCGAAATTAAGGAGTCTGGAAGTTTACGGCAACTATTCAATAAACACTGGCGAGCTTCTTGCCAACCATACAGTTGAACTTTCCATGTTGAATTCTGCAAAGACTGGATAATTTGTTGAATGGAATGAGAGGCAATAGTTGCATCATTTTCATTACAAGTCAACATCACACAACAACTTTGGCCAGGTGTGACAACTTTCTCCTGAAAAAAGCAACTTTTTGTGTCAATGTAGCAATTTTCCTTGCCAACCATTTCAACAAAACTCATAGAGTTTGCTAGTACACTGGAGTCTGCTCCTTTCAAAATAAGGGTGACTTTTAAAAAAGAAACTTTCTTTACAACACCGAGCAATTTCTTCAGGTCAGAATCAGAACAAGGCATATCTAAGTATGCCAAGGCCACGTTTTGACTAGTTTCCAAACTCACTAGTTGAGTTATGGGACAAGTGGAGAGATATTTTCCTCTAGATGGTTCCTTAACCTTAGGTGTCCACGTTGGACCCTGCCAAACATTGCTTTTTGAGGGTTTCTCAAGAGCACTGAAACTTTCGGTGTTGGCCAATGTTGTCTTGTGTACGTTCCTTGTGGTTTCTTGCTTTCTCCTAATTAAACGAACTTTCTTACTTTCCGTTTTTTCGTTCTTTGAAAAGCTTTCCCAAAACAAACGTGGGTCATATTTACGTGCTTTCTGCTTCTTCTCCATAAAAGATGGTCTCATTCCGAAAGTTTCCTCCAGATATTGATACTCCATTTCTCTGTCTTTTGGTGCCTCATTTATGCAGCAAAAAACGCTACAGCAGTTCAGAATCGTTCTTAGACTGAAGCGAGGGTGAACCCAACTACACCTCGTTACAAAAGGCAAAGGACAAACTGAAATTTGGAACCTTTCTGCGGCCTGGCTACTAAAGAATAACCTACTCTCCTTCACACTCGGACAAACGAAAGAAATATACATTCAATCTACAATAGGAGGAATAACTGTTGTTCTTAAAACAGTCCGCTATCACTGTAGCCACAGCTCAAAGGCATGGAAAGCGACAACGTCCAGAATAAATAATCAATCGATCATTGCTTATATATGTATCTTGAAAGAGTGTCTTCACATCTTCTTAGGTTGATCATCATCAATATTCGAGGTAAGCAAAGCATAACTTGGCGGCCCTTGAAGTTTGGTGTTGAAATTCTTGTTTTCTTACTTTATTATACTGTATCGGAGTTGGCTTCTAAAAAGAATTCAAGTTGCACTTTTGAAAGCATTTGATCAATTTGGCTTTGGCACGGACGGCCAAGTGACTAAGTGACTGGGCTTCTCTTTTAGGGACACTCGAATCATCAGAGCAAGTAATGTCACTCAGTGAGATACAACGTAGAGAAGACTTTCAAATAAAGCCGGAGAAGAGATCTCACGAACTTGACACGACAAGCTGGCCGCTGCTTTTGAAAAACTTTGATAAGTTGAACGTGCGGACCAGTCATTACACTCCCTTACCGTTTGGTAATAGCCCTTTGAAGAGACCTTTAAAGGAATATATTAGATATGGGGTTATCAATTTGGATAAACCTGGTAACCCTTCTTCACATGAAGTGGTTGCTTGGGTAAAAAGAATACTTAAAGTGGAAAAAACTGGGCATTCTGGAACTTTGGACCCAAAGGTCACAGGTTGCCTGATCGTCTGTATTGATCGCGCAACAAGACTTGTCAAGTCACAGCAGAGTGCAGGAAAGGAATATGTCACTGTACTTCGACTTCACGATTCACTTGGAGAAGGTGGAGAAGCCAAGTTGGCCAGAGCAGTTGATAGGTTGACTGGTGCAGTATTTCAGAGACCTCCTCTTATATCTGCTGTGAAAAGGCAACTTCGAATACGGACCATATATGAAAGTAAACTGTTAGAATTTGATGACTCCAGGCACTTGGCAGTATTCTGGATTCGTTGTGAAGCTGGAACTTATGTTCGTACTTTGTGTGTGCACCTTGGTCTGTTATTAGGTGTTGGGGCACATATGCAAGAACTTCGTAGAGTTCGTTCAGGAGCAATGGGAGAAAATTCTGGTCTTGTTACCATGCACGATGTCTTAGACGCTCAATGGTTGTACGAAACTTGCGGTGATGAAAGCTATTTGCGTAGAGTAATTATGCCTCTAGAAGCTCTTTTAGTTGGTTACAAGAGAGTAGTGGTCAAGGACTCTGCGGTGAACGCCATTTGCTATGGAGCCAAGGTTATGATTCCAGGTCTTTTACGATTCGAATCAGGTATTGAAGTGGGTGAGGAAATAGTTATCATGACTACGAAAGGCGAAGCTATTGCTCTTGGCATTGCAGAAATGACTAGTGCGGTTATGGCCACAGTTGATCACGGTGTTATTGCTCGTATAAAGAGAGTGATTATGGAAAGAGACACATATCCAAGGCGATGGGGATTGGGTCCAGTTGCTAGCAAAAAGAAACAACTTATTGCTGCTGGTCAACTAGACAAGCATGGAAAGCCTAATGAAAATACTCCTAAGAACTGGTTTCAGATTCAGCCTGATTTTGCTTCGTTGAATCGTATAACAGAGCAAGTTCCAGTAGAAACACAGAAAGAAGAGCCAACGACTCCCCAACCAGAGAAAACTCACGAAAATGACTTGAAAGAAGACAAACCGAAGAAGAAAAAGAGCGATAAGAAAAAGAAACATAAAAAGCATAAGAAAAGTCGTCACTCAGGGAGACATTCTTCCTCGAAGAAGTCAACGAGTTCAGGAGAAGACTCTTCAGGAAGAGATAGCAGCAATGAAAGCGATAGTTCTCTATCTGAATAGGATAGGATTATAGGCTGAATCTACTACTAGACACTTGTATTATCTGCATAATAAACTCAAGTTGGAAGGATTCAAGTTTTATTTGCCTTTTTAGGTTGCTCAGTAGAGGAACCAATCCACTGAAGATACTCTGTACTTGGAGTTATTCACAAGAAGAGTGAACTTTTTGTCTTAAACTACCTTGTAAACCTCCTTGAATAGGCAAACTGATTACTTCTGGCAAATCATACGGATGTTTGGTTCTTATTTCGTTAGCGACAGTTGAGACTAATTCACTCCTTGTTTTGATGATGAGCAATAGTTCTTGATCTCTTTCTACCTTCCCTTCCCACCTATACGAAACTTGTTAGCAAGCAAGGAAAGGATAAAGCGCGCTCCTATATTATCTACCAATAAGCACTTTCAACACCGGAAACAGTATTAACGCAGGCAGCTAAACTCTTCTCAACCAACCAATTGGATATGGTTCGTGCTGTTTCAACGTCAGGAACCGTGCAATAGACAACGACGTATTCATTAGAACTAAACAATAAAGTGAGAAGAGAAAAGCATTCTAGTTGAAGAAAATAACCCAATACGAAAAAGCAAAAATAGAGTAACGACAATATTGACAAACAAACTGAATTTTGCCAGTTTTACTAACCTTCCAGAGTGGACAGCACTTGACATAGTCTGCCTCGTTAATAGATTGAAATGGTCAGACTTCGAGGAAAGACAACCAATGCTGGTACTGTTCAAAAATAGACCTGAGGAAGATTTCAAAGAAAAAGTTTTACTCCGAAACCACTTAGAACTGCTCAAAAACCTAAAAGACAATCCTCGGTATGCTGCCTTTGGAGTCTGCGCCAACAAGAAGGAAAATCTCCAAAACATGAACTTTGGGAAATAGGGTCAATACGATGTGGATAATAAGTCAGCTGTAGAGGAATGAAATGTCAATCGTTTGATAAACTTTCAAAAAGCGGAAATTCCGTCTTTTATATTGTATAAAAGGACAATGCACTACTTGATGGAACTTTTGGTTATTTAATAGATCATAGAAGAAATATACTCATACGGTAAATGGATGGATGGACAATTCAGATGTGATACAGTTTCATATCTATTCCTAAAAATACAGTATTCCTGCTATTCTTCCTCATGTCCAAGTTGTTTGATTGTAATGATATTCCGGATCTTTGCGTCAACATTTTAAATGGAAATCGGCTGGTCGTCGAGAGACACTGCAACCCGGATGTACGATTCCTTAGCTTTCCTTCAAGTGCTTCCAAACAATAAGAGTTTTGAATTTGTTGGCCGTAGCTCTTCGATTAAACTTCTTAGGAGTTTTGCTAATAAACGAAGTAATACAAACGGTTTCCTATCGAGCAATTTCTTTGCAAGTAGGAGATACTGGGTTAGATTCCAAATGGCAGTCAAGACTGCAGTTTTTGTTTCTGGTGGTGGAAGGTCCTTGGAAAATTTGCTACGATACTGCGACAAAGGTATTGAAAATTTTATTATTGTGAAACACAGTAACTTGGACTTTTGAAAGGAGCTTTGGAAGAGACTCAGATTGTGACAGTAGTGGTGAGTATTTGAATTCTGCTTCCTTACTAATTTGACTGTAGCAAAGTCCAGTAAGAACGGAACCAAGGCTTTGGAAATAGCAAAGAACTGGTCTGTGCCTGCGCAGGTTGTTTCACCCAGAAATTATCCTTCTAATACCGAGTTTAGTCAAGCATTGGTTGATGTTTGTGTAAGTGCAATTAAGACACTTTCCAGTTTGTGCGTTACTGCTATAATAAGGCATCTTATGGTGTATCTTTAATTGTGCTCGCGGGTTGGCTGCATTTTTTCCATATTCCTCCTTCGTTTCAAGGGCGCGTCATAAATATTCATCCAAGTCTAATTCCTTCCTTTTGTGGCAAAGGGTATTATGGAATGAATGTCCATAAAGCAGTGGTTAGGTTATCTTGGTTGTTTTGGGTCTAATTTTGATCGAACCTTTTATCTTTAGTTGGACTTTGGTGTTAAGATAACTGGATGTACGGTTCATTTTGCCGATAACGAATATGACCATGGACCAATTATTTTGCAGAAGGCTGTTGATGTATTAGAAACAGACACAGTGGACACTTTGTCTCGACGAGTATTTGAAGCGGAGAAAGTTGCATTACCCGAAGCAATTCGACTCTTCAGTAAGGGTCTACTGAAAGTAAGGTCTGCATGCTCTTATTGTAATGCAAGTCTCATGGAAAGTGTCGTGCTTATTGTAGCTCGAAGGACGTAGAGTCAAGATTCTGAAGGAAGCGTTGAAGGAAACTTGTGTCGGTGATAAATAAGCTCATAACGCCACAAAGATGACTTTGTGTCTTCTACATAGAGTATTTTTTTTTGGAGAGAATTGCACAAATTGATATTGTTTAAAGATACTGACCATATAACCCGTGGTGGTGACCCACACTCATTTCTCTATTCTGAAGCTATCCAAAACTGTTCCACTTGTGTTGTAAAGAGTAAAGTTCAACACCGTGTCATTAACTTGGACTAATGCGTAACCTCCAAATGGATAGTTGATAGCATCGATGCGGACTTGAGCATAATCAGGGTATGAAATGCCTGGAGTAAAATAGTTGTTATCGGCTACAGCTCTTCCAGCAATCCCATTCATAACTTGCACAGGATAGGGAGGTTGTTTGTATAGGCTGCCATTTTGTTGGACACAATTAGAACATTGTGTTCGGGTAACGTTATCGATAGGATTAACTCGCTCATATGCATGAACATGGCCACACCAATACATATCTGCCTTGTACTGATACATCAATGGGAATACTTCCTTCTCGAGCTCAGGTCCAAATACCTCGCAACTTTTTCCACTGATGTTACATGTTAAGGGGCGATGAGCCATCATAATCAGCCACAAGTTTGGATTTGATTCTCTTCTCTTTGAAAATTTCTCCAAGTCATTTTGAAGCCATTCCAGTTGACCTGGAAAAGTGCTCAGAGGGGCAGGTTGGGTCATTTCCCATTCTCCGAGTGGATACGAGAAATAATTTTCGTAGTTCATAAAGATATAGTGAACTGGACCTTCATCTATCGAGTACCACAAGGCATCTAGAGCGGCGCCACTTTCGTTGACAGGCCAATAGAAGTTGTTACGCGCATACGTAAAGTTCCAAGGTCCTTCATGGTTTCCAGTTGACACCATATAAGGTTTCGAAGCAATAACATCTTCAAATAGAGTTAGATAGGCATCAAAAGTAGTATGGTAACCATCAGAATAAGACTGGTCTCCTGGTAGAATAATATAGTCGAAGTCATTCATTTTCTGTTTCAGTGCGTCAATGACAGGCTGACCTCCCTTTGTGCCTATATCTGTAAAGAAGGCCAATCTGGTTGTAGAAGATGTGTTGCCATACGGAGCCATGAACGGGAACGTTTTGTTTTTAGAAGTACCGTAGATAGTGTACGTGTACGTCTCACCTGGCTTCAAAGATGATATTTTGACGTGACTGGCAAAGCCTGAATAGTTGGAACATAAGTAAGGAGAGTATCCAGAGCCCAGGGAAAAGGTTCGAATGTCTGAAGAGCAAAATAACCCGAGCTGAGCACCCGTAGCATTTGAAACCATCACACAGGACTTTTCATCAGGAGGTCTTTCTGCAGTGTTCCATGAAACGACAACTTCACCTGGACGACCAGTCAATGAAAGATGAACGTGAAAGGGATCCATAGGATTGTTTACGTCACAACAGTTACAGGTTCCATTATTGGAAATATTATACCAAGTTCCTTCTACTAGAGCACTACTAAAGAGACTCATTTCTCCTGATACGGTTGAATTCCAGTGATTCATCGTCTTGAGATCTTTCAAAACTTCTTTAAACCATTCTCCTTGAGGATCAGTTCTTAAAAATAGCTCGATCGGACTCCTCCTGAAAGTGTCCGTTCTCCTAGCATAACGCTCAAACTCTTGGAAAATAGATAAACTTCCTGTATCATGTTTATAAGCTGCTAAAGCACACTGAAATTTGACACACTCTATAATAACATACAACAATAGAATTTTCTTGAACATTTTCCCCTCGATCTCAGCTACTATGTTTCACAAATTATACAAGACAAAATTTGTGGTATTGGTATTGTTATTCCTATTTATAGCTGTACCAAATATTTCGAATCAAATAAAAGATTCACCCGAACCTTCATCGATTCCTACGGAATCCCCTCCCATTCAATTTATCATGAAGCAATTTTAAATGATGATCGAAACCATTCATGCGTCCCAATCGGAAGTTTTACTTTGAATATTTTGTGCAAGTAGAAATACGTCCAATGGATTTATTTATAAAATTTCGCTCAAGTGAGTTTACAAAATGTATGCAGTTTTCAAATGATCATATTCGAGAGCAACTAGAATAGGCTCGGAGATAGCAGGTAGGAAACGAGTCTTCTTCGTGTTATTCCATTGATACTTCGTTGATATGAAGTATTTGGCTGAACTTTCTTTTAGATTTTATGGATATTGATAATATATCAACAAATTATCTGATGATAAGATATCTGACATTGCCATTGTTCTTAGATATAGTGAATACATTTCATAAAGGAAATTTCTGATATATGCGATATTCACATATAGTATTGTTACCCTAATCTTCCAACTTAATTTCTGTAGCTACAAGAAGCCAAAAAGTTGAAAATTTGAAACTCAAATAATTCTAATAAACTTTTGTGAGCTTGTGATAATTTCATCTGCCTTGAAACGCATTTTATTTTCTAACAAAGTGAGTTTTCAGAGCATTCTATACTATTAAAAGAGGTGGCAGTTTCCACAACACAACAGTTTCCTTTGTTGGCAGAGGTTCTGGCAGTAGAAAATCCTTACTTGTCTATACAATCATGAAAGACGATTTTCCTTATAACGCTGCATTCAGAAATACTTTGAAGTGGCAACTGTTCTTGAATAGCATACCTTCAAGAACATTTTTGCATGTTTGATAAAACTGAGTGGTATCATAACGCTATAAGGAAGATCTTTCCAGTGAAAGGAATATTCATAGTGCAGTGAAAGCATTCGAATGAAGAGAGGAGCTAATCCATTTTTAGATGCGAGATATAAGTTTTCTTGTTTGGTTTTCAACGGAACACAGGTTACAATTTTCACTGAGAAAGAATATCCAAGAAAAAGAAGGAATCCCTATCTGCCATATCATTCTCTTTAGCTTCATGCAAATGAACATTTGCACTAGAAATGTTGAGATTTCCAGTGTAAGAGATAAAAAAAGGTCATCCTCTATGTGAATCCAACTCATAAAGCCCAACACGGTCCACTCGGACAGCATCTCCCAAGGGAGAGAGAAATTGAGATCGAGAGCACGACTGAAATGCAAGTGACGGAGCAGAGTAACTTTCGTTCTGAAGCCTTGACTAGAAAGAAAAATTTCACCATCTCAGAAGAACAAAACGATCAAATACTTGAAGGAAAATCAATATCAGAGAGGTTATGGGGTCAACTAGAAGAACTTGAAAAGGTACGTTCTTTGTAGTTGTTGTTTTTATAGTACTTACTTGGTTTTTCCTTCGCAGTTGGAGAATCAAACACAAGAACATGTTGACGGGTTCCACCAGAAACGAAAAAAGGAAGAGGTTTGTTATAATACTTGAAGCCGTTAAAAAATAGAGTGGCTTATCATTTTATATTATGATAGTTCAACGTTGACCCTCAAGAAGAGAATTGTGAGGACGATTCACTCAAAAAGAGTCCACGGAAATCCACGGGAGTTACTCCAAAGTTAGAGTCTCTGAAACTCTCTAGACAAAAAGAGGATAGCGTTAAAAGACTAGAAGAATTTGACCTTGCCTCACTCATTGAGCAGGAGTTGAGCAAACAACAGTTTGTTTTAGAATCTAGTCACTCTGAAGAACCAACCAAACGTATGTGTTCCCACTGAGATGATTCTTTTAGCAAACATAATAGAATGTCTAGCATTTGCAAACAAAAAAGAAGTTGATACGATTCAAGATGAGGAGGAATGCGACTCTCATTCAGGTTGTGATATCAATGAATGGGTGACCGGATGCCAGTGTGACAAATGTCATAAGAACTTGTCATGCGTAGGATGCGGAAAGAAGGGTTGCTCAAACTGCTTGGAATGGTAAAACCTTGTTTTACGCCATGAATACACAGTAACTTTTGTATTGCATAGCTGTGGCGAATGTGGAAGCTATATTTGTGGTAATGATAGCGTGCGTGAAGTTGAAGGATGCAGCCTGAAGTGTGTCATTCATCGAAGAGTTAGTAGTATTTTAGCATTTTGGCAAGTTTGTAGTAGCTAATGATTCTCAGGTATTTTGTCCTAATTGTGTTGGATTCTGTGATAGCTGTCTAGAAGTAGTATGTCCGAATGATTTGACAGTTTGTTATGGTTGCGACGAAAGATACTGTTCACGTTGCAACGATTGTCCGAACTGTGTCTAGTTGTGGATTTCTGAAGAGCTCTAACAGTTTGGCCTATTTGTAAAGAATTTTTTCAGGATATTCTAGTTGAGTGTTTGTCAGGGTGAATCATTTTCATGTTCGACGTTGTTACATATTACAGCTGAGCTTATAGATTTGATACACACTGTAGCGTCTATTCTTACTTCTTTTCAGCATTTTCATCACAGAGAATTAAGTTTGTTGCAGTAAGTTGGCTTCGAAGTTATAAACATTATACTCATAGACTTGAACCAACTGCTTCGACAGAGTGTGCTTCAGCATCTATAGGAACTGTATGCCGACAGACTCGAAATTGTCTAAGAGAAGAGCTTTTCTCTCTATATAGAGACATTCTAGAATGTTTGAAATAACAGCTTGGAGTCTTCTACTAAAACTAGATAGGATACAAAAATGTCAGTGTATAGTGACGTAACAGAGTTTATATGATGACAGTCCTTTATGGAGAAATAAAAGGAATATGTTTTCTCCGCATGTTATCATATTAGTTGTTTCAAGTCCTCTGAGGCTTCGGTCATGTCCAGACCCGAATCCTATGTTCATATTGTCTGATAGACTCATTCAAACATTTCTTTCAACGTCTGCTCGTCGGTGGTGTTTACCTGAACAGTGCTGGATATTTTTTCAGTGCATTGCTGACTTTCAAAGATATACATACATACATAAATATATATATATATATATATATATCTCAAACTTGAACGAAAATAAAGTAATGGCAGACAACGATGTAATTATGATTGAAGGAGAGTTAGTTAACGGGACACTTAACGCAGGTAACGAACAGAGTGCTGTAAGTTCAGTTTCTTAAGATTATATGCTCCTAAACCGTTAAAGAGCGTTAATAACGAACCTGAGACCGAAGAAGACGTTGCTGAGCATAATCGTCGAAGGTAGGATTTGTGCAGTTTCTTCCTGATCGCTTTAACCCGTCGGTGTTCCTGAAGGAGAGTATTTGTGGGGAACCTCTCTTACCGTACTCCCTGGCAAATTCTGAAAGACCATATGCGGCAAGCAGGGTCGGTAATTCGTGCGGAAGTCTTTTTAGACAGTCTTGGACGCTCGGCAGGTTGTGGTGTCGTTGAATTTGAAACTGAAGAGTTGGCACAAATGGCAATAGCGAAGTTGAACGACTCCATTTTGGATGGAAGACCAATATTTGTTCGAGAAGATCGCGAAAATTCCTCTTTGCGTCACAATACACCTTTTCAAAAGTCGGAGCGTCGAAAAATAGTTTTACGGAATCTTCCCATGTCAGCTAAGTGGCAAGATTTGAAGGACTATTTTTCAAAATACGGTACTATAATAAGAGCTGATGTGAAAAAGACGCATGACGAAAGAGTAACGAAGATGGGTACCATATTATTTTCGAAAGAGACAGAGGCGGAAGCAGCTATAGCAGCAATGAATGGAAAAGAGTTTCAAGGGCATATTTTGCATATTCGGATGGATCGATTTGTTTGACTTGTGCAATGTTACTCTTTGGTTCTGATTGTCTCATTTGTTGATTAAAGTCGTAATCACAAGAATAAACGTTATTGACTGGAAAGTTGAGAATATGGAAAACAAAGAACAGCTCCAAACAGTGCCCTGGTGCTGGTCAGATGCGTCGTTCAAACAGAAGCTTTTGTTTTCTTTTGGGTTTGTTGTTTTACTTCGGCTGCTTGTTTCACTTTCACCTTACTCTGGTAAGATTCAGATCCTCTGAAACATATGAGCTTCGTTGATAGAATCACAAGGACAAGCCACTCCTCCGCTTTATGGAGACTTGGAGGCGCAACGGCACTGGATGGAAATCACCTTGTCTCTTCCTCCTGCAGAATGGTATAGGCAGACTGCAGATAATGACCTGAAATACTGGGGGATCGATTATCCACCATTATCTGCATACTATAGTTGGGTTTGCGGTAAGATCATAGAACTTTTTGATCAAGAGGTTGTCAAGTTGCACGTTTCACGAGGAATAGAAACCGAAAGTTCCAAGTGTCTCTTAAGACTTTCTGTAATCTTGAGTGATGTTCTATTCTTGTTGCCGGCATGTCTTCAACTTTGTTTGAGACTGAATAGAAAAGGAGAAAATGAAACGCTTTGGTTATTTGTCACGACGACAAGTGAACCTTGTTTACTCTTAGTTGACCACGGTCACTTCCAGTATAATGGTGTTAGTATAGCCTTAGTGTTGTGGTCAATGATTACACTACTTGACTGCAATTTTATTTTGGCTTGTATATTTTATACATGTTCCATCCATTTCAAGCAAACTAGTCTCTACTACTCGATATGCTTTACAACATACTTCCTCTCCAAGTTGAAGACACAGCAGCAATGGAAGCGAAAGCTGCTTCATTGTGTCATTGTAACCATCTTAGTGTTTGTCGTTATTTGGTGGCCTTGGTTGAAGAATTGGCAAAGTTTTTCACAAGCATTGGTTCGTATTTTCCCTGTTTCGCGAGGTTTGTATGAAGACAAAGTAGCAAATTTCTGGTGTACGTTGTCACCATTCGTTAAAGTGCATCGACTGCTACGTTCGTCTTCTCTTCTATTCATATGCAGTTTACTTACTGCTGGCACGTGCATACCGTTTGTGGTGATCAGTTGGAAACAACCGAGTTTGACAAACCTTTTGATTTCTTTTACGGCTACACCTCTATGCTTTTACCTATTTTCGTATCAAGTACATGAGAAGCAAATCATTTTGCCTGTTTTTATCTCTCAGTTTCTCTCTTTCGACTTTCCTTGGTTAAGTTTTGGTTTCTCTATGACGGGACTTGCATCAATGTTTCCATTGTTTATCAGAGAAAATCTGCATCCAGCTTATGTTGGATGCTGCTTTCTGCAAATCTGGTTGCGTACAATTGCACCACGCACAATTGTCAACGAATTCAAATGGACCTTTTCAAAGTTATTATATTTTGCTTCATTTCTTCTGTTGCATCTGATTTTGTTGTATGCAAACCCTCCAGTTCGATACCCTCATATATTTATTTTAATGACCACCTCGATATGCTTTATCTATTTTGTGTCGTTGCTAGCTTTTCTCATTTGGATATCTATGAAGAAGCGAATCCATTGCAAATTGGATTGACGGGTCTAAAAATGGCGATACCGCCTTTGGCGTCCATAACACCAGAAAAACTTGTCGAATACTTACTTCAAGGCGAACTGCGAAGTGGCAAGCTTACAATTGTTGACGTCCGTGATGATGATCGTGCTTTAGGCTATATTGCTGGCTCATATTGGTTATCTAGTGACGAATTTTTCAAGGATGTTTGTGCCAGTGTGAACCTTCTCTTGAAGGCTCATCCCAACGCAACAAAGTTTGTATTCCACTGTCAACTCAGTAAAGTCCGAGGTCCTTCTTGTGCAAAATTGTTTCGAGAAGAGACTGCCACAAACCATCGAAATAGGGCCCAAAACACGGAAGTTTTCCTTCTAGAAGGAGGTTTTCAAGCTTTTTGCTATAAATACGGTAGAAATAGAGATCTTGTGAATGGAACGTGAATCTCTTTTATTAAGTTTCTCAAGTACGATGGGGCCACTTTGGAAATGATTTTCTTTCCTATCAGTTGTGCGTGGTTATTGAAGTTTGACGATTTGAGAGTTTTGTGCTTAGACTGAGAGCTATAGAAGTATGTATTGCTTGTTCTGGAGTATATGATACTGTTCATTGTATATATATAGTAAACTCTTAGCATTTATGGAGTTGTTATTATTAGTATATGCAAATAGGGAGTTGAACGACTTCACTCACCCTTATAAGTCTCCCTTGGTTCTCTACTGAATGCCAAAGGCAAGTGTCCAATCCAATTTTGGAATTGTGGCGGGCTCTTCAAACACTACAGAACGGGAAGTTCTTGCGCTCATTTCGTTTTTTGCACTCCAACAAACAAGGGAGTTCTGAGTTCTGTTGTTCGCTAATACTTTTTAGTGGACGGAGCGGGGTTTCCTCCTAGAGAAAGTATGCAATGCTGTAAGCGAATCAATGTTTCAGTTGTTTAGTTCTGAACAAAGTTGATTGTTAGAAACAACTCTCTACGTGTGTGTTTTAGTTCAATCAAGATTGAAACCGCGAATTCTACAGCTGTAAATACCTCAAGTTTTGTGAATGAAAACTACTTTTTCAACTTAAACGTAAGACTTGAAATTTCTATTTCTGAGCTAGTTGAAAGATAACTTTGACGTAGACCATAGAGAACTCATATAATGCTCGAATGTATCGTCCTGTTTGTGAAGAGTTCTTAAAGACAACAAAGCGATTCAACCAACTCCAGGAGGAAACAAACAAACTACACATTCTTGTGAAACAGGCACTCCAAACGAAGGATTGGAAAACTGATGGCCCACAAAACTACTGCTCTAAGGGGTATAGTTACGAGCAAGCTTGTAGTTTGTCAACACCTCAACCCGCAGTTGAACTCCTCTGCAAAACGCCTGAAGTGTCCTTTCAAATGCAAGAAGTTACTCTAACGTATGCTTTCATTGGTTTCCATGCTTTAACCGTGTGTCTTTTTTTAAGTACAAAGCGAGCGTGGCTTCAAATAGGTCGTTGGAAGATTTGTCCCAGACGGCCTATTGTCGCAGAGTGGAGAAGCCAAAAATCCGCCTCTATTGCATTTTTCTGTAGTTATCCTGTTTGCCGAGAATGGTCGTTATCCTTTCTTTCTCCTCTTTCTTTGTGGAAACACAGCTTTCAATCGAATAACTTGTTATGTTCACTCTATTTTAAGATTTCCAAACAAAAACAACAAGGTGTGGCCAAGTTTGTTGTAGTTTCTGATGACAAACAAGACTCATCTACAGTTCGTGAAGAAGACCTAACGACCAATGATATGAAGACCACATTGACGAAGCAGCATGTAACAGAATTTCTGTCTTCACTTGCGGTTTACTTTGATGATTCTGTATCAGCCATTGCTTGGAAGTTAAGTTCTTCTGAATCAACTGAGATTCAACAAAGATGTCTTTCCAACATTCCCTATCATCCTCTAAATGACGCTTTATTTTCTCTCTTTCGTGAAAGTGTTTTAGAGATAGAGTTGACGAGAAAGCAAGCTTTAGCCAAAGGTGGCTTGGAAGGATTTCGATGGCAAGCTCTTTGTAAAGATTCGTATTGGAAAGATATTTGCTCCTCTGTGTTCAGTAAGCTTTGTCTGATAGATGACTATAGTATGAGAGCTGATTCATCTACAAGTGAAATAGACATCATTGACAAAGTTATTCTGAAGGACTGTAAATGGCTTGCAGACTATTTGTTGACTGAAATCCCTCATCTTCTTCAAGAGGAGAAGAAGAATTTCTGTTCCCAAGTTACAGGAGAAGTGTTAGAAAAGATATGTAAGTTTGACCCTGGAACTTTATCTAGTCACTTTTAAAAAAGCTTATGTCAGTAAAAATATCAAGTTGAAATCAAAAATTGAAAATTTTTTGTAGATTGCTTCATCAATGTCCTTGTCTTCCACAAAATGAAGTATTTGCGCCTTTTACAAACGAGCTGTATACGGATATTACACCAGTATCACACCAGGCCTGAAGTGTTTTCCCAGTTTTTACTTCCTACGAAAGAAGTACAGTGGTTCCTTCCTCATCAAAGGGGGTTTGTTTCCTCTTGTTCCAGATGGTGTAACTTGAGCTTAACACGTTTCTACGCCAGTCGTAATACGAAACAGGAATCTGAGGCATCAGATTCCAAGGCGCGGACTCACTTTGAGAGAAGACTTGTTCCGTAAGAGCAACCCAGCCCTATTGGAATCCTACTCTTACTTTTTCTCTTTGAAGTTTTACAAGGGAACACTTATTTGAAGTTGTGAAAAACGTTGATGAGTACAAGTATTTTGTTCCTTGGTGCGAAGACTCAAGGGTTTTTTACAAAAAAGGTAACGAGATGGAGGCAGAACTGACTGTTGGGTTCAAAATTCTATCAGAAAAGTACATCAGTCACATTGTATTGGAACCGCCTTGTTCTATTCGAGTCAAGAGTCCAGAAACTCGTTTGTTTGAATATCTCATCAATGAATGGTACTTTAAGCCTGGGCCAGATCCACACTCAACATGGCTTGAGTTTTATGTCAGCTTCAAATTTCGATCTTTCTTATATCAGCACATCGTGGATATGTTTTTTGAGGATGTTGTAAAGAAAATGGTTACGGCTTTTGAAAACCGCGCTAAACATGTGGAAGAAGAGAAGAGAACCAAGCATCTAGAAGAGCGAGTGCCTTGGACCAAATAAAGCTATTTAATAATTAATTCTTGTTCAGCATTTTTTGCAACGGAAGAAAGATATAACGCACCAATGAACAAACGTCAAAGAGAAAACGATGGAAGTGTTGAGAGAATGACTGAGACAGAAGCAACTAGGGAACCTTCAGGAAGGAACAGTGAAGGATACAGTAGGAAACTCCCGAAAAGTGAGGTGCTGCTAGTCAAATCGGAGAGACGTAGACCTTATCTTACTCGGGACGTGTCGTGTTTCGAAAGAATAGAACAAATAGGGGAGGGAACATATGGACAAGTATGGTCTGCTAAGGAATTGTTGACGGGCGAAATGGTTGCGTTGAAGAAGGTTCGTATGGATAACGAGAAGGAAGGCGTGAGTATTTTTGAGTATTTTTGGAAAATTCTTAAACGCTGAAGCTTGTTAAAGTTTCCTTTAACGGCAATCCGAGAAATTAAGCTTTTGAAAACTCTGCCTCACCATAAGAATATCGTGAATCTCAAAGAAATAGTAACGGAGACAAACAAAGATACGCAAATCAGTGGCAAGCTGAAAAGAAAATCAAGTATTTATCTTGTTTTTGAGTACTTGGAGCATGACCTTGCTGGATTGATGGACACTCCAACTGTCCATTTCACTGAAGCTCAAGTAAAATGCCTACTGTTTCAGTTGATCGAGGGTCTCAAACACTGTCATGAAAACAGAGTTATTCATCGAGACATCAAAGGTTTGTCATATTCCTTGAAACTTGTTTTTTATTTCACTTTGACAAATATTTCAGCTTCAAATCTCCTGATAAACAATAAGGGACTATTGAAGTTGGGAGACTTTGGACTAGCAAGACATTTAGGAGATGAAGGTCGAAAATATACAAACAGAGTAGTTACTTTGTGGTATCGTGCTCCAGAGCTTTTATTAGGTACAACGGACTATTCGTGGCCAATCGATATGTGGTCGGTCGGTTGCCTTATGGCAGAAATGTTAATGAGGAAACCAGTAAGTTGGATTTTATGAAATTTGGCATATTTATTCATTATTTTAGCCTTTCGCTGGGAGAGATGAAATTGAGCAGCTTGATATGATTTTTCGAGTTCTTGGAACTCCAACAGAAGATATTTGGCCAGAGTGGACTTCGCTTCCAAAAGCGGAAATGTTTAGCGCAAAGAAATATCCTGCAAGATTTCAACTGTTTTTTGGTCATCTTTCAAGTATTTGCAGAGACTTATTGCAGAAGCTGTTGCACCTGAACCCAAAATGGTAGGTTGATTCTCTCTTCTGGTGAAATTTCAGTTGACAATATCACTAGTCGCATATCTGCTGCAGAAGCACTGAAACATCCTTGGTTCACTGTAGAGCCAAAGTTGATAGAGCCACACCAAATGCCATATTTCGAGTCCACGCACGAATTTCAAGCCAAGAAAAGACGTGCTAAAGGCATACAGCAGTCTAAGAATTCAATGAGCACAGTCGGTATCAAAGGCCCAATAGTTGATAGTCAGCAGTATTCTGGTTCTAATATGAGGAACCATTCTTCAAAGGAATATGATTCACGAAGAATATCACCTCGTGGAAGTAGTACGGACTCACAGGTAGGAGATATTTCAAGGGCCAAAACATCTAATGGTGATCTTCGATCGCACGATATCTTAAGAGAGTAGTCCAAATTTCATAGAATGGGGTTCCTTGAGGCAAATTAAGACGGAACACTGCTATAGTCCAGGAATAGTTTTGCTTTATACAAGTATTTAGGATATTCTGGGATATTAATTATCTACGTTTGTACTCCGTCGTTTTGTCATGGTTTTGCTTGCCAAAGATTGAAAGGAACATCATTAATTGACAATTATGGGCTGAAATGATTCGATTACTTTCTACTGGTGACTCTAGCAAGGAAAGTTTTGGCATATTTTGGAAGATATTGCTCCAGTTGCATTAGTAATACATGTTTTTTGATATTTTGTCCATAATTGCTTTATGAATTCAGTTGTTGCATTTTTTTTGAATGCTTTCTTATAAGAGAGAGCTTATATGGTAGGAAACTCGCTTTTTTTTGAAATTTGCAACTATCCATCTGCTGAATGATGGCATTGGAATAGCCTTGTTGAGAGAAAATACCTAGAGTTATAATATATGTATCTGGTGTTGAACAAGAAGAAAGAGAAAAGAATAGCATCATCCTATTTTATTGTTCTATAGTTCCTTGGAATAAAACGTAATTATCAACATCGCAGTTTCCAAAGGCATTATAGATTGGTTGGTTGTCGGCTACATAGAATGTCGAAACGCTCAACCCAGAAACCTCAAAGCCCAAGAAGAACTCAAGTCGAATTGTTGTACAAGAAAGAGAAAGGAAAACAAGATAGTTTAGAGAACGACGAGGAGCAACCAGTCTATTCAGTTTCGCGTCCTTCGATATATCCTTCAGGTGTCCACGCGCCAACAGTACGAAAGGCACCCTTAGAGGAAAACCAAAACATACTCCCTGAACTAAAATCGCATAATTTGGAAGGCCTGTATAACTTGTCTTTCTTTCTTCTCATTTTTACTCTTGTAAGAACTATACTGTGTTGATGTGTAACTGTCATTTAAATTGAAGAACCTGTAGGGTTATAATGTGATTCGAAATATCAGAGAGAAAGGCTGGCAGGCAGATATCCGCCTTTTGTTGTGTCCTGAAGTGTTTCGAGATATTCGATTTGGCATAGTGGTTTACGCTTCTTTGGCAGCCTACTGTTATACAACGTTTTTCGTCGTAAAAGTTACGGTGTGGTGGAGAAAGTGGGACCTGTTGTCGTCTGTACTTTATTGGTGCTCACAAATTGGGTTGTATTTGGTACTCACTTTGAAAATGTATTCACGTCCACTTTCACCCATATTTGGTTGCTTGTTAGCGATGGGAGTATTAGTCTTTTCGCTTAAGATGCATTCCTACTATGCAACCAACAACTTGTTGCTCCAAGAGTTTCGTGATGCGATAGAGAAGAAGCGTGGCAATATAAAGAGCTTAGAAAACAGCAATACTTCACGTTCTGGTTTTCCTTACTCCGTCAATTTGAAGGATTTCACCTATTTCTTACTTGCTGCTCCTACTCTTGTATATGAGACGAATTATCCCCGAACGAAGGAGATCAGAGTCAAATATATTTTATGGAACTTGATACAGTTGGCGATTTGTTTTCTTGTTCAGTTTTTCCTTTTGTGTCAATTAATGCTTCCAGTGTTGAAGCGTGATAGTGGCTCTTTATTATTTGACTTTATGAAGTTGGCTATTCCAAGTATTTTCTTTTGGTTGCTCGGATTCTATGCGTTATTTCATTGTTGGTTGAATGCTTGGGCGGAACTATGGCGTTTTGGAGATAGAGGCTTTTATCGTGACTGGTGGAATTCCACTACATTAGACTCTTTCTGGTCAAAATGGAACGTTCCCGTTCATGAATGGTGTTTACGTCATATATTTGTTGAATCAATGCACAAATATCACGTTAATCGCACATCTGCAACAGCGGCTACATTTCTTATGTCCGCAGTGCTACATGAGTTTATATTTATTGTTTCATTCAAAACAATACGTCCATTTATGTTCTTCGGGATACTTTTTCAGGTTCCCCTTATACGGTTGAGTCAAACTGCAAGTGTGAGTGGTCATCGCAGAGGCAACTTGCTCGTATGGTTAAATTTGTTTATGGGACATCCACTTATTGAACTATTGTACTTTCGAAGCTTTTTTCAAGTTCATCATTCTTTGTTCTGTGTACGCGTATAGACTTGTAAAAAGAATCTAGATAATAATAAACTTGAGCTTTCTCCATTAGAGTATTGTATAGAGCTGAAGTAGCAATTTTCGAACTTCAAAGTAATCAGGGCATAATGGACCTTCCAGAGTTGCCATTTGAGACGCTGTCTTGCGAATCACAATATAGGCTCCTGTCTCTCTATCTTCTGCAACTAGAACACCGCCGATGAAATCGGAAGGAATTCCTACACGACTGAGAGCAGGTCTCAAATCGGACAACTTTCCTTCGCCAATGAATACAATGGGATGCCCACTATCCAAAGAAGAACGCTGCTCTAAAACATATTCTTGAGTATGACTTACATTTGTTTCTTTCTCTTTTGGAGACGATTCATTTTCTACCCGGATAGTTCCATCTAAGAACGACAATTCATAATCTCCAATCCTTTTCCAAATGCAACTTGACAAGAGACGATCCCTTAAAGTCAACCTAAAGATAGAAGTATCCGTAGTTATATCTATTGTTTCCATTGCTCTGGGGCAGAAAATATCTTTGGTGAGCCCTCGTTCACAAAATTCCTAAGCAAGAGTAAGTTTACTATCGAGAAAGGCTAGCATATTTCTACTGACTTTAATAGCGGCAGTTTCTTTACGACTCCCATGTACAATGATTACTCTTCTTGGAGCCACAGCAGTTAACAACTGCCTTAACGAACGACCATCTGAAAGACCAGCACAACCAACATATCTAATTTGACAAGCAACCTCCAAGTTGACATTTACTTGAATACATTTTGTCGGAACTTGTTCGTCTTCCTGAAATAAACCACGAAAATCCACAGGATTATTCAAAGCGTCGTCCATCGAAGTCTCGCTAAACTCTTCACTATCTCCCTCTATCTCTCCTGGGTCCTCACCAATCATGAAACATTTCGTATCGATTACTAAACCGTAGTCATCCCAAATATCATCAGTCTGCTTACGCGCATTCGAGAATACAATCATTTCAGAACGAGCTTTGTCAATCTTGCTTTCTCCAGAAAAGGAGCCAAAATGATTTGTGGCCTTGTCCTTTTCGTCGTCACTCATTGAGCTCAAATCTTCTTCCTCCTGTTCTTCTTCGGTTGATGAAGACAATCTATTTTCGAAATGCATCTCACTTGGGTTTTGCAAAAGGCTAACGGACTCATTCGAGGTTTTCATATTTGCATAATATTCTTCAAGTTCTGCTCCTTGGAGTGGAACACGCCTATTCAACCGCAGCGCAATTCGAGGTAACTGAACTGTCTTCCCTTCTGATTCATCTTCTAGTACATTATAAATGGAATGTGCCAATGTGTTCGGTTCTAGACGGTCCACTAAAATCAATTTGTTTTTCTTATTCGATACCATTTCTACAACTAATTCTCTGGAGAATCCACATTCAAGCGAAGCCACCGACGTCAAGATAACTTTAGGTGACAACAGAGAGCTCAACTCTGAACGACTGTGGCACAGATGAATGTGCTTTAAATGAAATGGATTCTCTCTTGTAGTGTCAAACTTGTTAATTACGGCATCGGACATCCATTCCATCATACTTTTGGCAAAGTCTATGGTATTAAAGGATACATGCTCAATGATGGCAACAGCATAACTTGACCCAAGTTTTTCAGTAGCCCAAAAATCCTCGAATCCAAGAGCTAGTTCTAGAACTCTACCTGCAGTGTCTACAGGTATCACCACATCACCTCCTTGTCTTAAAGTGCTCAATGCTTCTTCACAAATTTCTGTCAAAGGGTTAGACCTAGAATATATCTGTGAACCTTTTGGAAACTGTTGTCCAGAGATGGAAGAGGAAGATGATGGACGAACTAGAGCTTGTGAAGCGCTAATAATAAGATGGCTCGGTCTCGTCAGATACTGAAGAGTAGTGGGATTGAGATGTCGTTCTCTTTTGTGGTTGAAATCATTTGCGTAAACAATTTCTTCAGTTTCACTTTGTATTTTCCAAACGGTTCCTCCTATCATATGCCCCGCGGGATGAGGAGTAATAGTTATTCCTTTTCCTCGTTCAGAAAAGTTTACTATTTGTTGATATTTAAGTTGAATAAAATTTTCAAAAGCAGAGTCTACGTCGTCTAGGTCAAAGACTTGAAAATCCTCTTGCATAGCTCGACTCTGATGAGCGTCATACATAAATAACTGACCCATTCTCCACACAGGCAATGTTGCGTATGTTGGTGCACGTAATCCTAACTTTGCAACTGCATATGGAAGTGCTCCTAAGTGAAACAGATCAGGATGAGAGATGAGAACCGCATCTACTCTTGGTGCAATTCGACGCAAAGGCTCCAATAGAGTTTCTTCGAAACGGTCGTTCCAACCGCAATCCAATAGTATTCGAAAGTCGTCAATCTCCAATAAATAACAAACAGCTAAGTCTTCAGTCTTCACTCCATACAACGGGGTAAACCTAAGAATAGAAGACATGTTTCTCAATTCCAATAATCAGAATCAGATGCACTAAGAAATGTCTCCCTTTACAGAATTCTTAACTTTCAAATTTTCTGGCTAAAATGATTCGCTTGGTATTTCTTTAGGTATTCTAAAGGTTACTCATTCTGGTTGCTTTCTTTTGAATCCCAAAGCTCTAGCTACGATACTAACAGTCTCATTTGTTACATGGTCATTTGGCTTGGATGGAAATGGTTATGTTTTTATGTGTGCAACAGACGTTTGTTCTTATGTTAGAGGCAGATACAGTTCTTCTTCATTCTATATGAACCGCTTCTATAAATATGATGAGTTTATTTAAATTGTCTTTGTTCCATATTGTCTTCAATATTTTCGAAACTCCTCCAGTAGTATTTGATCAAATTCAGTTTTTGATATGTGTATAGAAAGAAAAGTTTCTGCTTCCTTTAAAATTTCGAGAGTATTTATATGATGCATTGATATCTCATTCTTTCTTATTCCAAGTTTTAACTCCCTAGTGGCTCTCAAATGAGCAAAGATAAAGCTGAAACTCCCTTGAACTTCAAGACTTTCAAGCCGAATTATCTCTTACCTGTATTTCTTTTTAGAAAATTCATCAAACGTCTTTCCAAACGTCATTGAAAACTACTGCTAATGGCTTTTCAATTTTGCATTTGTCTGAGCGATGAACGGCATACTGTAAACTCTGTTAAATTGTCTTATAAAAATACTATGAAGTTTAATTGGCGTTGGTTTTCAAACTTGAGAAGAAAGGAAATTCCTTATCATAGTATTACTAACGGTGTATCTACTTCGGTGGCAAGCGTTGACAATCAAGGATTTGTAATACCACTCAACAACAGTGTTTCAAGAGACTCAGCACAAACGCCAGTCAATTATAGTCAAGTTGCCAGTTATATATTACCGCATTTATGGCCAGAAGGTTCTCTTTTAAAGTTTCGTGTCTTATTTTGTCTGCTGTTAGTGTTTCTGGCGAAATTTGCGAATTTTTTGACTCCGTTGGCTCTTCGCAGTGCAGTAGATTTTTTAGGGAGAGAAACTGAAGCGAATCCTTCCAACTCTTTTCTTACATCTTTTGTAAAATTTCCAAACGTCTATATTTCAGTGCTTGCCTATGCTCTTCTTCGACTAACGTCCACTATGCTTGGAGAGCTGAGACAAGGTGTCTGGCAGCGTGTGTCACAAGTTACTACTCGTAGTTTAGCTGTTCGTTCATTCTCGCATATACTTGAACTTTCGTACGAGTTTCATCTTGGTAGGAAAACAGGTGATATTGTGAGCACGTTGGATAGAGGAATCAACTCTATTAGTACTTTGCTTGGGACTTTTGTATTTACTTTGGGTCCTACAATTATCGAGTTACTTCTTGTTTGCAGCGTATTTGTATCTTTAGGTTCACTTTTGTTGGCATTCACCACAGCTCTTTCCGTTATTGCATATGGCGTCTGGAGTGTTTGGCTTAGTGAATGGCGAAGAAGCATCAGAAGACAAGTGAATGCAAAAGATAACATGGTTCGAGAAAAGACTGTAGAAGCTTTCGGAAATTTCGAAACTGTCAAATATTTTTGTTCTGAGAATTTTGAAACACAACGCTATATGAACGCTGTGGAGGAATATTTTGAAGTATCGCGCAAATCGCAGTGGTCGTTGTCTCTTTTGAATAGTGGTCAGAGCTTGTGGATTTGTCTGGGTCTTGGCTCTGCCATGTTATTGACAGCATCACGTGTTATGTCTGGTGCAGAATCTGTGGGAACATTTGTCATGGTGAATGCATATATTCTACAGCTGTATCAACCTTTGAGTTTTCTTGGAACGGCTTATAGAATGATAAGTTCAGCATTGACCGATCTTGAGAAGCTTATTCTACTTTTAAGAGAGCAACCTGATATTCAAGATAAGCCAGAAGCACCATCTTTGAAATGCCAAGGTGGAGAAGTAAGTGCAGTAAAAGAGCGGTTGTCTTTGAAAACCATTCATTTACGAGAGAGTTTTATTAGGTTGTCTTTGAACGAGTTAGCTTTTCTTATAAGCAAAATGCTCGAGGAATTCATAACATTTCGTTTCATGTACCTGCAGGTTCGACGTTGGCCATTGTTGGGGTTAGTGGAGCAGGGAAGAGTACCATTACTAAGCTATTGTTTCGTTTGTATGATCCTGATTCAGGTTCCATTCGAATTGACAATCAGTTAATTGGTGAAGTGCGACAGGTATTTTTCGAATATGAGTAACTTCTTTGTGCTGAAAATTGCATAAGGATTCCCTTCGTCAGGCTATCGGAATCGTTGCTCAAGACACTGGCCTTTTCCATGACACAATTCGATTTAATATACAATATTCGAAACCGGATGCAAGTGATGAAGAAGTTATCGAAGCTGCAAAAGTGGCGCGGTAAGTATAGCGAATATCATATGGACAGCAATGGTTGACTTGATATAGTATTCACGACTTTATTTGTTCACTTCCGAATGGTTATGAAACTATCGTAGGTGAAAGAGGTCTTCGGTTAAGTGGAGGCGAAAAACAGCGAGTTGCAGTGGCACGAGCTGTTCTGAAGAATCCTTCAATACTTGTACTGGATGAAGCGACTTCTGCTCTAGATACCGAAACAGAGCGAGCTATCCAAACGTCTTTAATGGAAGTGTCGAAGAATCGAACTACTATCATTATTGCTCATCGTTTAAGTACTGTTATTCACGCTAATAATATTTTGGTGTTGCAAGATGGTTTTTGTGTTGAACAAGGAACACATGAAGAATTGCTTTCTTATAGCGATGGTATTTATCGGAGGATGTGGTTGTATCAAATAGAAAAAGGAGAAATTTCTTCACAAGACACTCTTCCTGATAATAAATTATAGTGCATCGAAATTTAGCTGCACTGTCAAGTTGGTCATTTCAGAGACGTGGTTCAATAATGGTCCAGTTACAACTTTCTTCTGAGGATCGAAGTCAAATAAGATATGTGCTTGAACGTTGTCTCGAAGAAGAACCAACAAAACAGAAGCTTTTATTAAATGTGATAAAAGAAGAAACTATATCTCACCAGGACTTGTATGAAATAACTCTTTCAGTCCCACAAAACGCCCTTCCACCGTTTCGGTTTTTGGTAGCACGCTGCTCTTGGAGCTTACCACCACCAAAGTGTCCATATGACAACTATCAGCGTTCTCCGTTGCTAGAAGAAAGACTCAAGGTGCTTCGTCAACGACATGAACAAAAGCGGTATAGGGAGCTCATACAGGATTTGCCAAGCTTTACTCCAAATGAAGCTTCCATGGCTGTCAACTTCCAGTCCTTCTGGGAACAATTGACACTTGGCTTGCAAGTGTTAACATCTATGGTCACAGGTTTCATCTTCGGCTATTACGTTGCCTGGAAGCTAACAAAAAACCAAACAATAGCACTCGTTTGGGGCTTAGTGGCTTTTATTTGTGCAATGTTCGTTGACGTATTTCTTATTATCACCGGCTTGCTGGCTAAGGATATGATGACGTTGAGAACAACTAAAAGTAAAAAGAACAAGTAATAGACGAAACTTTAGCTACTCATCACTTCTGGGTCTGTATTTGCTATTTGACTTCCTTTTTGTACAAAGCGGAAGCGGTAGCGGCTATTGTTGGAATAAATTTCTTCTAGTAGTTTCTTGTTACAGTTCCAAACATAGTATAATAATAGTGACGACAGAAGCACGACAACACAAAGAATCCAAGTACTTGAATTCTTCTAAACATAAGTGCTAGCATACCCGGTGGAAGAAACTTCTTACCTGATAACTGGAGAAAGTTGTCTCTGTATACAAGGAATCATATTTCCAACTATTCGTGTCAAAATAACGGTTAAGTTCTGTCTCTTCTACCAAAATTCGGGCCATTAGAATTCGGTCGCAAGTAAAACAACATTTTGAGGTTCATGAAGCTGCTGCAAATCGATCTCTTGAAATCGTGGAATCGTCAGTCATCAGCAACCAGAGCAATATCTAAATAGTTGAAAAGATTCAACGACATTTTTTTGTGTAGAGACTAAAATATATTCTTTTCCGTCTCGTTCCATGAATGTATGCTTGTAATTCTACTTTCCACACGACTTTTCCATTTGTTGATTCTTGAATGGTTGGTTGATGCACTATTCCTCAGTTTGTGTTAAAAGAGAGCTGTCCTTTGTATTTGTAACTTTCAGGCTTTCTTAGAGTGTTTTTATCGGCGCTGTAGTTGTTTTCGAAAAATGAAACACTGTGATTCTGAGAAGCGACGTGAAGAATGTTTGCAGACCGACGAACAGACAGAAAAGCAGTTCATTTATATTCCGAACGAGTCAGAAAATCTTCTGACGTCTGCAGATACTTCGTTCGAGAATCGTTTTCGAAGAAAGAGAACTACGGACCGCTCAGTAATTTTAGTGACTTTGGCCTTTGCGGGGGTAGAGTGTACTTGGTCTATAGTGATTGCAAAAGCTACACCTTTGTTTCGAGAAATGGGTGTGACTGACATGTTTCTGTCCATGTTCTGGTTAGTAGGTCCCATTGGGGGTCTTGTTGTGCAGCCAGTAGTAGGAGTTTTATCCGATAGGTGTGAGAATCCTTGGGGACGAAGGAGGCCTTTTATAGTTGTTGGTGCTGCTTTTGAAGTTATTGGAATGTTTCTGTTGATTTTTGCCGGAGATCTTGGAAAGCCTTTTAAGAAACTTCAGTTGCAAATGGGTTCAGAACATTCCAACTATGTCTCTGTCTTTCTTGCTTTTTTAGGTCTCACTTGTTTGAGTTTTGCTCACAATGCTATTCAGGTTTGTTGTTGGAGTAGTTGTATATTTATGGACCGGCTAATGTAAACTTTAGGGTCCTTCCAGAGCCTTAATCACAGATATTGTTGAAACAGAGCGTCAGTTAGAGTTCGGCAACGCAATGTTTGCCTTTTGGCTTGGAATTGGCCAAGCAACAGGTTATTTAGCTGGTTCAATCGACTGGACAGATTCTTTTTGGTTTGTGCAGAGACTTGAAAGTGATAGCTGTCATCAAACCTGTGTCAATTTGAAGGTGACCTTTCGAGATACTTTCAAGGGAATTCTCATAGTTTTTTATCTTTAGGTGACTGGCCTAGTTTCAATAATTATGTTGCTTGTTTGTGTAGGCACCAGTTTATACTTTGCTGAAGAGGAACCTCAATGCAATGTCCATACCTTGCAGCAGTCAAACACTCCGAATCCCTTAACAATGGCCATTAAGTTCTTGTTTCATTTACCGAGTCCTATTCAACGTGTTTGTATGGTAATATTTTTTTCATGGTTTGGTTATTCTATGATCTTTATTCATATTACGGACTGGGTTGGGAAAGACATCATGGAAAGTAATATTTGGGTAGAAGATTCCTTGTATGATGAGGGAGTACGAGCGGGAACCATAGGGTTGTTTTTCAATTCTATTATTTCAGTTCTCGTATCTGCTTTAGCACCGTGGCTCGTCAGCAGTTTAGGTCTGCGAACTTTGTGGTTCATTGGGAATGGTACTCTTAGTCTGTCTCTTTTATCGACACCCTTTATACACGACAAATGGTTAGCTGTATGTTTAATAGCTTTTCTTGGTGTTCCTTGGGCAATAACTATGACGGTATCTTAGAGTTTTGTCTCATCGATAAAATTTCCCACTGAAACGGTTTTGCAGGTACCTTATAGTCTCGCATGTGTCTTTTCAAGTCAATACGATCGTGCTGTTGTACTTGGCATTTTGAATGTTTATATTGTTGTTCCATTTTTATTGTGTGCTCTCTTTGATGGAGCTTTAATGGTTGTTTTTGGAAGTGTTTCGGGAGCACTTGTGGTGGGCAGCTGTATATCGTTGCTAGGTTGTTATTATATTATTGAAATACCTATGGAAGAAAGCGGAACTCTGTTAAGCTCGACTCCTAGCTTACATACATTTCGTAGTCGTATCCAGGATTGGTAGTTATGCATAGTTGTCCTCTTCAAAGTCTATTCTGATCCACTTTAGGATACCAACCTTAACCAATCATGCGTAACACGCAATTGTAAGCAAGTGTTATCGGATAGTGAATGTTTTTGGTATTCCCAAAAGGCATGTCTTCATATGTAACTTGTTAAGTATAGTGTGCAGTAAATGCCACTGTCCTGTAGCGCTGTAGCAAATAATGTTACACTTTTCACTATTTCTCCCTGTTATTTGCCTTCCCATTAGCCATCTTTGTTAGTGGATAGTCGATAGAATTTGTTACGTGGTTCCAACTGCAAACCTTTTGTAGAAAGCCTTTCTGAATGGAAAGTGATAACGTATTTCCAGTACAAGAGTTACAAGAAGAAAGTAAACAGCCTTTGATAGATGCCTTGCCTTATGCTGACGAGAATATTCTTGAGAGCTCCGAATTGTCTCGTCAAGTCGAGAGCCTACTCCAAACAGAGTTGAGCCTTGTAGAGAAGAAGAGTTGGGAAGAACAACAGAGTAAAAGTTTATTCTTAGACAGTTTGGTTGGAATAGAGGTACAGCGAATGGAAGAAGGGTTACCGTCGGAATATGAAGATCCCTTTAAGAGATACCAAGTTTCGTATCCTAGCGGTACAAAGGAAGCAGACGTGCACGAATGGGAGAAGAGTATACATTTACTGCAAACATCGCTGGAACACGATCTTTTATGCTTGGCCAACTTGGAATTGTTGAAGAGATACGGTTCTCAAAGCTGGTTATTGTTTGTCAGTCAACTTGAGAAACAAGTACAACGTCACCGTATAATGTTGAATGAAGAGAAAAATCATATAGATGAAGTGAACGTTCGACGAAAAAAATTGCAAGAAGGAGCACTGAGAAAATTGACCAATCTTGACAGAACTTGGAAGCAGCTGATTAGAAAGAACAAGCAAATTGAACTTGCTTGCAGTCGCTTGGAAGCCGAAATTCGACATCTCAAGGAAACGGCTTGACTCATTGAAACGTTACTGTACTTTCAAGGACTTATTTTCCGTTGGATGATTTGTGACAGAAATTGAACAAGATCTCGGGAATGATGTTTGTCACGACCGGTTTCTTTAGTAATAAAACTTTCCTACCTGCTCCAAAGGGAATCGCTTCCTATGTGGGACAAAGAAAGAAAAGTTTCAACTTGAGGAGTGGTCTTTATATGAGTGCAAGTAATCGTCACTTCTTTGTTGGGGGCAACTGGAAGTGTAATGGTAATAAGAAGAGTATTCGTGAGCTGGTAGAACTCGTCAATGCCATTCACGTGGAAAGAAATAGTGGTATAGAAGTGGTCTGTGCGCCTCCTTTTCCTTATTTAGATTTTGTCAGATCCTTGTTGAAGAAGGAATTTGGAGTAGCAGCACAAAATTGCTGGATCACTGGAAGCGGTGCCTACACTGGGGAGGTCTCAACTGACATGTTATTGGATGTTGGGGTTGATTGGGTTATTTTGGGGCATTCAGAAAGACGTCACTTACCGGAACTTCAAGAGACTGATGAGACCATAGCCCAAAAGACTAAGAGAGCCTTAGACAGTGGTTTAGGAGTTATCCTGTGCATTGGAGAGCTTCTTCAGGAAAGGGAGGAGGGAAAGACTTTGGATGTTTGTAAACGTCAACTTAGTGCAGTTGCGAAGGTTGTGACTGATTGGCGAAAAGTAGTCGTGGCATACGAGCCTGTATGGGCTATTGGAACAGGAAAAGTTGCGACTCCAGAACAGGTAAGAAACGACTATCGAGTGATACATAAAATGTCTACAAGGAAATCTTTTAGGCACAGGAAGTTCATAACTCTGTAAGGCAGTGGTTCAGAGAAAGTATCGCACCACAGGTCTGTAGGGTTGTCGTCATAAAACGAATATATGTTATTTACCTCTATATGTTTAGGTAGCCGATACACTACGGATAATTTACGGAGGTTCAGTCAATGGACAAAATTGTGAGCGCCTTGCTGGTCAAAAGGACATAGATGGCTTTCTGGTTGGAGGTGCATCACTCAAACCTGAGTTCGCAAACATTGTGTTATCTCATCGTCTAAGCCCAGAGAGCGTATAGTGCTCAATTGCGCATTTTCTTCCCCATAGAAATTACTTGATAAATTGGTTATTATCAAGCATCCTTACTTGAAAGACCATTGAAGCACCGTAATTTGAGGTCAAACTTTTTCTTACAATTTTCTTCAAGATATAGCGCCCTACCTCTTCAAGATGCCAACAAGTGTCGCATTAATGTACTCTTTTCTCATCGCAAGTGTTTTCGATACCAGATAATCGAATTTTCTTATCACTTCCTTGCTATATTCTGTATCTTCCTCACCAATTAACTCCCTATCTATGAGATCCAGCATTGCACCGTTCGGAATGGTAAATTTTCTGGCAAACAATGCCCGAGAACATCGAATGTTCGACCAGAATAGATCGACATCATCAACGCTATGAGGATGTGTGGTTGGGCCACGAGGTTTCCTAGGATGGTACCATGTAACGCTGCGTAAACTATCGTCAACTCTCGTATCCTTGAACATAGCACTGTTCTCAAGCAATGTAATGAAATAATGCTCATCTGTCATCCAAGAGTTAGTGAGCCTTGCGAGAAGTTGCTTGGCCTCCCATGATGTGACTACATATCGACAAAACTCTCTCGACGCAACCATCCAAGCTTCACTCTTAAAAGTACGAAAGTATTTATTTGAGCCAAATGGATGTTCGATGTCCTTTTTCCGTTTTAAATCACCTTCGTCACATACTGAACATTGCAACCAATGCAAATCTGCAGTTGAAGGAGTGTCATTCTGAGGAGGAGTAAAGCTATAGAGGCTTGAATCCACAATTACCTATGCGAGTCTATGAATATCGCTCTCTTATCTACAAAAGCAAAACTTACAGGCTTGAAACGATATTGATATTGAGCTGGATTGGGGTCGCTCCATAAGAAATTCAAAGTCTGATATTCCGGTATTCTACCCAATAGACGTCGTAAAAAATGAGGAGATACAAGAGGATAATCAGAACCAGACAGGTTGATGTAATATTCCCACCTCTCATCATTTTGAAGCAAATATGTCATAAGGCGAATTGTATTCAGCACTACCGTAATACCCGAATAGGTGACTGGTTCGCGTGGAACGAAATGTATGTTATCAGGAAAATATTTCGTTTGATTTACAAGCATCTCATCTGTTGCATCTTTTGCTTCAAGCCCATCTCCGTTTAGACGAAAAAAGTGTTGCCTAGCCAATTCGATCAAACATTCTTGGACTTGAACAGTTGGTATTTTCGCATCAAAATGAACAGCATAAACGTTGTCTGGATGATAGACTGCTCGCATGAGCCGGGGAACCATCTCTATATTGTTCGAAGAAACTTGTATTGAGAAGGCTATGTTTTTGGAAGTTTCAGTAGGAACTAAAGAAGTTTTCTTGTCAAAAAAAGAAAACCACTTGAAAAATCCCCGTGAACGAGTTTCTACAGAAGGTTTCATGGAATGATATCCAAGTTGCCTTTGTTTCAAGTAGTACCGTTCAAACTTGGACAAGGTTTCGTTAGTCAACTCAGCAGAAGAAGCGATACCGTCGCATACAACTTGATTAGCATGAGTCTCGTTAGATAGCTCTTCAAAATAGAAACTGAAGTCACTGTGAAATTCTGTTTGGTTCTTGAGCGAAGCAGTATAAACAGAAACGTCAAACTTTGTAGTTTGTAGCAATATATGACAGATGTTTAAGAAAAGAACCAATATGCATATGACTGTACCAAGAAATACTCTCTGCTTCAGTATTTTTTGACTCATCCATTTGAATCGCATTTCAAAAACAAGTTTTTTTGTTTGACTAGACCAAAAAGCGCGACTTTTCATTTCACGAATGTTTGCCACGTGGAAGCGAGCGCAGAGCGTTTCCCATTTTAGTTACGGCTTCTTGAGCGCTCTACCTTTGAGTAATATGAACACGTCATAAATAAATTGCAGTCTACCGAACACCACTTACTGAAGTGACAAAAGTTTGTTAAAGAAATTTGATTTTGCTTCAAGCCGTTACATTATTCTTATTGACTTTATCTATTTTGAGTCACTTCTTTGTCGATTGGCAGTAAAAAACCGGAATATATGTCTCCAGGTCTATTTTTTTTGAGGGCAGCAAAGTTGTTGCGTTAAAAACTTTTGGTAACGCATATCTGAGTTTTGTCTTTCTATTTAGTGTATAGCGTCTTTGAACGCTTCAACTTGCCAGTTTATGGGCTAAAACAGTTTGGAACAACCAAATATATTTTTCAAGTATATCTAGCAAGTTGTTCAAGTTCGCACACTTATATATGGATCTGTTGACATCAGTGCACTAGTGTCTCGTTCTAGAACTTGAAGTTCGAACATTAAAGTTTTATTGTTATTACAAAACAGGTTCAAAAATTCCGCTCTGAACAGCTCTTTAGATAACTACATACTCTGCTATCCTTTATCAATAACGGCACCTCTGTCACTTGCTGCTAAGCATCGTTTTGGTGTAGCGAAATGCAAGTCCTTATGTAATAGACCAAAATCCATTCTACGACACTCACAAAGCGAGAGCTCTTCAAAAGATAAGTCAGTATCAACTTTCCATTCTGAACAATTGCAAAAGAGAATGTCCCATTTTAGTGTTTTGTCTCGTTCAATAATTGTTTCGTTTTAGGAATGAATGAATGGTTATGTAGATTCGAAATTCAACGAAATTTCAACACCACCATGAATTCTATGATGGCCATGGCTCATGAATCGAGCCAGTAGTATGTATAGCCTATGGAGAAGTATTTGTTGTCTCGAGAAATAGTAAAATTTCACTTCGGAGAAGTGTATGCGCAGATATTTTGGAACCTTTCTACGTATGGTGCTTGCGGATTTAAAGAACTCGTTAAGCTTTCCAAGGTGTCAGCTGGAGAAGTAAAGCAAGCTGTCGCTGTGTTACTACAACAAAACGTTATATTTGCCTATGAAAAAGGCAGTGGTAGAGTCTTTAGAAATAAGCCATGGAAGTTGGATGGAGAGGAAGGAGTCGAAATTTTATTCGAAGCGAAAGTGGAAGAAGCGTTGCTTCGTTTAAGATTTCCGAGATTTATTCAGCTTTGCAGAGAATATTATGGTGAGACAGGAGAAGTTTTGTGCCAGATTCTATTGGAGAGAGGTTTGTTGTCTTTCGAAGACGTTATTCAGGTCGGCGTAACTCAAGGACGGCTCAAAAGTAGTGCTGCCGCAGACTCAGTATTGCATAAGATGATCGAAGAAAAGTTTGTTTGCCTTGCTGGTTATGAATACTATGAGAAGAATGAAAAGGATGTTTCGTCTGTTTCAAGTGGTATGAAACGGAAGAGATCGACAGATGACGCTCCTTCCCCTGCCAGAGAAGCCGATATGTCTCAGAGAAGCTCAGAAACTTTAAGATTTGTACAGTTGGAGCTTTATAGAATATCCACTAGTTTTCTTAATCGCATTCTGAGACATGAAGCTTTTTCGGATCTTGTTGTTCATACTGTACGAGAAAATTCTAGAATGGTAGCTAGTTGTTTCCGTGCTATGCTGTCTTTGATACGAAAGGAAGATGAATGTTTTGAAGGTGAGCAGTCAGTACCAGTCCAGAGGGATGCTATACTTGATGAGATCAGAAATCAGATGCCATCATCTTCTGAATTGGTAACTGTGGACCAGCTGAATGAGGCGTTAAATGTTTTGCAAGATGACAGATATAACTTTATTTCAGGAATAGGAATATCTTCTTTCGTGGTTGAGATTCGAATGATGCGGCAGCTGTTAAAGCAGAGAGCTACGGAGCACCTAATCTTGAAGAGGCACGGAACTTCAGGTCTTCGAGTCTACCGTTTATTGTTGGATAAAGGTGCTTTGGAACAAAGGCAATTGTTAGAATTTGCTATGCTGCCCGGAACGACTGCACGAGAGAAACTCTATGCAATGTTCAGAGATGGCTATGTGGTGGTAAACGAAATTCCTTCTTCTTCCGACTATAAGTCTTCGCGTTCATTCTTTCTTTGGAGCGTAGATGTCTCAAACGTTTTCACAAATGTGCTCTGTCATGCATATAAAGCGACATTGAATATGTTGATTCGCATGAAGAATCTGCACGTAGAATATAGTCGTCTGCTAGGTTCCAATTTGTATTGTGTCAGTGAGGAATTGGAAAGCGTTCCCATTCAACAAGAAATACTAGAACGCCATATATCTAGTCAGTCGTCAAACATGAATTATAGTTGTGCCAGTTTGGAACTCAAAGAGCGATTGGAGAAATTACGTCAAAGAATGGCGTTATATGAAGTTAGTATATTGAGATTAGACAAGAACATCATGTGTATTCGTGATATTTAGCCTGAGAATACTGCCTTTTTTTAATGAGAGCTTTGCCACGGAAACTTTTCACACCTTTAAGTCACTTTGCTGTGAAAACTTCAGTGGCATATTAACCCCCCTGGCTTCAAAACAAGATACACAAGTTTTGTTGCCTTGTCTCGAGAAGGGGGTACAAATTTGTCGTATCTAAGCTTTTCACACAAAAACGTTAACTATTGGTTCTCCCAATTAGTGTAAGTAGAAAGGAAGTAGTGAAACTCTTTGGACAAGTGAAACTTGTTTGACTAGTTTTACTTCCTAGAAGTTGATTGACTCTTGCAACGTAACTGATATTTTATGACTTCATATCTAAATCGTTGTGCGAAGCACTTTCTGGAGTAAGAGTTAACCCGCAAATCCGTATGCTCGCGTTTGAAATAACGAACTTACGGATAGGAGAGTGTATTTTGCGACCCTCGGACACACGTGCCTTGCTTAAGAACTTTGTGGAAAGGAAGCAAAGTTTGTAAATACTACAATTTACAACGAGGTGTGTTTTGCTCTTGCACAACCTTACCATGACTTGAATAAACCAAGAGAAAAGAAGACAACAGGAGTGTTAGCTATTTCTACCAAACTAGTTTTAGTAAAGAAACCCAGTTGATGAGCTTAAACTGGTGCCGATCAGTTCGAAGCAAATACCTCACTCGTCGACACAGTTCCTGTTGAAAAACAAACTTATATAGTCTTGTATGATTCTAAATATCACATACAACGGGACTCAAAATCTGTTGACGATATGACCTATAGTGAATAGGAAATGGAAGGAGTATCCACGTTCGTAACAAGTCAGATACTCTAGTGAAAGAGTACACTGGAAGAACTACTCGAACTAGGTGCAGTATTCAAAAGAAGACTGTATGGACCAAAGCATTTCTCCTCATCGAAGGATGAATCATTGGGAACTATTTGTTCCTTTGGTCTATTAGACATAGCTGATTCAATTTGGTGGGAGTAGAAGAGAAAGCCATGGATTGTCTGGGGAAGCGTGGACTTGACGTTTGCTGCTGATGGAGTTGGAAAATACCAACCAGGTATATTCCACAAATAACGAAAGTGAAACAAGACTTGACGGCAGAAAAGTGAACTCTACTTATGGTAAAGAGGGAAGTTCCTCAGCTAACGGAAGCCTTCCCATGCAAAAGGACTACTTTGGAATACTCGAGGATTTAGAAGAAAAGTTTGAAAAAGAAGATTTTTACGTGGAGGAGATGAAAAAAGGAAGAGACTGGAAATATTTCCAAGTATTGAAACCAAAGGTATACGAGTTGAAGGCAAAGCTTATAGAGGAGTCACTTGGAGAGTGGTACAAAGAACCACGTTTTGATGTGGATAGCCCAAATTTTGATAGGGACGAATATGCAGAGTTGATACAAGCAATTTATGAGACCATGGGTTTTCACGAAAGAAGTTTTGGCGTTTCTTTTCATAACGTAAGTTATCTTCAACCAGATATATAGACACTCGTCGTTGAATTGTCCAAGTTGAGCGTACAGGTCCCAGTTTCAGATGCACCAGCAATACCAACAGTTTGGACTAGCGCCGTAGCAACTTTGAAGAACCTTTTGAGATTAGTTCGTGCACCATTCAAACCTGTATGTAGCACCTTTCAAACTCTTGTTATATTCTTGTTCTCTTATAGGGTGAACTGTAGATTGAGAGAAGTTTATTGAAAAAAGAAGAACCAGTCGCAGAAATTCTTTCAAATATTTCTGGCTATGTGCTTCCTGGCGAAATGTTATTGGTGTTAGGTCCTCCCGGTTCTGGTTCTTCAACGTTATTGAACGTATTAGCCAACGATGCTCCTAAAAGCTTCAAAGTCACAGGAAAGGTTGGTTAAAGCTTATTTTAAAATTCAGACAATTCACTCGAGTTAAGGTTTCTTATGGAGGTATTGGGGCACATAAGAAACTCCACCATGTAGTTCGTCATGTTGGTCAAGACGATATTCATTTACCTACCCTGAGCGTCTGGTAGGTTATTGCGTTGTTTGAGTGAAAAGTTTTTGACCTTCTCAAGGCATACGTTTAAGTTCGCAGCCGACTGTTCCATACCAGACTTTTTTCCGTTTGCAAAGCGCATCCGATACGACAGGATTCGCTTGGTTGCAAGGGTAATATATTTTATTGTCATTTTTAGATTCACAGTCATATCATGTAATTATTAGGGACTTGGTTTGGAACGTGTGTTGAAGACTAGAGTTGGTGGTCCTCGTGTTCGTGGAGTTTCAGGTGGTGAGAAAAAGAGAGTTACAATTGGTGAAATGCTTGTTGGAAGTCGTGCTCAATTATTTGTCTTTGATCAATTTACAAAAGGATTAGATAGTGCTGTTAGTCTTGATATTGTTCGCAGTATGAGAAGGTCGGTAGATAGAGACAAGAGAGTATTTATTGTTAGTATGCAACAGCCTTCAGAGGATATATATTGGTTGTTTGATAGAGTCCTCGTAATTGATCAAGGGAAACAACTTTTCTTTGGACGCGTTTCTGAAGCAGTGCCTTATTTTGAGTCTATTGGAATCAGGAAGCCACTGAGAAGATCTATTCCCGAGTTTCTTTGCTCTGTTTCCGATCCTAAACATACTTTGGTTTGTCCTGGCTTTGAAGAAACGGCTCCCATAAATGTGGCTTCATTTGAGGAGAAATATCGCAATTCAATATACCATGAGAAGGTTCTTGCAGCATTAAGCAACGGTTATGCGGAACGAGATATTTCTCGAAGGCGACCACTTGCAAGTGAGATATCCCACTTGCTTGAAAGACGAGTTTTACAACCCTTTCATGTACAATTGAAGCTATGTGTTTTGCGTCAGTTTCGAATGGATCTGAACAACAGAGGAACACTAATGTTTCGTTTTTGTCGTTACATTTTCATGGGTCTTGTTCTCGGAGCTTTATTTTTTAAGGAACCCAGAGATAAACAAGGCAGTTTAGCTGTAGTTGGTATGAGATTCTTCTTTGCAGTTTTTTCCAGTTGTTTTCATATTTCTATAGGGGCATTGTTTATCTCGCTTATACAAATGGGTCTTGGTTCTATTAGTACTTTGCCAAACATTTTTGAACAAAGAGCAGTCTTGTATAAACAAACTTCTGCCAACTTCATTGTGGCGCAACCTTTCTTTATCGCTCAAATGTTGGAGGAAGCTCCTGTTTATTTTCTTGAAGTTGCTTTCTATTCCAGCTCACTTTATTGGATGGCTGGTCTCAATCCGTTGAATAATGGTCAAAGGTATGTGAGCAACTCTAGACTTGTAACAGTTTGTTTTAATTGTTGTAATATAGATTTCTTTTTTTCATTTTCATTTACTGGATCCTCGATTTGGTGATGAGTGCTCAGACTCGACTTATTGCAGTTGGAACACCTGCGGTAGAAGTGGCAACGGCCATATCTCCAGCAGTAGTGATAGCAAACATTGTTTTTGCTGGATTTATATTACCTAGAGGAAGTATTCCTCCTTGGTGGTAAGTTGCTTCAACCGAAATTTTTGAGAAGGTGGACTTTGCACTTTTAGGATTTGGCTTTATTATCTGTCTCCTTTTCATTATACTTTTGTATCTTCAATGATAAACCAGTTTGATGGACTGCGGCTTTTCTGCACTACATCAGAATTGGAGTAAGTTTGTTTTGTTGTTCTCTACTTTATAACACAGTTTTTTGTTAGACCAACTGTTTCGTACATTCCAAACGCTTTCAAGACCTGTCCAGTGAGTACGGGTGCAGAGTATATTCAACGTCAGTTTCAGATCAATCATCCTTATGGTTGGAAATTTTACAATGTACTGATTTTGGTTGGATTTTACACTCTTTACTCGATATTGGGTATCTTATGTGTAACATTCTTAAAGTTTAGCCCACGAAAAGGTGGAAAGAGGTAAGAGAAGATGTTTAGTTCTCTTACGAACTCTACTCAATCATTTTTAAGAGCTGTCACGAAGAAACGTTCGTCTACAGAGGTGAACAGAGAGTTGGATGAAGAATTGCGCATATTTCGTGAAAGACATGAAAGTACCATAAATATAGAGGAAGTTTCCCAAAGTATCTATTTTGTAACGGAGAATGGAAATGATCATCAACCAAGGAGAGGAGACAGCAAAACTCTAAATGGCTCCAACTCCTTTTCAAAGGATCGTGACGAAGGTTCGTTTTCAGGAACAGATGTTCTGCAATCAGATGAACATTTGAGTTTGAAGGAGGTTTGTTGTTTTAGTACTTTGTGCAATATGACATTATTCTTCCATGAAACTAGATATATTTTACCTGGAAGCATCTTTATTATATTATACCAAAAGAGTCTCAGAAGACAGGACTCAAGCAGCGTCTTTTGTCAAAGAAGAAAGATTTTGCAGAGAACGATCTTGTCCTTCTAAATGATGTGACAGGTTATGCTGTACCTGGTCGATTGGTTGCTCTTATGGGCTCTTCTGGTTCGTATTTTTGAGTCCATTTGAGGAGTCATTTCTGATAGGAAAACTTAGGTGCTGGGAAGACCACATTATTGGATGTTTTAGCTCGGAGAAAGACTTTTGGAAAAATTTTGGGCTCTGTAGAGTTGAACAGAGAGCCTGTACATATTTCTTTTCGTCGCATCAATGGTTATGTGGAACAAGAAGATATACATGTGCCACAGCCAACTATTCGAGAAGCTATTACTTTTTCCGCTATGTTACGTTTACCATCGGAAGTTTCCAGGGAAAGGAAAATTCTCGCAGTTGAGCGTATTTTAGATCTTTTGGAACTTCGAGACGTTGAACATCGTATGGTTGGATTTGGGTTGCCACCGGAAACCAAGAAGCGAGTTACTATTGGTGTTGAACTGGTGGTGAATCCTTTGGTTTTATTTTTAGATGAGCCTACTTCTGGTTTAGATGCCAGAGCTGCCCTAATTGTAATGCGTGCCATAAGAAGGATCGCACATGCAGGACATACAGTTGTCTGTACGATTCACCAACCTTCAACAGAAATATTTGAAATGTTTGACGATTTATTACTTTTGCAACGTGGTGGCCACGTCGTGTATGTATTGAACCCTTTTATTTTCCAAGTCTTTTATTAACCTATTGAATTGATGTTAGTTATTTTGGTCCCCTTGGTGTTCATTCCAAAGTTATGATGGATTACTTTATTCGTAATGGAGCAGCGCCCATCCAACAAGGACGAAATCCTGCTGACTGGATGTTAGAAGTTGTTGGTGCGGGTATCTCAAACTCGCAGACCACTGACTGGGTATGTTTACGACAAGCTACGAGAATACTTTGTCTCACCATTCAAAAAGGCTTCTGTTTGGAAGAATTCTCGAGAATATAGGCGAGTTTTGGCTGAATTGGGTGAAATCGACAGTACTTCACAGTTTGAGGAGGAAGAAAGACAGAGTCTAGAAAACATTACTCCTATTGTTCCTGATAATGTTCACAAGGTCACTTTTCGAAGCTCTGTTGCTTCAACATTCAGAGACCAAGTAGTTGAAGTGACAAAACGAATTTTTATTTGTTACTGGCGTTTTCCATCATACAACTGGTAATAGAAAATGTCTTGAAAACTTGCTGATTCTTCTAAAACTCTGGAAGGACAAGATTTGTTATTGCTGTTGTTATGTCGCTGCTGGTGGGAAGCGCTTTTTACAAGTTTCCACATGACCAACAAGTTAGTTGTTGTTTTTTTACAAAGGGTTAGGTGATATTCACTGTTTTCAGGGTGCCCGAAATAGTATTGCAGTTCTTTATATGGGTGCGATGTATGGTGTTATGCAGCAGACTTCTTCCATTAATCCTATGTTTCAGATGCGAGATGTAAGCAATCCTATTTTTTATATCGACGTGAACTGAATTACATTGTTCATAGGCATTCTATCGCGAAGTTGCTGCAGGGACATACTATCCTATCGTTTACTGGATGTAAGTTCTTAGATGCACTTTTTCCTATCGCCTTACTGTGCATAGTGCTATTGGATTAGTTGAAATGCCATTTTCATTGGTGCCAGGAACCGTCTATGTTCTCATTTTGTATTTCTTAGCAGGTTTTCCAGCATCCAAATTTGGATTTTTCTACTTCAATTTCTTTATCTTTATGTGGTCTGCAATATCTTTAGGGCAAACTGTCGCAACATTTTCCCCTAATCCAATGGTTGCATATGTAAGTGTACCCGTAGAAATGATAAGATTGCAAACTAACTGATGCAGATGCTGAACCCAGTATTGAACTCACTTCAGTCGGCCCTTGCAGGGTTCGTTATTCCGGAACCTTCTATACCAGTTTATTTTAAGTGGTTATATTGGATTGACCCCTATCGTTATCTGCTTGAAGCTATATCAACAAACACGATCGAAAATTTTGTAAGTTGTATATTTAACAAATTTTGAAGCTTATTTACGTTTATAGTCCTATTATTGTACTTCATCGGAGTATCGTTATTTTACAAAGCCACCAAGTTGGCCTAGTTGTGAGATCAACTCGAATAATCAGTCAACTCCTTATGTGAATGCTCCAGTTGGGTTATGTTCGGCGGTTACTGTAAATAACCATACCTATGATAGTTGTTGCAGATACTGTCCAATCAACAGTGGGTATGTTATAATTTGAAACTGAGTTAACAGGTTCTGACTTCCGTCAAGTTCGCAAGTATTAAGCGAATTCGGACTTCAATATTGGCGAAGATGGGATGACTTAGGCGCTCTTGTCGGTTTCTGGTGGGTTTTCCGTTTTGCAACACTCTTTGGTCTCCAGTTTATCCGATGGGTCCAGCGTTGAGCCGTTTTTCCAGCGTGACTAGGCATCTCATGTAGATGAGCATCTTTAGGAAATTTGTATTCGTTTACAGTGAATTTCAATTTTCTCAAGAAATAATAAACGCAAATATGTGGCTTCCATAAATAGAATATTCACTTTGACGACTGCTTTATCAAATGGATCATGAAAATGGAAGGATTGTGAATTGTCTTTGTGGAATTGGAAAAGTAATGGTCTGAAGTTTGAAAAAGTGGTTGATAGACATACTAAACTTTTCCTAGGCACAAAACTCTGCCCGAAATACTTTGAAAGGCAACCAGTCACGTCTGAGATACCTACGCAACTTGATTCTGGGTTCCAATGTACGCTGAGAAGCCGTTCTTGTTTAAAACCGTAACGTTGTATTAGGTTTCCTACATCTTCTTGCGAATGGTCCTTCGAAGGAATTCTTATACGGTTGTGCAGTTTTTACTATGGGTATTGTTGTGTTATATTCCTATGTTCGTGTTGTTGAGTGGTTTTTAGTTAATTTCAGTTCTATTGTCGGCTTCTTGTTTCTTTTTCCTTTATGATGCTGCAAAGCCAACTTATGATAGAGGTAACTTATTGTTTGGCTATGCTTGTAATATTTTGAAGGCCTTTGTAAGGAACCTTAATTGATGGCGGTTATGACATATCGAAAAAGGGTTGGATGGAATACTGTCACGACATAATATATGTTTGTTGCTTCTCAACTATATTAGCCATATTTTCAAAAAAGTTTTGGTTCACTTTGTTATTGGTATGTTTCTTGGTAGAGAAAAATTTTGCCTGACAACTTTATAGATACCCACTTACGGCTTGTATTCAGTTATATGCTTGTTTATATCTCCTACAAATCCAGTTTCCTCCTCCAAGGTTGTAGTGAATGTATTCTTCGCTTATTTCTATAAACTTTTTTTCATAGAAACCTAAAAGGCTGGCTACGAGTGAACATAGAAGAAGGCAGTGAATTGAAACATTTTGCGAGTTGTTTATATATATATATATATATATATATATATGGTTAGAAAGTACTTGCCAAAATTCATAGAACGACTCTATTTTGTAGGTTATTGACAAGTTCATGTTTGAAAACGAATATTATCGTTCATTTTCATTGACGAGTTTCTTAGCAGTGAGTCCATTTCACGACCACTTTTCCGATATTAGCATTCGCTTCGACATAGGCATGAGCTTCAGCAACATTTGATACTCCATCAAACACTTTGTCTATAACAGGGACACAAGTACCATCAACCAGACGAGGCAAAATCTTTTTTTCAAAGTCCTAAATACACTTAAGCAATGAAGAAACCAAAACTTTAAAATACGGACCTTGACTAAATTCGTTTTGTACTCGCGTGTGCGACCTCTTAGTGTGGTAGTATAGAAACTAAGACGTTTTCCCAACAAAGTTGCAAGGTTACATTCCCTTAGCTTTGCTCCTCCCAAAGTCCCATACAAAACCCACCTTCCATCTTCTCTCAAACTTTTGACGTTTTCGTTCCACATGGAAGCACCTACACAGTCTAGAATAACATGAACACCATCTATCGCAACATTTCTCACGTTATCTGACACGGAAAGATCTTGTTCTTTATAATTGAACGCTTGTTTTGCACCAAAGTGAATACAGGCTTCCAATTTTCGTTGAGAACCAGCCGTTGCTATGACATGACCATTCAGGCACTTACTCGCCAGTTGAATAGCTGCCAAGCCAACTCCGGAAGCACCTGCGTGTATCAGAACATACTCATTTGCCTGAGCTTTGACAATCCAATATAACAGTTGAAAGGCCGTGATCCAAACTTCTGGAATGGCTGCAGCCTCTTCAAAACTAAACTTGCTTGGAATATGAATCAAGTTGGACTCATCTACAACACAATAATCTGCATAACCACCACCTGGCAAAATGGCCATAACGGAATCACCTTCTTTAAAACCTCGTTTACAAGAAGGACCAATCTTTGCTATTTCTCCGGCACACTCTAAGCCTGGTATTTGTGTCACCCCTGGAGGAGGTGGATACAGTCCCTTTCGTTGTAAAATATCCGCTCTATTAATCGCTATTGCTCGAACTCGTACTAACACCTATCTGAATTCACTAATATTTCAATCATCTGCAAATATGAAATGTTTACCTTGTCTTCTCGCACTTGTGGGACGTCAACTTCCTCAAGTTTCAGCCCTTCGGCCGGAGAAACATGCCTTGCAATATTTGGATCAGTATGACTTGGAATGAGAGCACGCATCAGATGCACGCTTCTTCTAGGTACATATAAATTTCCTTTTGGTAAACAACAACGCAATAGGCTGAAAGGAATCATAAGCCAATTGCCAACAATCGTGAGAGAACAATTATGGAGTATTGGAAAAGGGTCAAACCTTTTGTGAAGCCTTCATTACCATTTCTTTCCAAAGGTTTTCAAGACGCTTCTCTTTTATTGTTATGTTTCTTAGCTGCTGCTTTTCCCTCAAGAAACTCAGCTCCGTATGATAAGGTATTTTGGAAATTGAGCATTCCATATTTTTGTTTCTACACACTTGGTTTCTTTGGAAATATCCTTTGTGGTATAGTTTCTTCTCTTCATGGCCGCAATGGGACGTACATGATTTTTCTTATTCCTCTACTGTTTGGAAATTTGCTTCTTCTTGGGGCACTGCCTTTCACTCTGCAACTCTTACCTTTGCACGCAGTTGCCTTTTCCTTTATCGGTATTGGTAACGTTTCTGCCTGTTGTTGTATTTTGCCAAATGTGCTAGAGAATTTGGAGGATCGTCCGAAGCAAGAGAAAGCTTCCAATTTCATTCTCACTACATGGGTTCCAAATTATGTTGGTTTCGGGCTGGTTATTTTCTTTGGTTCGTTGCTTCATCTTCTATTTGGAGAAAAATATCGTAATTGGATAATTTTTTTATTGCTATGTCAGTCTTTTGGTCTTCATATCTTTACAATATTGTCAATCTCTGAGACCAGAGAGAGTAGCCTTTTTACAAGTTCAATGACTTCTCAGAAATTGAACTTTTTCACTTTGATGAAATGCATATGGTCATGTTATCTAAAGAATTGGAATTATATTATGTTGTTTGGTGCTACTCTTTTGTTTCTTACTTGCAATAGCTTAACACTTTGGTTTGTACTGTTTGCTGAGAATTGGTCGTGGATGGCCAAAACTGGTCGTTTTATGTTTTATTTTGTTTGGATTATATTTGCTGCTTCGCGTATTCTGATCTCTTTTTCAATATCTAAGCTTATTAATAAGTTTGGGTATAACTATGTGTTTCTCTTCTCATGTTCAGTTGTTGTAGCCATGGAATGCTTGCAGTTCCTCTTTCAATTTCGTATGATTTCCTTCTTATTGGGGCTTACGTATACTTGTCTTGCGCCTGTTATCGTTATTCTTACAGAATTATTTCTAATGCATATCGTGCCTAGTCGAATCCGTTCCTCTTGGATGGGACTTGTCAAGAGTATGGAAAACATAGGTGCATTTTCTGTAATGATTCCTATTCTAGTCTTATTGCGACCGAATAAGAACGAACCCATCCATTTAGATAGAGTGAATCATATGAGACTTGTGTTGTTTGGGTTCTGGTTGTTGATTGTTTTGGTTGGATATTGGCTTATTCACCGCGCAGCATTGTTACCGGACATTCCTTTGCGAGTAGTTGATGAACAGTATCAAACTAGACAGTCAAGTGATAAAAAAGAGTAGTTGTGTTGTTTTGAATGCGTATAAAAGAAATGTTATAAACTATCAACTTTTAAGTCCAATAATAGTAAACGTAACCAAAAAAAGCAGATGCAGCAACGCTGATGACACCTAATATACCAGAAGGATATATTTTCTTTGTTTTTCGAAAACGCATGAAAAATGCCGCAGTTAAAAATGAAGACACGGCAAAGGCGAGAGGTGGAGAATTTTGATGCCAAGAAACAAAAAGTAATGCCGCTTGGAACAGGTCAATTCGCTCTTTCTATAATCTTCCTTTACTTACCTGATATGATACCTGATAGCAAGGATGGAATGCTACGAGTTCTCACATACCCTGTAATACTATATGACAGAGCTTAGACACGATTCGCTTGAAATATCCAAAATGCTCACCCTCCTGCAGCAATCAAACTTCCATAGGTCAGAGTAACACTGTTCCACAAATCTGGAAGTGAAGCACCACTTGAAGCAGCAACAGTGTGAAGTATTCGACTTGGAACTCTTTTACTTGCACTTGGGGTGCTTGACAGAACATCTAACTTTCCCTGATTGCGTTCTTTATAGGCCTTTGTATACAGAATAATGTTCACATCTTTTAAAGTTGCGACTGAAAACTTTTGATATCTTGCAAAAAAATTATTATTATTATTGAGTAAAAGCTGCTCTGGTTTGTGAAACAAGGCAGTCCACGATTTACTCCATTTGAACATTCTATTTTATACATTCATCGAATATTCGTCGTCAGCTATGTATGCTTATTCTAGACTCGCTTGGAAGTCGTTTGCTTCATCTTCTGCCTCTCGTCTTATTTGGAAACAACATGAACAGCTTATGGATATCTTTTCATGTCGTTTATTGCAGTCTTCTGCCAACGCTTCTTTAAAAGAGACTCTTGGAGAGAAGATCCAGGAAATGAGAGAAGAGGTCCAAGAGGTGAGACACGCGGTTGGAAATCAAGTTCTTGGAACCTGCACTGTTGATCAAGCTTATGGTGGTATGCGATCAGTGAAATGTATGACTTATGAAACTTCGTTGCTCGATCCCAACGAAGGAATTCGCTTTCGTGGTTACTCCATCCCTGATTGTCAAAAGTTACTGCCAGGCATAAAGCAAGGAGGAGAACCCCTTCCAGAGTCTCTCTTATGGCTTCTTCTCACTGGTGAAATTCCGTCTGTTCAGCAAGTAGGTTCCCTTCGTGAAGAACTTTCTACTCGAGCGAACTTGCCGGATCACGTCAAGAAAACCTTAAATAGCGTCTCCACTTCGTTGCATCCTATGGCACAATTTTCAATTGGTATTCTTGCTATGCAGTCAGATAGTGTTTTTGCAAAGGAATATGCACGAGGTGCACCAAAGAACAAATTATGGGAATATTGTTTAGAAGATGCGTTGACTCTAATAGCTAGACTACCTCAAGTTGCTGCAATGGTTTATAGAAATACTTACCATCAAGGAAAGCAGCTAGAAGCAGATCTGAAGTTGGATATGTCCACAAGATTGACCAAGTTGATGGGCTTTCAGAATCCTGAGTTTGATGAATTGATGAGACTTTATTTGACTATTCATGCCGATCATGAAGGTGGAAATGTCTCAGCGCACTCAGTTCGTCTGGTTGGTTCAGCACTTTCGGATCCTTTCTTGGCATTTTCAGCAGGAATGAATGGTTTGGCCGGACCCTTACATGGTTTGGCCAATCAAAATGTAAGTTTCTTTTTAGTTGGTATTTATTTATTTTTATACTTATAGCGTTTTTCTAGGTGCTTACATGGTTACTGCAAGTAAAGGAAAAGTTGGGTGGTCAAAGTCCCACAAAAGAGAATCTGACAAAGATTTGTTGGGAAACTTTAAACTCAGGTAATGTTATTCCTGGGTTTGGCCATGCAGTGTTGAGGAGAACCGATCCTCGTTACTCCTGTCAACGAGAGTTTGCTTTGAAACACCTTCCAAATGATGAAATTTTTCAACTTGTATCTCTCTTATATGAAGTGGTCCCAAAAGTACTTACAGAACAGGTATAAAGCAACTCCAACCATTTTGATAGAAAAACTAACATTCTTATTTGCAGGGAAAAGTAAGCAATCCTTGGCCAAACGTCGATGCTCATAGTGGAACCTTGTTACGTTACTATGGAGTCAAAGAAATGACTTTCTATACTGTTCTTTTTGGTGTTAGTAGAGCTCTGGGAACTTTGTCAAGCTTAGTATGGGACAGAGCGTTGGGTCTACCGATCGAACGTCCAAAGAGTGTGACAACTCACTGGATAA